CATTTATTCTCTTTTTGATCTTATTTTCTTCAAGTATTAAAAAGCCACTCAACTGATTGTATTTTTTATTCTTATGCATATCAAGTCGAAGGTCAAAACTCCGTTGCATAGAAGGACTCACAGTGCAAACAGCAAGCAGCACTAAAAATGCCTGAGAATGTTTCCCTGCCACCATGCGTGGTTGCTCTATGAATTATCTGCTCAGTGGGTTTGCTGAATGTGATAAATGAAGCAAGCAGATTCTGATCTGCTGATTTAGCACAGAGGATGTCTAAATGTAGCAAGAGTGTACAACAGCTCCAGGGTAACAGGACTGGCTTTTATCAGTGAAACTTGTAAAATGAAGTTTATACCAGCTTTGATTTAAAATTAGGATTAAAAAATAAAAATATTCCATTTACAAAACTGGTTAATGTTCTCAAGAAAAGTTGATCTCAGCTGACCTTTTTGTACATGTTATATTCACACTGAAAGTAAGTGGCCGTGCCAAAAATTTATACAACATCTTGTGAATTTTATTTTGGGGAAATTCCACCTGGCGTACCTGTGTGACACACCTGTTAAAATAAATCACGTCAACACAGTCGACCTTTCTGGGAAAGTAAACCTGGCCCAAAACCAAGGGCGAGATGAGACGTCTCCACAACCATCCTTGAAGTAATTTAGTAATTTATTGTTTTACACACACAAACAGAAACGGAGGTATCCCCCCAAAGAAATTACATTTCATTTCAAAGCCTCAAATCAAACATGGCAAAAATATATATATATTTTGCTTCAGGTTAAAATGCAGCACAGCATCATGATATGTCTTCATTTTTACACTCATCACAAACGGAGCAGCCATGCTAGTGTCCAAGCAGATTCTGCTGCTCTTTAACAAAAGTCAGAGTTTTTAAACCTTACTTTAAAGAAGGCAAGTGGAAAAAAGATGCAAATCTGCTATTCACTTTCCTCTTTTAGGAATGTTAACACATTTCAGCCCCAGAACTGTTACAGGTTTTGCCGTGCAAACTCCCGCCTCTCTTTTCAAAAGTCCATCGATAAAGATCTTTGCTGAGCTATTTCACATTTCCCTCTATTTCGGTTTCCAGCTCTCCGCATGTACAGATCGTACCTTCCCTCCTCCTCCACCACCTCCACATCCTCTTCCAAAACTCTGTCTTGCTGCCACAGCACTCGATCCCCAACGCTGGGCCGACTCTGCATGTGGCTTTGTTTCACACCAGGCCAGCTCTTCTTCCGCAAACTGCTGTCCAACTCCCTGAAAGGAGGTATGGAAGACTGGCCCTCTCCTCTAAAAGGGGGTAGCTCCATCGATCCTTTGCCCAAGACATATCCACAGTGACCGGCTTTGGAGGAGCTGATGGAGGCCTGAGAGCCACAGTGGTGCTCATGGATGCATCGTGATCCTGATGAGGATCTCCTCAGAGCCTGCATGGACAGGAGTTCATCTGACAGCTCCCTAAGGTTCCCAGACATCTCCTGAAAGAACAAAAAGATTAATAAAAAAAGAAAAAAGTCTGTAAAGTATCAGATAGTTAAGTTAACCTTTTCTCTGCGGCTGAAGAGCTCATAGTGCGGCGGGTCAAACACCTTCTGCAGGTCTGCACGTCGGAACAGCTTGTTCTTACGTATCACCACCTCCAGACAGAAATTACCCACTTAAATGTGCATAAGCGGCATAAATATAGTCACACCAGGTTATTTTAATCACCTTTTTACGAGGCTGTTTGACTTGCACCATAATGGAGAAAATAAAGAGTAACAGCACCACCCCCGTGGATACACAGATTATTGTTCCCTGAGTCTTCGTGATGTGAAGAAAAGCAACTTTGGGCTTTGATTCTAGAATGTGAACACAAAGAGACAAACGCAAGTGTTTAAAACACATCTTCAGCTATTTTTATTGCATCAGATAATTCAAAAACTAACAATATTTCTTGCTTTTGTAATGGACTAAAGGGATGGATCACTCCTTTAATTAATACATTTGTGATCTCTAGTAGGAATGAATGCCTTGTAAGTCACATTCTGGGGAAGAAAAGCTCCATTGCACCTGTTTCAGGAACTAGACAATTGCCAGATCAGAGGACAGCTTCAGACGGCTGGATTTGGAGTCTTATTTCCTGATATTTGGATATCTTTCCTCTGATTGGCTAACGGCAACGCAACTCTAACACTGATTCTGTTTACTTTGCAACGCTGACGTTTTATCTCCAAAAATATCACAAGCCTGGAGGAGTTCTGCCGTGTGGTGGAGATGCTAATGCTAACGGTTAGTTTTTACTGGTTGGGACGTTCTCTGCTGTTTCCTGGACGTTGAACCAACAACAGCCTTCCCCATCACAAGTCAAGTTGGGTGAGTCCATGAATGTTAATTGTCAGTGTGACATAGATCTGTCAGGCTTTTCTGTTCCTACAGTTTCACCATCGCTTTTCTATAAGAAGCTAATGCAGGAAATAGGTGTAGGAGACTATTTTCATGTTCAGCTTGCATGAAAAACTCAGAGTGACTGAGTATAATCACAAATACCAATTTAAAAATGTTTTTTCAGTGTTCCACACCTTTAAACGGATATTTAGCAACTTTTACATATTTTAAAATAATTTTCTTGAGCCAGTATGTCCTAAAATGACCCTTTACAGGGTTAATGAAAGTCCACCAAGCGCCTATCGCCCTCTGTGGCCAGAATATTTCACTTGCAACCTCAGCCTGGCAGCTGCTTGCAACTTAGACAGAAGTGAGCTGACATATCTGGCGCTGCAGTTTGGTTCCAGCAGGTTTCTTGCATGTTGAATCACTCGTGTAGACACTAAGGAAGGCTGGGAGATGTTTCAGCAGTTAGACTAAGGTGTAAAAAAGATGAATGCACTGCAAAGATACATGTTTTGGTTTTGGTTTTACAAACGAACATTAGGGGGGGCTAAAAGCAAGCCAAAACGGCTAGTTCCCCTTTAAAAATTTCATGACATTAACCTTTCTTGCAGCAAACACTTTATAGGGTTAAGAATGACACATCAGATGCATGAAACTGCATAACAAGACACAGCTCGTTGTAAAAAAGCGTAGATGATCAACAGAAGTTCTTACCTTGGCAACTGCTTTCATCCCAGGGGAAGACACAGTTTTGCACTCCGTTGCACACCAGAGAATTGTTTATGCACATGTTGCTGTGGCAGAAGAATGCACTGCCCATACATGGAGCTAAAAACATGAAGACAGGGTTACTGTATTGGAGGCATGCTGACAAGGCAAGGCAACTTTATTTATATAGAAGATTTCATAAGCAGAGGTGTTTCGGTTTGGGGTTAGGGTTTGACAAACAGGGACTGTACATTTAAAAGGTGCTGAGTAAAGCCTAAAATCAGTGATGGAAAACAACACAACACATAAGCATGCCATTACACATGGATGTGCAACCAAAACACGAAACTTCATTTAAGAAAATCTAGAAGCAGAAACTCACGGTCAGTGAAAATAGTGTACAACATCCGGAAACGGCTGAGACGGCTCGTCTCATCGGCCCACATCCTCACCACTCCAAAACCAGTGTCCAGCATAAGATCGTTTGCAACTGTACTACAAAACTTGGCCTGCAAGAAACCACACAGCGATTTTGACCGGTGGCTGTGCATGTGTGGTCTCATTGAGGTCAGGATCTATAGGACAGCTGCTTTTTCTTTTTCTTTTCAAATATGGAATTAAAAAGAAACACTTGTGGCAAAGTTAAAGAACAATCAGTTAGGTTTAACAGCAGAGGATGAAACCCATCATTAAAAACCAGAAACACAATGACACACTGTATAAGGTTGTGGTTATTACCTTCAGGTCTTCAATGGCACTGCTGCCATCGTAAACAGCCACAAAGTTCTTCTTACATTCGTTTGAGTTTTCCATCTGGTACTCCAAGAATTTCAGAGAAATCTGGTAGAGATTAAGAAATCAAAAGCTGACTTTTGCTGTCTGTTAGATCTCAAAAGTTTTGTTATAATTAATGAAATCTGAGTTTATTTTTGATAAGGTTTATAGCTGCTTCTCAAACTTTGGTTCCTGTTTAATTTATTGGTACCATTTCCTTTGTATAGTTCATATGTTCTTGTTTTAGATATCCATATTTGCATCTAACACCTGTTTAACCTCTGATCGTGCTGAGTTATTGAGCTTTAATATCATGTTTTCGTTGTTGCCTATAGATATTATCCCTGAGAATTAGATTTGCTGTCATACGGCACAGTTCATGAATAAAATTAGATTAATTAGCCAGTTTTCTGCTTTTTGGCTTTATGGACTTTATATATATATATATATATATATATATATATATATATATATATATATATATATGTATATATATATATACATACATTTTTTAGGATACATGCTGCTCGACTCCTGAGAAGTTTTTTTTATTCTATAGCCATATGAGCTCACTAGCCTTAAATGTGCTCTCAGAAAACATTTTCCTGTACGAAAAACTTTCAATGTGAACCTGAAACCCCAAAATGTTTTACTTGTCAAACGTTTAATAAATGAGTGCTTCACAGCAAATGTGAAAGAGCATATTTAAAAATCTGTTATGACATTTTAGTTCACACGTCCGATTTTCTACATTCCTAACTTCTAACCAACAAGTGAAAAGCTGCCAACAAACATAGAAAAATGGGCCGTCTGTCATGCCGTACTCTGTTCCTTGCTGGGGCTTGTATAGTCCAGATGCAGTCCACTGCCTGGTCGGGTTTCACCTTGTTCTCCTCTTCTACCTGACTAGAGCGGATCATGCCGTCCAACCCCGTTAGCTCAAACTGGCAATCTGGACCACATGACAAAGTCAGGTTAGTTGGTTTCTATATGCTTTAAAGTTACGATGGGAAAAATGAGTATTTGTCCTCCATCGATTGTGCAAGTTGTCCTCCTTATAAAGATGAGGTCTATAATTTTTATCACTTCAACTGCGAGAGACAGAATGTAAAATAATACCCAGGAAATAATTTTGTATGGCTTTAAAAGAGTTTATTTGTAAAATGCTGCAGAATATAAATGTTTGCTCAGTGACAAAAGTTCACCTCAATACTTCATAATGTAGCCTTGGTTGGTAATGAGAGAGATCCAACCAGGTTTGCACACGCTGTAGCTGGTATTTTGGCCCATTCTTCCATGCAGATCTTCTCTTGAGTTGTGATGTTTTGGGGCTGCTGCTGGGCAACACGGACTTTCAGCTCTCTCCACAAATTCTCTGTTGGGTTGAGATCTGGAGACTGGCTTTGATGTGCTTCTTACCGAGCCATTTCTTTATCGCCCGTGTGGTGAGTTTGAGATCATTGTGATGCTAGAAGATCCAGCCATGTTTCATCTTCTTTGCTCTCACAGACAGAAGAAGGTTTTGGCCCAAACTCTCATGATGCATGGCCCCATTAATCCTTTCTGTCATACGGATCAGTTGTCCTGTCCCCTTTGCAGAAAAGAGGCCCTAAAACATAAGAATTCCACCCCCATGCTTCACAGCGAGTGTAGTGCCACTCAGCATTCTACCCCCTCCAAACACAGAGAGTGGTTTTGATGCCATAGAGTTCTATTCTTTGTCTCATCTGACCAAGTGACGTTTCCCAATCCTCCTCTGGATCTTCTAGGTAGTCTCTGGCAAACTTAAGACAGGCCTGGACATCTGCTGGCTTAAGCAGGGGGACATTTTGAGTGCCTGCAGGAAGTTCATCCATGACGACATAATGTGTTACTAGCTGACCAGTACTCACAGTGTAGTTCTGGGCTGTTTCCTCACCATTCTCAAGATAATTAGTACTCCACGAGGTGAGATCTTGCATAGAGCCCCAGGTCAAGGGACATTGTCTGTGTTCTTTTATTTATTCCATTTACTATAATTGCTCTAATAGTTGATCTTATCTCATCAAGCTGCTTGCCTACTGTAGCTTGGCTCATCCCAGTCTTGTGCAGGTACATTCTTGTCCCTGATGTCCTTACACAGCTCTCTGCTCTCGGCCATGGTGGAGGTACGACTCTGGCTGTTTGAAGGTGTGAACAGGTATCTTTTATGCAGAAAATTAATTCAAACAAGTGCCACTAACACAGGTAATGATTTGAGCAAAGGAATCCTTCTGAAAGATGAAATAACAGGTCTGTGGGGGCCTGAATTATTGCTTGTTTTTAGATGCTAAATACTTTTTATGTACCATTGTTTTAAAAATCATACAATGTGATTTCCTGAAGGTTTCTTTTACATTAAATCATTCACAGCTGAGGTGTATCTATAATGAAAATTAAACATTTCCTTCATATTTTTAAGTGAGACAACTTGCATAATCGCTGGTTGCCAAATACATTTTTGCCCCACTCTAAAGGTAAATGAGGTTTTCTGCCTTACCTGGGATGGGGTTCATGAGTCCTCCCACATGAAGATGGAATTCAGGGTCTTTGGGTGATATCATAGAGACAGACTTAGAACAGTGTCAGCTCAGCACGATGTCATTTAAAACCTTGAGCCAGCTCAGTACACTGAACCACCGTTTTCATTCACCTGCTGTAAACTTGTAGTGAACTTGAAATCCTTTTCCTTCTAGCTCTTCATCGCTGATGAACCGGATCCACATGAACCGGCCGCTGGAGTGGATGAGGCCCGGGCTGTCGGTGCCACAGTAACGGTTGATTAGAGGAGAGAAGCTGAAGGGACCATCTCGAACCTCAATGTGGTCGAAACGACACTCGAAAGATGATTCGATGTGAAAAAAAGCGTTGAAAAGCAGCTCGATCCTCTGGCGGGGATGGGCTGTGGAAACACCGGCAGTGTGTCACTTCTACTGCTGCAGACCTCGTTGTTGGATTTAGACAACAAAAAACACAACTGAACTGATCAGACTGAATCAACACCAGAGACAATAAAATAAAAACTGAACCCTTTTCTGAAGTTTAACAACCAGATTCAAGAGTTTGTTGTTGGTTACCTTCCAGCACATAAAGGCACTCCTTGTTTGGCGGGTACATGTTTGGATAGTTTGGGGAACTGAAACTTCCACCGTCTGTTTTTCGAAGCCAGGTCCCACAGTGACGAGCTTTTCGTGGCTGCTCAGTGGGTTTACCTCCTTTAGGCCCAGCACCTTCATCTACAACAGCCAGAAAAAACACAAAGTCTTTTATAGATTAAACTGATTGTGTGAAAACCATAGACTAAAAAGAAATGTGTACATTTGTGGTCCTTCAAAGAAATAAGATGAAATTCAGAATGAATATAATGATTACCTTTAATCTTCTGTGCTAGAGAAAATCCCTCTTTGGTGAATAGGAGGAATATCCAGACTGTACGAGGGGCCGTCAGTAAACAACACCACGGGAGGGTGAGGAGGGGTACAATCAAGGAGTAAGAGAAAGACAGAAAGAAAGAGCTTAGTGGGATTTGTTTGCTGGAGTTCAGTGTCTTGTTGCATTCAACAGAATCCCACAAAGGTCAAAGGTGAGGAGTTCAAAGGCTCACATGGAGAGGAAGAGCAAGCTCCTTCTGCCATCTGCTTGATTGATTTTTCCCTCTGACATTTTCACACCCGAAAAACAGAAGTAAGACGTTTTTCATCTCATTTGATGATGTGCAAAAGTGACTAAATGGGGATTAAAACATGTGTTGCAATGGAAATAAAATCCACCCTACATCGGCATGTTAGCCTCGGGGCACTGGGCTGCTACATTTTCCCTCAGAGGGATTTTTACTCAAAATTCTCAGTTGTTTTGCCAATAAATGACATAAACAGTTACTGACTCAACAGCAAAATACTCTCATTTTTTAAGTGTTTGCGGTCATTTGTTTGCTCTTGAACACTTAAACATTCAGTTAAACACAAAATATAATAAATCAAGAGCTGTACCGTATGACCTAAAGCTAAAGACGGAGTAGAAAACTGGATATTTTAATCGCACATTTCCGTGTGTACGGATTACAAACATCAAAGCAGAATTGATAATTTTTGTTCTGATTGACACTTCCCTGAGCGCATAATTCAGAGAGGAGGAGGAATGGAAACGGTCTAAATCCTCCTTCTGCCAGGACTACACACAAGCTGCAGCAAAAAACAGAAACAGTTTCTACTGAAAGGAAATATCTTCTTGATATTTTAATTTCTTTAAAATGTGACATTTACAGCCCAAGGAGCCTCTCAGCTCTGAGTTGCATCATGAAAAAAGACAAAAGCAGCACGTTTGAGAACTTTTGGGTTCCTATTAAAAGGAACCTTTCAAAGATTATCTCACTTACCTGCATGCATCCTTTCAGCTGCACTATTCTTCTTCCCCCCCTCCAACTCTACCAACTGCGTGTCCTACACATTTGTCTTTTAGGTCCGTGGTTTGGATTAGAGCATGCTAACATTGCTGATTGGCACAATCCAGCTTTCACCTTTTCGTCCTAATCTCTCTCTCTGGTTGAACGTAGGAGAAGCTCCTGGTGCAGCAGGGATCCGGGGAACTTTTGATTCATAACCGCTCTTCTCTTAAAGTGGACTTTTCCAGGGTAAGGTGCACATACACACACACACACACACACACAGAGTTGAGCCTCTTCCTCTCTAATAAACCGATGATCCGTCTGCATCTGCTGGAGATTTGAAGATTGAGCTTAGTTGGAGTAGTAAGGAGGAAAAGATGATTGTGCATGCGCACACCCATCCTTATGGAGTAATGTGTAAATTAAAACTTCATTTATCCTGTTTGATGTAGAGATGAGTAACACATTTTTAATAAATAGTTAATTTGAGGTCATCTTAAGTAAATACACACCAATTTTAATAATTTATTTTACAGATGAAGGGTGAAAAAATAAATCAGGTGTTTTTACCATGTCATGTATTTCTAAGCTGAGAAAAGCACACACTCCTCCAAGGTCACTCCTTATTACCCAAATGTCAAAAAGAATCTGAAGTTAATGCAAAGTGTTAAACTGGTGGTTAATTATCATTGATATTTTCTTTTTCAACACAAGTTGGGACCACTGGCAGATTTGTGCCTTTGTAGATGATTGTAATTGTTTTAAATCAGAAGCTTTGCTATCAAAGGACAGAGTAGCCAAGCTCCAGAGACCTTTTCCGAGTCTGATTATTTAATATATGGCCAGTAGACAGCTGCATGCATGTTAGAAACATTGGAAAACAACAACCTAAAATCATGAAATAGCGCTGAGAACAGCTTAAAGGTCAGAGGTTAGGATTCTTGTAGCCCAAGGGAAGAAGGTCTTCCTCTGATTTTTAGTCAGGTGCTTGAGACTGCTCAATCTTTTGCTGGAAGGAAAGAGGGTAAATAATTCAATTAACTAGAAAATTCCTGAAGAAATTTTACAAAGGGACCTTCTACCTGACACAAGACAGCGCTAATGCAAATATTAAAAAAAAGCTGCACACTCAAAGTTTGAATGGGTAGCTAAATCTCCCCAAAATTGAGAAAATTTTCTAAATTTTTAGCAAATAATTTTGCCATGGTAAATCAGATCACTTAGAAAAATAATAGCACACCTCCCACCGCCTAGCCGCTCGTTTTGATGTATAATATGTGGGGGTGCACGCTGCCGTTCAAGTCACATTAAAGTCCACGGAAGGACAATAATAAAGGCGATTCATGTCCTAAAACTCACCAGGTGCATAACAATGAGGGCCCTGCTTCCTGAAGCAGCAGCAGATACCTTAATTCCTTGAGTGGAATTCTGGAACAATTCTGGAACTGCGTTGCTCTGGGTGGCTGCATGTTGGAGTAGCTCTGTTGACTATATGTAAGTTTTGCCTTTGTTTTTGGACATTTTTTCTTCTAGTTTCTCAAGAAAAACGGTATTTTTTGGACATTTTACTTTTCTGTTTCTGGTGCTGTGAAGCTTAGCTTACTGCTATTTGTTCACTTTTTTCACTTTTTGAGCATTTGTTATGATGTGTAACCATGGCAACAAGCTGGTTTACAATCGGGAGCAGCTGCCTAACATTGGGAAGGCTGAAATAATACCTCAACTGAAGCCACAAATCCCAAATGAGCTAAAACGCAAGAAGCGTGGGTGCAGAGCACGAGCAAAACGGAGACAGAGAAAGAGGAAATTCAAACCATCTCTTCCGTCGATCATAATGGGCAATGTGAGATCACTGGCCAACAAGATGGATGAACTCCAAGCCCTTTCAAGGACTCAGCCAGAGTATCGGCAGTGCAGTGTTATGTGTTCCACTGAGACGTGGCTGCAGGACCATATCCCCGATTGCAGCGTCTCTCTGCCAGGATTCCTGATTGTACGAGCAGACAGAGATCTGAAGAGGAGTGGGAAAAGAAAAGGAGGTGGAGTGGCAGTGCTTGTCAACAACAGATGGTGCCATCCAGGTCATGTTTCAGTGAAATGTCGTCTCTGTAGCCCAGATATTGAACTCTTGGCAGTAATTAGTCACCCGTATTATTTGCCAAGAGAGTTCACCAGTGTTGTCTTGGCAACCATTTATATTCCACCTTCAGCCATTGCTGAAAGTGCACGTGATGCCATCAGTTCCATTGTCGCTAAGCTACAAACCCAGCACCCCAATGCATTTGTGGCTATATCTGGTGATTTTAATCATGCCTCGCTCTCTGCTACACTTCCAACATTTCATTAGTTTGTCAGCTGCTCCACCAGAGAAAACAAAACATTGGATTTGTGTTATGCAAATGTAAAGAATGCATACATGTTCAAAACTAGACCTCCTCTGGGACAATCAGATCACAATCTTGTTTTTCTCTGCTCAGAATACAAACCACTTGTTCAGAGGCAACCTGTGACAAGAAGAACTGTGAGAAAATGATCACAGGACGCTGAAGAAGCCCTGAAGGGTTGTTTTGAGACCACAGATTGGATGACTCTCTGCCAAGGATATGAAGAGGACATCAATGTCATGACTGTGTCACTGACTATATAAACTTCTGTGTGGACACATCATACCCACCAGAACAGTGAGAAGCGTCGCTAATAACAAACCCTGGATCACCAGTGAACTGAAGAATCTGCTAAATGAGATAAAAAGAGCCTTTAAGGAGGGAGACAGGGAATTATTGAGGAGTATACATAAGCAACTGAAGATCAAGATCAGAGATAGCAAGGAGGCATACAGGAAGAAGCTGGAGAACAAACTACAGAGGAACAATATCAGAGATGTCTGATCAGGGATGAAGAAGATCACAGGCTTCAAGCAGAGGAAGGATTGCACGGATGGCAGCCTAGACACAGCCAATGAACTGAGCAAGTTCTTCTATAGGTTCAGCTCAGGAACAAACCCAGCATCCTCCTCGCCTGTCCCCAGCCAATCAGACATCCCATCCTACTCTCATCCAACATTTTCCTGTCACACGCCAGCTCTTTTATCCTCTAACACAGTCATGGACTCTTCTGGTTCTATAAATCTGTCTTCAACTAAGTCAGGAGATGCTGCTGCCCCATTTGCCTCTCCCTCCCACCCATCTGTCTCTAGAAGTCAGGTGAAGAGTCAGCTGGAGAGACTGAACAGGAACAAGGCTGCAGGTCCAGATTGTGTCAGCCCCAGAGTACTGAAGGCCTGTGCAGAGCAGCTCTGTGGGATTCTGCAGCACCTCTTGAACCTCAGCCTGGCCCAGGAGAAGGTTCTAGTCCTGTGGAAGACATCCTGCCTTGTTCCAGTTCCAAAGAAAACTCGCCCATCAGTCAGTGACAACTACAGACCAGTTGCCCTGACATCCCACATCATGAAGGTCCTGGAAAGACTCCTGTTGGCCCACCTGAATAAGCAAACTAGAACATATCAGGACCCGCTGCAGTTTGCTTGTCGCCATTGAGTTGGAGTTGAAGATGCCATCATCCATCTGCTTCAACCAACCCACTGTCATCTGGACAAAGCAGGCAGCACTGTGAGGGTCATGTTCTTTGATTTCTCCATTGCATTTAACACAATCCAGTCCAATGTACTTTGCCAGAAACTCCAGAAGGCACAGGTGGGGGCCTCAACTATCGCCTGGATTAAAGACTACCTGACAAACAGACCACAGTTTGTGAGGCTGAAGAACTGCACATCAAACCAGGTGATCAGTAACATTGGAGCACCACAGGGGACTGTACTCTCACCATTCCTTTTCACCTTGTACACCTCAGACTTCCAGTAAATATCAGAGACCTGTCATCTACGGAAATACAGATGGCTCTGCAGTTGTCGGATGTATCAGAGATGGACAGGAAGCTGAGTACAGAGAGCTGGTGGAGCGCTTTGTGGTATGGTGTGGAAACAATCATCTGACCTTGAACGTGAACAAAACAAAGGAGATGATTTTAGACTTCAGAAGAAACAGGGTGGAGTCAAACAATGTTTCCATAATGGGAGAAGAAGTGGAGGTGGTTGAGGAATACAAATACCTTGGAGTTCACCTGGACAACAGACTGGACTGGAGATAGAACAGCAAAGCCATTTACAAGAAGAGACACAGCAGACTGCACTTCTTGAGGACGCTTAGGTCCTTCAATGTCTGTAGCAAGATGCTGCAGATCTTCTACAAGTCTGTTGCTGCACCATTGCTATTGGCTAAGAGGTACCCTAGAACATTAGCTGGTACCATATGATGTCACAATGTCATTGTGAGCCTGTGTGTGTGTGTGTTTGTTAGCAGCTCCGCCCTCTCGGTCTGCTAGGCAACAGCATTTGTTGCATTTTTCAAACAGAAAGTGGACGTTAAGAATCTGGTAGGGGGTGACTTGCTATTTAAACAAGAAAGCAGAGAGGAAACCTCAAGGTTTCATTTTTCCAAGGTTTGAGAATTGGTCCGAAACACCCCAAAGCGAACATTTCCAGGGAAAGTTGAAACAAATCCTGGTCATCCTTTTGGAAAACCACCAATTGGGAGCACCACATCATTATGGGATGCCGAGGGATGCAAGCCTGTGGTTGATAAGTTATCCGATCACATTGCTACCACAGAAATGCCCTGACTTTCTCTGAATCAGTGTCGCTCCTCGACAGCTTCAACAGATAGCAGACTTGAGGAAAGATGAGTGCTTTTATCAGCTGCCAGGATGAAAAGTCATTAAGACACAACCACACGTCTGTGACTGACAGCTGTTGATTCCTCTTAGTCAAGAGGTCGCTGCTTCACGATGGTGGAAATGCTTCACTTTGAGCTCTAGCTTGTCAGCACTTCTTCTGGTTAAACATCTTAAACCTGCAGATTTTATTGTCTTCAAGTATCAGAAGTTGCGACTTTAAATTATGTCACAACAAATCACTCTCTGGCACAGGTCAGTGTTTCATCCTGCAGGCATCTGCAAATGAAAGCTGTTATTTGTGTCACATGGGCATAATACAGTTTTATTTTCTTTATCCTTGTGATTCTTCTAAGCAGTTTGTTATTTATCGTAATTTGTATAATAAAACAACTTGAAATTTAATCCTCTCCACATTTGTTACATAACAGCAGCTTAGTGCTGAAAGCTAGCTGTCCCAGGAGGTCCTGCCTCACAGAGGAAACACACGTATCCCATTCTTAGAGCGATTCAGACGTATCGTGAGGCAGGAAGAGCTGATGCTGAACTCCGTTCTCAGCTCAGGCCCAAATGACAACAGATTAGACAAAGGAAGGGAAATAAAAAAGAGCTCATTAAACAAATTTCAGTTTCTGATGTAAAAAAAACATTGCAGTGTGAGCTGAGCAAACACAGGAAACTCTAACGGGATTCACTCACGTTTTTAAATTTCTGCTCCATGTGACAGAAGATTAGATTTAAAAAATCAGCCTGACCTCATAACATAAATAAATAAAACACTGAAATTTAAACTTTGCGAACAAATCTAAGTGAATTTTAAAGATATCCGACTCCTAATTTCTAGTCTGTAAACTGATATTATTCCTTCTTTTCTGAGGTCAAATCCCTAGGTATAATAATAGATCCCCCAAAACATAAAAAACTTGAAATAAAGAGGTCCGCACACACGTAAAACCTCATAATGAAGATATTTTATTTATATTTTGGAAACCTGATCCTGTATATCTGCCATGAGTCTGGATTTCAGAAGATGATGGCATTATGGACTTTTATCTTCGTTGAAATTAGACATCCTACTCTTTCTAAACTGCACTCCCTCACGCCATATGGCCAATCACAAGAAGGGTTTCTGTGACAGATGGTCCAATGGTAATGACCCTTACTCAAGGAGGGTTAAGCCTGCAGAGACAAGGTTAAGATCAGGATGACATGTGACAGAAAAGCTGTGGAAAACGGGAACAGATAAAAGTAAAAAATAAATAAATAAACCCCTGAATTCTGCTAATCAACTCATTACGTACGCTCAAATTGTTTTTAGAAAAAAATGTTACTTAAATGTAATATAATCATAAAATGCCTCAATTTTTTATTTTAAAATTCTGACTTGAGCATTAACTTTGCGTAAAAGAAAATAACCACACAGATGCTCTCATGTAAACGACTTCTACAGACATTTTTGACCATGTTTGTCCTAAAAATCAGCGTGCAAGAAAAGCAGAGGCCAGATTTGATCCATCAGCCACGTTAAATCTTCTTAGTGCAGCCTGATCTGAGGATGTGGCAGGAAGCCTGGAGGAGGATGGGTCTTGTGCTGCACATAATTCAGCAGTTCTTTTAATTATTAATAACTTTTATATGTTTTGGCAGTTACATTAACTCAGCAATAATGGTAATCAAGACAATTTAGAAATAAAATGTTTAATTTTGAGGATAAATTTTTGTTTTTTTGAAGAAGAAACAAAAAAAATTTTGATCATGTTTTACATTCTCTGAAAGTTTATTTTTACTTTTTATTTATTTATTTATTTATTTTGCTGTATTACAGAAAATTAAAGCAATTTTTAGTTAAATCTGAGTCTGTGGTTAAAAAAAACATTCTTACTACGTTCCATCTGCTGTGACTAATAAAAGTCTGGAGAGAATTTCAGGATTTTATTCATTTATTTATCAGTTCAAACCTCTAATGATATGTTGTTCCTGAAATGCTCTGAACTGGAGACCTTTTGGGCAAAACATCAGTGTGTGTGTGTGTGTGTGTGTGTGTGTGTGTGTGTGTGTGTGTGTGTGTGTGTGTGTGTGTGTGTGTGTGTGTGTGTGTGTGTGTGTGTGTGTGTGTGTGTGTGTGTGTGTGTGTGTGTGTGTGTGTGTGTGTGTGTGTGTGTGTGTGTGTGTGTGTGTTATGTGTGTGTGTGTGTGTGTGTGTGTGTGTGTGTGTGTGTGTGTGTGTGTGTGTGTGTGTGTGTGTGTGTGTGTGTGTGAGAAACTTTTTTCTCCTTTTTCTTAATTTAGTCAGATATACAAGCTGCTCTTTACAATCAAAGCCTAAGCTCTTGCAGAAAAGAGGCTTAAAGAAGATAATTAAAAGGATTGGGTGCACAATGGCAGCTTGTTGTGCAGAGTGACAGAAAGTGAAAGTCTTATACAGGGATGATGGGAGCAAAATGATAGGGGGAGGGTGGAGAAAGAGAAAGAGAAAGGAGTAAAAGAGAAAAGAAAGTGTCACGCAGCTCGACTCTGAGATGATCTGTCGGTAGTCGGTTTCAGAACGTGACTCCGGGGCCAACAAGACAGATGTTCTTCACTAGATTACACACAAACACAAAAACGAATCAGGAGCGGAGAAAAAGGGAATGTGATTTATTAAATGTGCAACAGAAATTGTGACAAACCCAAACTAATTAGAAAAAGATTACTAGAGGTGTCGTTCCACAAACATTTTTCAGGAAACAATGCCAGACATCCATCTCATCACTTCGTTTAATCTGAATCGAAGGCCACTTTTTGTAACTTTTTTGCACACATCTAGGCAAGAAATTTAGAGTTTAGATTATTTTTTCATAAAATAAACATCCTGTCATTTTTCTTATATTTAAACACTATTTATAGTAAATATTTCAACACTTCAAAGAGCTTATAGAAGCTGTGAGCTTCAACAGCACTAGCCACTGCTTGTCTTTACTTTGGATCGATTCAGCACTGTTTGCAGGTAGAAAATATAAACATATAATTATTTAAAATGGAAAATAGTTTAAATTTTGAATAAACATCCCAATGCAAAAAATGAAACTGTTTTAATTAGTCCATGAAACATCAGATAAAAATTGCAACAACTTGATAAAGTTTTAATGTTTCAAATTTTTCTTGTTTATATCTGCAAATATTCCCAGGCATCCATCCCTCATTTTCAGTTTTTGTTAGCATTAAGTCATTTAATTTATTTGGGTGGAAACAATATAAATATTTCTCATTTGGAATATGTAGGTTATTCCTCTGCCGATTTCATTATTTATTTCATTTTTTAACTTTCATTTTTTTAATAAATAAAAAAAAGCCTGAACGGTGAGAAATCACAGCAAAGTTTTACAGACTCCTTCCTGAGGCGAAATAAAAGAGATTTCTCATGCCATCTAAAGGTCACGTGCAAGCAGGTACATACGCGTGCAAGGTGTTTTTTTATCGTTTCCATGGAAAAACAGTGTTGTGATGGTGCAGGTTTCCTGTAGGGGGCGTTCAGTGCTGTAATTGGTCATTTGACGTCACAACGACGCGTCGTTTTCTTCCGGTTTACGTTTATTTTGGTCAGACAAATGTCTGTAGGAAAAGAGAGGATGTAAAGTTCTGCGTGTGTCAAACATGTCTGGGAAACACCGGACGCTTCCTTCGTGGATGGCAAAGAAAGAAGATAAAGCAAAAGAAAAAAAGGCGCCACTGAAGACTCAGAAAAAGCCGAGAGCTGCAAGGTAAAGGGATGGGAAGAGCGTGTCAGGTGTTTGGTTCGGTTCAAGTTCTCAGCAGATCTCTTTTACTAACAAATATATCTCACTAAATGTCTCCAGAGCTGATACTGTATGAACGAGGCGGAGCTGGTGGAAGCCGCTGCTTCGTGTCTTACCGATGGTTCCTGTGAGGATGTGCTGCTACTATTTCACCAACAGGTGGCACTGTTTCACATGTTTTAATTTATACCCATTTCTACAATGATTAATCTGCTGTGTGAACTGTTAAGTGTTTCTATTTATTTAATACAACAAAGTAAATGTTTTATAAAATAAAGAAAAAGCTCCTCACACTTGTGTAAACATTATTGAAGCTCCCTGGACTAATTCTGGGTGTACGTTCTCCACGCAGGCTAAAAACCTAGCCAAGAAGACAGCAAAACCCAAGCCTGATGCTTCACGGATAAAAGAAAAGCGTTTTACTGAGATTTTAGAGGAATCTTCATCAGACTGCTCCGCTGACCCAGAAACTACTTCAGTTTCAGAAACAGGCTTGGACATTACAGAGGCCGAAAAGTTGCCATACATGAGCCCACAGCATCCTGAATCCGAGGGCGAGAAGGATGATCATAAACTCATAAACACGGATGTGGAAACTGAAAAAGAAAAGCAGATGGCAGAAGATGCTGTAGAAGAGGACGAAGCCTTGCGGCTTGTACGGGAGATTTTTTTCACTTGACCAAAATAGTTAATAACCTTTGCAGAGTTGTACCTGCCTTTTTTTTTCTTTGTGGACGAAACTAAACTTTTTAGTGGGGAGAATAAAACTTGAGTGATCTGTATTCATTTTTAAAAAAAAGCTACTTGGAAAGTACGGCAGCTTTAATAAGTAAATCAAAAATTCTGTTGCACATTTTCAGAAATCAGTTGTGCATGTTTTTGGGGGCAAAAAGTGCTGCAGCAGCAGTAAAATGCATTTTAGCTAAATAGTTTGTGTAGTTTTCTTTACAGGTCACATATTAAATCATGCAAACTCATTTAATCATAGTCAGGGCATCAGATTCTTCCCTGCAACTCCAGTAAGCACAGTGGTGACGACCAGCTCCAGCTGCACACCCACGCATAAATAAAACCAAAGGGTCAAGTCTTCCCAGGTCACATGAGACTGATACGAGAGCAAAAAGCCCACGATGCCAGTCAGGAGGAGTGTGCTTGATGCTGCCTGGCAGACCATGCTGAACTTGAGTGTTGATCTGTCTTTAGCGTAGGCTGCTAACAGCACCGCCAGCAGAGCAAAGGCCACAAACGCGAGTGGAGCATAAAAACACAGGATAAGCAGCGTTGCTACAAAGTTAATGTTCCTCTCAGAGTCTACTTCATCCGGAGAGCTTCTTTGCCACCTGCTGCAGGTGACTTCGGCGTGTCGACTTGTTTGGCAGAAGAGGAAGGGACTGATGACAGCTTGACTGGAGGAGATGAACACACCAGCGAAGTACACCAGTGAGGTTGCCATCTGAAGGAAGATGAGCAGGAGAAGCATGGAGATCCAGATTAAGAACAATGTTGAGTTCCTCGATGAGAAAGTATTAATCGTGGAACATCTCTGCTCCATGACTCCAGATCTGTATAAGGTAGCAATGTGAAAAGGAAAATCATTACTTGTGTTTCTGCTTCACTTTTTTTCACTAGAAGAGCTTTGAAAGGGTTACTTCTGATGGTGTGCCGCATGTGTCAAAGTTCAACCCAGATCAGCTGATGTTTACTTCCTTAACATGATCACCTTGTATTTATAGTTCTACAAACACTTAGGTGTTTTGCTGCTTAAATTGTGCCTTAAAGTTTGGCAACACAAATAAAGATCATTCAAAAACGCGTCAGTTTCATCGACATAAACAGGATTATTGATTTATGGCTGAGTTTGAGTTCTGCTTGTTTACTTACGTTTAATAAAAGACAGACTGCGTCGAAGTCAGTGTGGCTCAGAGGCAGCTCTGCGTGTTGGTTATTTGTGCGCATGTGACGGGAACGCGCACGATGCGCAGCAGCACGCTCGTGCACGCCGCTGCGCGTTTCTGCGTGCAGTCACTTTGGCGCACGGACCTCTCCAAGTTGAGAGCGCGAGATCATCCTCGACTTCGATCTGCTTTAACTTCACTTTGCAAAGGTCGGTCGGTGAATTAATCATTTTATTAATAATAATAAGGTTGGAGCTAGAAGTTTTGTCTGTGACGCGCTTTGGAAGCATTTAAACTTTTAGGAGGCGGGGTCCTCCTCTCCACTGGACTCTTTGTTCATTTTGCTTTACTCAACTATTAATAACTAACAATGAGTTCTTATTTAACCCAGTTTAGGTGTTTAGTCCTTTTAATTAGCCAGATATAAGGACCGTGACAATGTAAGCTAGAGTTGTGCCATTTACTTTAAAAACGTAAACTTTAAATAATTCATTCTATCAATTCAAATAGTTCTCTTGATTTTAAACATTTAAGTGAAATCAAACCAGTCGCCCCCTCCCAAAGCTGATGCTGTGTAAGTGCAGGGAGGGAGGAGATTGTGCACCATGGAAAATGTCTGCCTGACCAGCTAATTAAATCCTGATGATTTTAGGAGAGTCAGCTTTCATTTTGATTTTATAAACATAAGAAATGTGCATTTAGTTCAAAGAATGGTTCATCTATGAAGTTGCCAACAGGAGTATAAATGAGTCCCAACTAATGCTCCAGTTGTAAACAACTGACTCATGTTTTGACCCTCTGCGCAGGTTGGTCATGGGAAACAGGTTTAGTAGAAGGCGAGATGCTCCGGCCAACGTTGCTGGGACGGTGGCCGCTGAGCAGAAGACCGTAGCGACGCCCAAGCAGACTGAAGATCCGGTGGTGACACAGACTCAGGAGACGGAAGATCTAGAAGTGATGGCACCAGATGCGTCTTCACCCAAAGAGGAGTGTGTGAGGAGTGTGGGTGATGCAGAATCAGAGCCCACAACAGAGGAACCTCAAGTTTTAACCTTCAAGATTTCAGATCCAGAGGACTTAGCACAACCTGAAGTAATGTTTGAAGCTCTAAAACCTGACCCAGTTTCTGTTCTTGAATCAGAGCCTGCATCCCACCCAGAGGCAGATGCTGAGCTCCTCTCTGAGCCAGTACCAACTCCAGCTGAGGCTCTAGAGCAGCCCGAAGATCTGCTCAATCAAGAATCAGTCCTTTCTTCACCCCCATTCATCGACTTCCTTGATGTTGCTTCTTCACCAACTCTCATCTCTGCTTCCCTCCATCCAGACGAGTCATCTGGCGTTTCAGGAGGGGAGCAATGTGAGGTTGGGCGTTCCATGCTAGAGCCAGAGAAGCTCCCAGGAATTACAGAATTCCTGGACAAGCCGATGGAGGCGGAGGCTGCCGAATGTTTGGAGATGCCTGTGAGTGATGTCAACGAGGAGAACGTTAGCGAAGTCCTGAAAAATTCAGAGTTGAAAGGAAGTGACTTTCTGAATGACATCATCGAGAGCGAAGTCAAGATCCCAGAAGACACGCCCATCACAGACCTGAGCACGCCCATCGAGCTGATGTGAATCCAGTCGAGGATTTAAGGCAACGATGTAAGATTTTCCTGTGAAATCTTAACATTTTACAGAAATCTGAACAGAAAAGAGGACTTCAATTCCAACAGCCTTTTTGCTTTAAAATGAAACGAATGTACCATAACTGACCTGAAGTCTGCATATTGAGACTTTTTGGTTTATTTTCATTAAATTCGAGCTGCTGGTTTGAATTCAGAAGTTGAAACAGCAGCTGCATTTATCACCAGACAACAGAGATCTTCCTCTTTGCAAGTTTATCGACCAAATATTTAAGCTTTTGTCACACTTTGTAGAAATAAAAATGCCATGTTTAAAAAAAGTTCTACGTCTCTGAGAAGAACACAAAACTGAGTCACACTTGTAAAGGAACCAAATAGTTCAGGTGAGGGACAGGGGCGGAGTTAGGCCTGGCTACTTGGGCTCAAGGCCCGAATGTTTTATGAAAAGCCCCGGATCTAAAACGCGGAAGTAACATGCAGTACCAAAGTCCAACAGAGAGGGAGCAGCTGGCAGTAGTTTGTATACAGCCTGCCTGAGCCTCCACCACTGAAGAAGAAGCCCTTCAGCAGCCGGCTTCTTCTACACTCTCTGCCTGAAACGCATGAGTGAAGATGGACATAAGGATGTTTTTAGACCAAAAGTACCGCGACAGAACCCCAGCTTTGATGAGACTGGTGTTGACTCAGGTTTGTGAGTCTTATTTGAAAACACTAACAGGAACAATACTCTGCCCTGAATATGCTTAATATGTAGCTTCAGATTAAAAATTATGTGGTACAACACAAATATATATGATGTTGACTAGTGTGTGTCACGTGTGTGTGTGTGTGTTAAGCCCCGGATCTTCTTCAGTCCTAAATCCGCCCCTGGTGAAGGAGAAGAAAATACAATCAAAGATTCGCTCAGTTCTAAAGTACGACTAGTTTTCATGCATTAACACGGGGATGTTTGAACTTTTTATTAGTACTCACGATGAAATGAAGGTCATTTTTAATAAAGAAGTGGCTTGCATCAAATAAAATCAAGATATCTGTGCTCTGGTCCTTTTGCTTATTTACTTATCTAACAGAAAGTGTAATTAGTGACTGACTAATGGAGATTCTGGCATTTAGTAAGAATAAATGTTCAGTCATGGTAAAGGAACTCCAGCGTGAACATCACTGAGAAGAAACTGAGCTTTTTCACCGTCTCATGGGAGGGATGTGTGTGTATGTGTGTGTATATGTGTGGGTCAAATTCTTTCCAGAGGAAGGAGGTTTTCGGGGGTCAAAAGTCTTCTGCATGATAAATCTGCTCCCACCACATTCCCTCGGCTGTCCCGGCATCTAGAACAAGCTGCCCGCCGCTTCACTTAAGTGAAAACATAAGATGATTGTTGAGTTTAATGAAGTAAGGGTTGATTTTGCATTTAGACGATTAAAAACCTCCAGACACAGCTAACTTTGAAGCTGTTGTCCCAGAACCAGACGAATGGGTAAATCCCATGGTTTACTGGTGAGTCCCAACAGACTGGGAGAGGCAGGCGATAGTGACCTCAGTCCAGCTCAGCTTCAGTAAAGGATACAGTTTGCAGGCTGAGCTGCTTCTTGATGCGCAGAGAATAGATAAGCAGAGTGATTGGTGCCATTTGTGATTCCTGTCATACCAGAGGCTTTCAGCTCCATAAACAAAAGTGCTGGAGTCCGGTCCCCTCTCCCCTTGTTGATTTCCTGTCTCTGCGAACTGCCGCAGCCAAAGCACACACAAAGAAAACAGAACCCAGTATTTGCTTCCGTGAGATCAAATTTTTTTATTTTAAGGCTCGAAGCAAAAAGAGTTTTATTGTCTCTTCGGGGATTTGTGACAAACATGTTTTTTGGTCACAGACAAGAAAAGAGAAGCTAACTTCAACCTTCTTTTAATAAAGTTGTAAATCTAAAGTCCACACATGTGAAAGCTTTTCAGTTTTCTCTGAAACGAAACCGTCCAGCTTAAACAAACATGTCTTTAACTGACAGATCATACAAATATTACTAAATACCAATAAATACTTAATAAATATACTGACCAAATCCAGCATTTTATGTCGAACAAAAGGTTAAAAAGTCTAATAAATAGATGTGGTTGAACATATCGCGGCTGTAGGGCTTTTTAAAAGAGGAACAGATGAGATGAATCCAAGTGAAGACCAGGACCTCAGGACTAAGGAACACCTCCCTCTTCAGCGTTACTTTTCTAAGGACAGATACAGAAATGTGAAGTTAATTGAGAATTTCGTTGCGATCTGACAGTTGTGTTGAAAGTCACCTCGCTTCTAGACTTTCACTTTACCATCAGCCTTCTGAATTTCTTGGCCAGATCAGTGTTGGTGCGTCCAGGTTGGAAGGGATACGACCACAGGATGGTGTTCCAGGAGAAGCCATGTTTCTTTACCCCAGTCAGAAGGTAATGAACCTCCTCGCGGCTGAAGTCCTGCCTCTTTCTCCTCTATCGGTGTGTCAACAAAAAGCAGAAGAGAAAGGAATCGAGTGAAGATGCCAAACAAAGTCCAGCTCACGTGGAAAAATAATAAACATCTTCTAAAGCTTCTAAATACCAACCACCGCATCGAAGTCGTAGTTTATCTTCCTGAAACATAATCTGGCCTCCACATGTAACCTGTGCTAATATGATTGTTTATGTCTGATGTTTTAAATGAAGTTAGTCAAAACAAAGACATTGTGGGTTTTTATTGCTCCCACACACGCTAACTGAACTGAAGCTGTGTTTCAGTCATCTTAAGCAAACACATCAACTCTTACAGAGGAACAGTGGTCTGAGCTGGTGTGTGACGGCTCTTCTGTTGTACTCCCTCGTCTCTCTGGATTTGAGGTATAAAAAAAAAACAAAAACAATGATTAGCTCTCTAACTTTTCCTGGTCTCACATTAAAACTAGCTAATGCAAGCTCAGAGGAACACAACCCTCAAGACAGAAATTAGAAGGCTAAAACATTTTACAAATGGGGGGAAAAAGGAGAAGAGTGAAAGAGAATGGAAAAGAACATTAACAATGTGGCCCGTGCTGTGGAAAGAAATAAATGTGATACACTCTGAATGTGTGCACTGGAAAAAGCATTTGGCTGAGAGGTAAAAAGAAACGATAAATCACATCAAGACAGCGAGACGGCTCTGTACAGCAGTGCCGCTGCAGCGTCCGGGACAGAAGAACAAAATCAGGCTCGAAAAACAGAAATAAGATAAAAACACAAACATTTAGACGCGCTCCCATCCTTACATTGTCCATCTGTTTCTCTCTGATCTAACTTAGCAGATTATGTCAGTATCTTACACACGCGCGCACACACACACACACACACACACACACACGTTAAACAAAGTGTGAAACTGCTTAATACAGCTGTGGTGCTCTGAACCAGCTCTGCCCCGCTGGCTGCAGCTCAACATTCTTTCTGCTCTCGTGTTTGTCTGCTGCCAAGAATACACCACAGCTCTCACCACACACACACACACACACACACACTTACACTTACACACACACACACACACACACACACACACACACACACACACACACACACACACACACACACACACACACACGCGAGTATGCAGATACCTGAGTCAGGTGTTTGACGTCTACGTTCAGGTACAGGCCTCCTGTTCAGGGGAGTCAGAGCATGACCTGAGAAGACATTTTTTATTATGTTTAATTTGTGCTAAAGAGGTCCAACGGTAAACAGGTTGCTCCCCATCGGGCTCTCATACCAGTTCTGCAGTGAGATCTAGAGCTTTTTCTGTTCAGAGGAGTCAGAAGGACGCCTAAGGAGAAGGTGGAATCCAAAAGTTTACACAGAGAAGCATGAGTTTGTTTTTCTGATGTGGCTGTGTGTCAATAAGAAACCATGCATGTGATCATTTCAGTTAAGATTTAAATGTAAGGGATCATGAATCGGCTCCTCTAAATCCGAGACCATGGTCTTGAGACAGAAATGGGTAGACTTCCTTCTACAGGTCAGGGATGAGGTCCTGCCCCAAGTGAAGGAGTTTAAGTATCTCAGAGTATTGTTCATGAGTGAGGGAAAGATGGAGAGTGAGATCGATAGGCGGCTTGGTGCTGCGTCTGCAGTGATGCGGTCATTGTACCGATCTGTTGTGGCGAAGACAGAGCTGAGACGAAAGGCAAAGCTCTCGATTTACCGTTAGTTCTACGTTCCGACCCTCACCTATGGTCACAACTTTTGGGTAGTGACCGAAAGAGCAAGATCGCGGATACAAGCGGCCGAAATGAATTTTCTCCGCAGGGTGTCTGGGCTCTCCCTTAGAGATAGGGTGAGAAGCTTGGTCATCCAGGAGGGACTCGGAGTAGATCTGCTGCTCCTCCACATCAAGAGGAGTCAGTTCAGGTGGCTCTGGCATCTAGTTAGGACGCCTCCCTGGTGATGTTTACATTTTATTACGTCCAACAGGGAGGAGACCTAAAGGAGGACCCAAGACTGGAAAAACTATGTTTCTCAGCCTTGGGATTCCTCCAGAGGAGCTGGGAATAAAGCCTCCAAGTGGCTGAGGAGAGGGAAGTCTGATCCTCGCAGCTTAGGCCGCTGCCCCTGCGACCCGATCCCAGATAAGCGGCTGAAAATGAACGGATGGAAGATCATAAATCCAGAAGCACTTTGGGTGATTCTTTATAGCCATTTTATGAATTCTAAACTAAACACCAACATTTACGTGCTGCTAGGTAAATAACTCTATTTGTTTACTTGTTTTTCTTTCCGTTTCAGTAGAATGTATTTGTAAGATTGCTGATATTTTGGAACAAGAGGGCTACATTTATTTTCTTTCCGATTCAAACATCGAGGCGTCCTCCCACCTGAGCACTCACAGCTTCTTTGTGACTTTGGAAGAGAAGCGCTCATAGAGTGTGTGTGTGTGTGCGCTACAGCATCGTTCTGTTGCTTTTTCATCAGCGCAAAGTTAAGGTGCTGCCTCCTGAATCGCTCTGTGGCCTCTCTGAGGACTAGGTGCATGTCACAGGTGTTGTGGCAGGAGCTTTGAAGAGATGCAAAAGTGCGACTGGTCACTTCTTCAAAAGACAGCACACAACCTAGGAAGGACAAAGAAGAGCTTCAGAAGTGTTTTCAAGAATAGCTCAGAAGAACTTAGACTCAGGTCTAAAATATTAAAGATGGTCTGAGCTTCTTAATGTATTTGATACTAAATATGTCAACATAAAACAACACAACACATTTAAGATATAAAATACTTTGTGATAACGTGCTTGCACAACAAATGTATTTAAATGTAATATACTGTTAATCTGGTTTATCTACAAACAATAAATGATTTATTCTTAATGATTGGACTGAAAACCCAATGGAGTCTCAGGATCTGAAAATATCTAAAAGTTGCAGAGACAACATTATTATGACTTGTGTAATTGTGCACCAAGTGAACCTTACATAAAGGATAAGACTGAAAGTATAGATGAAATCATGTCACAGAAGGTCCATCAAGCGATTATTAAACTGTCTAATAATAAAGCCACTGGATTGGATGGATAAAGTATACTAGCGGTAGATTAGCACCACTCCTTACTAGCGGTAGATTAGCACCACTCCTTGCTGTATGCCTTTCACCTTTTCTTGCTCATGGACGTTTGCCCGATTCAGTGCTAGCTGTTCTACTGGTCCCAGTGATGAAAGACAAGGGTAGGAGAGCTGGTAGCACACTCTCAAAAGTCTTGGAAAGAATTCTGCTGCACAGAATTAACGGCACCTTAAAAACCACAGATAATCAGTCTGGCTTTAGTCTGAGCTTGGTACAGACACGTGTATTCATGCTCTAAAGGAGATCGTGACCAAATACAGAAACCAGATTTCCTCAGTCACTATGTGCTAGATGCATCCAAGGCATTTGATAGAGTTAACCATAGGAAAATATTCATGAAGTTGCTGCAGAGAGGTGTCCCAAAACACATAGTATGTATCCTGGTTTATTGGTGTGATCAACAAATGCTACAGATAAAATAGGGTAACAGTATCTCAGAGCCATTTAAGGTCAGTAATGGAGTCAGACAAAGAGGCATTCTATCTCTTCTTTTTAACGTGTACATGGATGACTTATCAGTGAGGTTAAAGCCTGCAGGATTGGTGGTGTTGTCATAAATCACCTGATGTATACAGATGATTTAGTGGTTCTAAGTCCGAGCACCGCTGGTCTACAGCAGTTACTAGATATCTGCTCTGACTATGGAGTAGAGCACAACGTGGTTTATAATGCAGCTCATGTGTGGTTGTGATTTTCTGGGCCAGGAGGACAAGCAAATGACGTTTCCAGATTTTTATCTGTCAGACTGTGATTAGTGTCACCAAGGAAGTAAAATATCTTGGTCATATCATCACAGAGGACATGAGAGCTGATGATGGCACGTTTAGGCAGTGCCGTATGGTATATGCTCAGGGTAATACAGTTTGGGTCTTGTTCTGATAAAGTAAAGATAACCTTGTTGTACACCGCTGCACACGGCCCACCTGAGCCAGGCTGCAGGTTGCCTATGATGAAGCTCTGCGTTTGAAAATGAGGAAGCCTAGATGGACGAGTGCAATTGAGACTTTTGTAAATGCGAGGGTGAGCACCCTACAAGCAGTTTTAAGAAATTTCATTCAAAAATTATTTTGTAGGTTGAACAATTCTAAAAATGTGACTGTTTTAAATCTAACCAGTACCTGTGTCAGTGCAAAATGTTACCAATCAAAGATGTGGAAACATTGGTATTACAGTCTTGTTCTGTTTTAGATTACAGGGAGTTGCTATGTTATTGTTGTCTGTTATCATGATTATGTTGTCTCTTAAGCTTTAGCGTGTCATACTGTGTTTATTTTATTTTATCTGCACAATGTCTTTCTACTTCTTTGAACTGGACTAAGAGTCCAGAAAAAAGACTCCTTGACCGGACTCTGCTGGTTTAATCAGTCGGTAGCTGACGTTACCGGCACACCGGGTGTGAGAGACTGGGTGTCCTTTCCTTGGAATCTTCTCCATCCAGGCTGACTCATTCTTCTGGAAATCTACACATGAAAAACAAAACACACACAACAAGTCACACTGAAATCAAATTAACTGTGTGATAAAAGTAGAAAGCGATGTCACTTACTGTCAGAACAGGCCATCTTTTCTGATTTGGCCTGCCACACTGCTAACGGCCGTCTAAACAGCTGACTAAATCAAAACAAAGGGAAAGATAATGATTAAGCACATATTTCTTCTTTTCTGTTAGTAAACTGTATCACTGACTTGTTTGGGAGGTGTGACTCGCTGCTGCTCTCTAGTGGCGACACAAGAGAGGACATGGGGTCTCCTTCCTGGTCCTCTGAACACATCAGATCCCACTGATTGGTTTGTGATTTCCTAAATCCCTTCTGTTGACTAATATTGTGTTTATCAGTTGTGCATTTGTGAAGGTTAATGCAGCCGTCGCAGCCTTTCTGTACACGCTTCTGTGTTTGGCTGGGTCTGATGGGTTCCCTTCTCTGTGGTGGAAGTACAACTGGGAACTGAGACATAGGAATTTCACCTTCAGTTGAATCTGAATCGTTAACGTCTTCCTGCTCATCGTCAGCTTCCTAATCCACATAATCACACATAATCAGTCACCATAATGAACACTGACACATGTGAGTGTTTGGGTGCACATCTGACCTTCAGCTGATTCTTCTCCAGTGCTTCAATCCTTTGCAACATTTCTCTGGCTGCAGCTCGGAAGCCTCCAATGTCTCTAAGGGGCTCTTCGTTTCCAACCTGTGTTTGCACCAGACCGTGTACTTCTAAGCTCAAGGCTGAAAAGGCAAATCAGAAAACTCTTAAACAGCATTTTCCAGTAAATTACTCATGAATTTAGATACATGCCAAACCTCCTAATTTCACTTACTGGCCTGTTTGCACGTCTGCAAGATGAAAGCAGCGGCCTTCCTAACCTCCTCGTTTGTGTCCTCTGTGAGGAAGGTGATTATGATCGGCAGGCCTCCACGCTGCACCAACTGGGACTGGTGATTTTCTGCAAATGTGGATGAAATCCTTATGATAAAAGATCCTGCAACAACTTGTCCTACAGCTGTCTAGTCTCACCTGAAGCCTCAGTGCACAGCCCGATGCAAAGCAAAACCGAGAGTATGTCATCGGGGTCCGTGTGTGAGCTTGTGAGCAGAGAGAAGAGGTGGGACACCACGCTATACTGAGACAGACCTGAAGCCAGATTTGCTGGAAGGATGAAATTGTATTAGAAGGTGGAAAACTAATCAGGTTAACTCTTTGTAAGTGATTGCGTTCAAGGGAAGTACGCACGGTTATCAGTGATGCAAGCTGACAGGGTCTTGGCTATAATAACAGACAGCTGGTAGGACAATACGCTTGTTTCTGCAGCAGAGGCAACACCAACCAGTGTGAGCGTCAGCACATCCAAACCCCCAGAGACTGAAAAACTCTCCTGAACAAACGCTGCAAAAACAAAGCAAATTTTACACTTGATTTTAAGTTTTAAAAATACTTTAGTAGAAACTGCTGATGACTTACAGTTGTTGGCAACTGTCATTGAAATGAATGAACATATGGGTTGAAATACTTCCGTGCAGTGTGGAGAAATCTGCTGAAGCCAGTGTTTTACAATGGGAAATGCTGCCACACAGATACGCTGACCTTCCTCTGCAGGGCAAAAGAAACACTGGCATCTGATCTCAAGCCAGATATACATTTCACTAATATTGAATGAAATACTTGAATTCAGACCTTAATCTTTCGACTGAAATGCAAATAAAGATAATTACTTTTTTTTTGCAAGGTTAGAAGTAAAATATGCAGCTTTTATTGGTGTGAGATGAGCAAACAATCACTGTGTGTGTGTGACAGTACATGCTACATAATGGATGTTGCTCACTTTCTACAACAAACAAACAAATAATTTTACCATTCTGAGGATTGTTGACGCATCCACATAAAGCACTAGACACCGACGCCCAAAGCTGGTAGCTCTGACTAACAGTTCTGAAATCATTTGTAGAGGAGAGGGGGAAATTGCTCCTGCAAAAAAAAAAAAAAAAAAAAAAAAAACGTATTGGTTTTTCTTGAATTTAAAATTACTAAAAACAGGCACTATATAATGTACCTGAAAAGGTCCAGTAGAATCTCTAGGCAGCCAGTGGATGTGGCTAAAGTTTGTCCTGACTCTGAAACACACACACACACACACACACACACACACACACACACACACACACACACACACACACACACACACACACACACACACACACACACACACACACACACAAATGATAAGCATGATGCATAATCAGCGAAACAAGGTAAGAAGTCAACATTTTTGCTATTCATATATTATGTTAAAAATATGTTTCCCTGCAATATTCTCACATGTCTAAGTGCTCTCCTTGGGTTCAGCGCAAATTATAAGAAAGAAAACTTTAATCAAATGAAGCAGTGGCCTTACTGTTGTTGGCTACCAGCACAAACAGCAAATAGACAGACACCCTCTTCTGTGTCAGTGAGAGGTCTTCTTTCATCAACAGGCTGGCAATGTCTGTAAAAATGTCTTTTCTGCACAGAGAATTCTTGCAGTATACTACCGTGTGAAAAAAACACAAAGAAAATAACTAAATTACAACCATCACGTAAAAATCGCATCAATGTGGTGTTTCAGTGCACTTGTGCACCCACCGTTAGCTGCAGCCAAAGTGCCAAGTGTGTAGAAAGCTGCAGCCTTCACTTCTGTTTGAACATTACTGGATTTGGAAAGATTATACAAGAACACCACACCTCCCAGTTCTCTTAGCAGGTCCACATTATCCTCTGAAATGATTTGGAACAAGAATGTTAAATTGTTGTGCTAAATACATGAATATTACTTTTTTCATCACCAAAATTAGCAACACATCTATTGTGTCTGTTACCACTTTTGTCACAGATAGAGTGAATGGTGAGAAGGGCTTGTTTCTGTATATCCGGACTTTTCATCTGAAACTTCAAACACTCAAGCAGCAAACTGAGATCTGTCTTTGTGGCTGCAGGAAAGCACGAGAGCAGCTCAATAGATGCTATTTTAAGCACATCCTGGGGAATTTTTTTGTTTTAATTAGTAGTAAGGTTACTTACCATTGCGGCGGCTGCTGCAAACACTTGTTCTATTCATTTTGCTGACTGATAAATGACGTGTTTAAAAACAAAATATCCAGTTGGTATAACCTAATGTTTACTTGTCTTACATGTCGACAGCCACTCACGTTTAACACAAAGTGGAGGCGATGTTTTCAGTTAGCGCTAGCTTGAAATAAATGCTGATTTCGCCATAAAACACAGGTTATATTACTCCTACACAAACCGTCAAAGCACAATATGTTTTTACGCTAATACCCGGACTACAAAATCCGAACTCAAGTGTAACTCTATTAAAGGAGAAGAATTTTTGGCTACCAAAAAAATTAGCGCTAGCTAGTTCGATGAAACTTCGAACTTTTTCGTTACTATGGAAATCAACATCCGATGATGCGCGAGCTGTGCCGTCACACGTACGTATATGTACAGTCTATGGCCGTCACACGTAGCTGAACCTGAACCGTCGACAGCTATATAGATATATAGAGCTGAACGCATATATATATATATATATATATATATATATATATATATATATATATATATATATATATATATATATATATATATATATATATATATGTGCATGTGTGTGTGTGTGTGTGTGTAGTGGGTCAGGGCTTTCAGTACGGGTGATGACCATAATATAGGTTCTGTGGAGATAAAATTTTTACTGAATATTATATTGTACTCGTCAAATGTTTATTGTTCAAAACACACATTTTATTTTATCTACTAAAATGTGTGTTGGTTTAGTTGAAATAGGCATGTTTCCCCCTCTTGGTCTCCTCTCTGATTAACACCAGAGAGAGAGCTTTAAGTTGTTGTCGGTTTGCTGCTCCCTGTTTTAGCAGAGGGAGTTTATTTAGTTTACTTATTAAATACCTTTTATCCAACTTTTTGTAAATAAACCTTTTGAAACAACCATTCCGTTAACCTCGTCCCATTCACTTATTTACCATCACAAACAGACACCATCCATCGGTGTTCATTCCTTTTTTTTTTTACATTATTTTATTTTTCTCTGTGTTCTCTCCTCACCACTCATAGACGCCAGAGGGCATGTAACATTCTGTATCGAACTCGTTTAGTAGTTCAGGAAACGAGAGTTTGATCAGTTGGTCCATTTCTGCAGCAGTTTGAGAATCAACCAGGTGTACTTTGGGTTCACGATTCTTTTTGATTTCTTCCATCTGCGGGAAATCTCTTTAGGTGGAACATTTACTTCCTCTGGTTCCTTGACTGCATGAGTCAGAAGTCTCGCTAATCTTTGGAGAAACGTCTTCAGATGCAAAACTGTAATTTTCTGCATCAATATTAAAAACCTGCAGTATTTCTTCATCTGCTTCAGTCTCTGATGAAAATACACAATCCTGCATTTCTTTCTGTTTAGGAGGAACATTTGTTTCCTCTGGTTCCTCGACTGCTTGAGTTTTGGACATCTCGCTAACTTCTGAAGTAAAGTTTGCAGGTGAAATATCAATATTTTGTGTAAAATCAGTCACACTTTTTACAATTTTCTCATCTGCTTCAGTCTCTGATGCAATGAGATCCTTTGCTTCATTACTAATCACTGTGTTCAGAGTTTCTGTCAATGCAGTTTGTTGTGAGGAATTATTTCCTTCAGAAATTATTTCTTGACATGTTTCTGGGATGTACTCTTCAGGGTGACGTCCTTTCTTTCTCCTACGAGAGTTTTGCTTGACGCCAGCATTTTCCTCTCCCATGATTTCAAAAGACAGATCTGTTAGGCTGAACCTGTTTTCTGTATCAAACTCGTTTAGTAGCTCAGGAAATGAGAGTTTGATCAGTTGGTCCATTTCTGCAGCAGTTTGAGAATCAACCAGGTTTACTCTGGGCTCACGATTCTTTTTCTTCCTTCTGCAAGAAATCTTTTTAGAGACATTTAGCTCCTCTGGTTCCTCGACTGTCGGACACTCAGGTATTGCAGTGACTTCGAAATCATAGTCTGCTGAAGATCAAATGTAATCTTCGTAATCGATCAACACGTCTGGCTTTTTGTCATCTGTTTGAGTCTCTGATGCAAAATAATCTTTTTGTAGAAAATCAATCCTTTTTTGGACAATTTCAGAGTCTGAGAGTTTCTTGTTCCAAGAGGACATTTGGATAATTTTCAGTCTGATTAGAGATATTTTCTGAAACTGTCTGAGTTGAAATCGTTCTTGTTTCTTTTTTCAGTAAAGTCTCTTTTCATTTCATATTATTTTCCTCCTGTTCCCTCAGTTTGTTTGCCAAATAAAGAATTGTTGCGTTTTTATCATCTAGTTCTTTCTGGATTCGATTTATATCCATCAATATTTCATCAACTAGAGGTTCCCCGAAGTCAGAAAACATGTCTTGTTCTGGGATTCTGCAGCTGGTATCATCTAAGTCGCTCATAGATCCTTGTTTATCGTCATAATTCATGTTTTTCTCATCATAAATTGGGTCATAGGGATAAATGATCATTCCCACATCTGGTAAATCACCCAATTGTTTCTCAACCAAATCGCCCCACATTGACCCATCCATCCATTCATCCATCCATCCATCCATTGCCTGAACCCGCTTTGTCCACGTAGGGTCATGGGGGAGCTGGTGCCTGTCTCCAGTGGTCAATGGGAAATCAGGCGGGGCACACCCTGAACAGAGAGCCAGTCCATCGCAGGGCAACCCAGAGACACACAGGACAAACAAACATAAACACACACACTCACACCTAGGGACAATTTGGACAGACCATTTAACCTAACAGTCATATTTTTGGACTATGGGAGGAAGCCGGAGTACCCGGAGAACCCACGCATGCACAGGGAGAACATGCAAACTCCATGCAGAAAGATCCCAGGCTGGGAAGCGAACCCAGGACCTTCTTGCTGCAAGGCAACAGCTCTAACCACTGTGCCACTGCACAGCCCCCCACAGTGACCAATCTTCATTATTTTCAACGGTACTAAGAGATTCCATCATGGAGGTGTTGGATAGAGAAGTGTTTTCAGTCATGTTGAGTATAAAATAATCTTTGATAGGTTCTGGAGACACGTCTGGAAGAGATGCTTCACACATGCACACTCAAAGACTTATGACAGGAGTCGGGTCTGGGTGCTCCTCATACAGGCTCTGGTTCGTTTTCATGTAATCAGCCTTTATGTCATCAAAGCTGCTCATGCTGCTGCTGCTGCTGGTGGTGATGATGCTGAAAGTTCTAGAACCCTGCCCTGCAGCATGTTTTAATTGTTTCTGTGCTCCAGAATGCCTGACTTCATGGTGGAATCACCTATTAAGCAGCTCATGAAGCTCTATTAAAGTCAGGTTTGCAGAAACAACTAAAACATGCAGTTCAGCTGCCTTCCCGTGTTACAAGGAAATAAAAAAAGGTCAAACAAATTTATTAAATAGTTAAATGGACCCAATATGGATTTTATTACTTGTATTAAAGGCAAGAACTGGACACGCTCTAAAGTTTTTCAGTATTTTTTTAGATTTTGACAGGCTGTGGGAAAAACATGCTCTACAGATGCTGTTGAATGAGGAAACAGATGTTTTTTACTTTGGTAAATCTTCTCAAATGTTTCAAATGTTTTGCACTTTTACATTGTCCTGAGGACTGTTGTGAATGAAGAGCTTTTGGGGATGGCATGTTGTGTCAAACATGTTTTGGATTTAAAAAGCCCATGTCTGACATCTTCTATTTATCGATGAAAACAAATCCATGTGAAACAGTCGGGATGCATCGGGATATCGAATCAAATCGAATCATTGACCCAAAAATCATATCGGGAGACTAGTAAAGTTTCACACCTCTACCATGTAAGAGTTTTAACTCTCTGTCTGTATAAAGTTTGTAATGAATCACGTTTTGTGCGTGTATGTCGGTAGGAGTGGGAGTTGGGGGTTCTGGTTTGTCTTGGATACAGGAAAGGGGATCCTCAAGGGAAAAGAGGCAAAACAGCTGTAACAGACTGATTTATGCGAGCAAATCTGAACACACACAAAGTCAGATGACAGAATGCCCTGCCGTCAGATCTGATCTGTGCACATGGCACCCATCAGATTCTGTAATTAATGAAAATAAAAAGCTAGTATTTCAGTAAATATTCAAACAATTGTCAGGCAGTGTTGGTTTGTTAAAAAAGTTAGATATTTATAACTGGAGATGTAAGGAAACATCAATACACTTTAATATTGTTATTTGGCATTCATGCATGATTAAAAGTGGGTTTTTGATTTTTTTCATTGATAACAACAAGATCTCGCGATAACACTGGGTGCGCCCTGGAAGTGTCTGACCTGAGTCTTTCAATTGTTTTCAGTCTTAAAAGGCACAAATATAAATGAAAGGCTCAGGTCAGAGGCTTCCAGTGTTATCGCCAGATATTGTTTATTTATGTGGAATTATCCTGAAAACAAATGACTTGGTATTTCATGTAAACAACACTTTGTGGATGTGGTAGGATGGCAGCAAATGTGTAATCCTGTAAGTTTCTTTGGTCATCTTTATATTTTAGCTTTTAAATATTTTGTCTGACAGCCTTAATGCTAAATCTGCAGGTTTGCTGCTTCACCTCTTGATGTTTCTGTGACAGATAATCCAAACCAGCTTCTCTATCCTGAGGAGCTGGATGCATACAAATCTTGTTTCATTTGTGCACATCAGAGGCCAGGGCTTGATACTGTGTTGTGTTACAGTGCGCTGCTTTTGCTGAGGGATTATGACCCATCTCTTCTGCAGTGGGCTCTGTATTACCCTGACGCCTGCAGACCCAGCCCAAGAGGCCGTTCTAGTACACCTTTGTCTGTGCCTGCTGTTGATTTACTCATTTACCACCCCCACACCCCTGCTGCATGCTGTGGGTCCTGATGTTGGGAGGGGTCAATACCAGCTTTTTGCCTTTCTGCTGAGGGTCAGAAAATAAGGCACACACCCTCAGAAGGTTGGGTTTTAAACTTTAAAAACACGTGCACACACACACACACACACACACAAGGGCGTAGGAACCGGGGGGGGCGGGTGGGACGTGTCCCCTCCAATATTGGACAAACGCGCATTTGTCCCCCCTCCCCAATAACATGGAGAAGAAAAAAATTGATTTTGAAATATTTGACTCGCGACAGGCTGGCTGAGTGAAGCGGGAGTTGGAGCCGGGACAGCAGCTCAGCGAGTTCTTCTCATGGGCAAAAAAAGAAAGAAAGGAAATGTGAGTTGGTAATAATTTAGTCCAAGAGGATAATTGTATTTCTGGTCAAACGTTAGACTGGCTGACTAACGTAAACATCTTGCTAGACAGCATTAAACAACACTACTAGTCAACAAAAAATGGCGAATTTGACACAATTTGACAGTAACAGACAAAAACCATTTGACACGAAATAAATAAAAAAGTAGAATCTCCACATAAAAATGGAATTTGTAAGTGTGATTGTTGCTTGTTTGTTACATTCTCATCACATTTTATTTTGAAACCTTATTCATGTCACTTTTTTCATATAAGAGACCAGAGGAAGTTCAGCAGGAAAATGATGAAGGTGAGACAGGGAGCGCCAGACCTGCTGAGGGTGAGACAGGGAGCACCAGACGTGCTGAGGTGCAGGTAGGTGCTACAATGAAGAGTGAGATTTTAGATGGTTGATGATGAGAGGAAGATTCGAGCATGATAACGAGTGAACATGACTAAATAATACTTACCATGATTTTAACATTGCACTAGTCCTCCAACATTATTTTTTACTCCTTATTCCTGTCCACTGTTTTTATATTAGAGATCAGATGAAGTTCAGCAGGAACCAGCTGACGGCGACACAGGTAGAGCCAGACCAGCTGAGAGTGAGACAGGTAGAGCCAGACCAGCTGAGAGTGAGACAGGGAGAGCCAGACCAGCTGAGGGTGAGTCAGGGAGAGCCAGACCAGCTGAGGGTGAGTCAGGGAGAGCCAGACCTGCTGAGGGTGAGACAGGGAGAGCCAGACCTGCTGAGGGTGAGACATGGAGAGCCAGACCTGCTGAGGGTGAGACAGGGAGAGCCAGACCTGCTGAGGGTGAGACAGGGAGAGCCAGACCTGCTGAGGGTGAGACAGGGAGAGCCAGACCTGCTGAGGGTGAGACATGGAGAGCCAGACCTGCTGAGGGTGAGACAGGGAGAGCCAGACCTGCTGAGGGTGAGACAGGGAGAGCCAGACCTGCTGAGGGTGAGACAGGGAGAGCCAGATCAGCTGAGGTGCTACAGTGAAGAGTGAGATGATTTTAGGTGGCTGATGAGAGGAAGATTTGGATGTGATAATAAGTGAACACAATTGAATGTATTTAATCCCAACAAGAGCTGGGCAGTACGGCTTAAGAATAAAATAAATGCTTCCTTAGAAATATTAGAAAAATAAGTGTAAAACTCTGCTTTCTGGTGCATTTAGACTGCAATTTTGGCCACTGATTATTTGCCCGTCTGAAAATTAACGTAGTTCCAGCTGTTGCTGTGAGTGAATTATTTCTTTTTTCATTCTGTCAGAAGCAAACTGATTTTTCTGATTGTTGGTCAGCATTGTTGGCTGATGTAGTTTTAAAACTTCTGATGAGTCAGATCAATTCAGACTGAATATTCACAGCTTTAGTCTTGTATTAAATCTGTTTACTCATCTCTACCCTTATGAATAAGATAATATATCCTACATACTGTATTAGTAAATAAAGATAAAACAGTACTGATGCATAAACAGCTTTTTTATAATTAAAACGTCCACGTTGGCCGGTAATCACCTGGATCTGGCTAATGGGGAGCCTAAGTCTCCTCCCCTTCTGGCTGGCTCATGGGTCCCTGATAAAAAAATAAAAAAACAGAATGTTAGTGAACTGGGCTATAAAAGTTATTTGCTTGTCTTTCTGGGCTTTGCCTTACGTCCTGAGTCACATCTGTCAGGCTTTTCTAATCCTAGAGTTTCACCGTCTATCAGATTTTCTGTCAGAAGCTATTGCAGGAGATAGCGGTAGGAGACTATGTTCATGTTCAGCCTGCATGAAACACTCAGTGACACGTTAGAATCAGAAATAATCATTAAATGTATTTTTTTCAGTGAGGTTGACCTACTAACAGATTTGTTAGATTTCCAAAATCCCCCCCCCCCCCCCATATTAAACTTGTTCTACGCCCTTGACACACACACACACACACACACACACACACACACACACACACACACACACACACACACACACACACACACACACACACACACACACCACAACATACACACCAAGTAAATCTGTCTTTGTTTCCTTTATCTCAAACAAAAACATGATGAATACTGTTAAGAATATAAATATGCATTTCCTTAAATAGTGACCAGTAACAAAATGATTTAACGAAGTTATTTATTACTGTAATTATTTGCTTTGATGATGCAGGCATTTCCATTAAATGATAAAACGGCTTTCCTTACGTTATAGATCAAAGCCATGTTTGTTTTGGCAGACGTCGATTCGGTCGTAAGAAAGTTTGTACTCTTTTCCATGTAGTTGTTTATGTAAGGTAATTGTCTAACACGGTGCGTTATAGTAAAATATTTATCTGTAAATTAGTTTACTTTCTGTGAGTCACTTGACCAATTTAACCAAACGATAGCGGAAACCGCTGAAGCTAAGCTAACAATGTTCTGTTTTAAAGCTTTTAAACGGTGTTTAAGGCAAACACACGTTAAACGCATGTGACAGAGGGTTACATCATGAGATTACTTAACGCTGCAGTAGTTTCAAGTCGCAGAGAAGCGTGGAACACCCATAGAGAACACCGAGCGTTCTTTATTTACATTCCATGCGTTCTAACTTGTAACTTCACGGCCATCCTTTCTTTTGCTCTCCATAGACACAAACACCCCATAAATCAGCGCTATGTGTGGACGTGTGTGTGCCAGCCTTCTTCAGAGAGCCTCAAGTTACAGACTGACAGTTTATTCCTCTAAGGTTTGTTTCCAGATCAGACGCAGGGCCGTTTCAAGGCATTTAAGGGGCCAAGGCAAAATGGGCTTGGAGCACCCCTAGCCTTGAGCGCTCAGGAAAACCACCACGCTATTGAATGTTGTCCAAACTATCAATACAATACTGTTGGGAAAGTGCAGATTCTGTTTAGATGTATATTTTATAATATTAAATGCTTAGTAGTCTTTATATGTGAACATTTAAATTTGAACTATTGCAAAAAAACTCACCACTATCACGGAGATTGAAGGGGGCAGCCCGCTGAGCTTGCACAGTGTGGCTTTGCATTTGTTTCATAAATAGTCTTTGTCTGGGGCAGTGATCTTGTTTCCCTTCCTTGGTACAGTAGGCATGATTAAGGTGTTAAATAATTAAATACTCTTCCAGTCATGCTTTTATTATTTTGTTGTGTGTTTCTCAAAAGATAAGTTAACTTCTTTCTTCAGGCAGCCTACCGTTGCCTGACTGGTGAGGAATCTGGAATCTGGTCTAAAAGTGGGAGACATTGCTCCACGCGCCAGGATCTCGACTTCCATCAGAGCCTCGTGCAGATCAACAGCATCCTCAGAAGCTATGAGCAGGTGGTTTTAACAAAGTTTCAACCACCAAGCTAGAGGATGAATAATCTGATGTATTTATTTCTGATTCAGACCGTGAGTGTACCGGAGTTTGATGGCCGGGCTCTCAGTGCTGTGAGAAAGTTTGACAGCAACCAGTTACCGGCTAATACGCCCAATGAGGACCGTCGAAGTGCAGCCACCTGCTTACAGGTAGGTGTGTCTTCAAATCAACCTTTCTTCTACTCTTTCCAGACATACTGAGTGTTTTTTCTCCAGACAATGGGCATGCTCTTTGGTGTGTTTGATGGTCACGGGGGCTGGGCGTGCGCCCAGGCTGTCAGTGAACGACTGCTCTTCTATGTAGCCGTTGCCATGATGTCAAAGCAAAGCCTGGAGGAGCTTGAGAAGTGCATGGAGCATGGCAGACCTGTTCCTCCTATCTTACAGTGGCATAAACATCATGCAGACTTTAACTATCGCGAATCTGCCTCTATGTATATAAACCACCTCAGAGTCTTCTGGCAAGAATTACTGGAGAACGAGGAACATGGTGCAGGCATGAGGTAGATTAACAGATGTTTATTTGTATAAAGGAGGAATATTTTGTTTATGTATTTTCCAAAAGTTTTTTTTCCATGTTCTGCATAACTTATTTACTTCTAGTCCTCAAGATGCTCTGGACAGTGCTTTCAAGCGACTTGATGCTGACATCTCACTGGAGGCTCAAGTGCCCCTGTCCAATGACCTGATGAAAAGCACAGCCATCCAGGTACAAGCGTCAGCTTCAGAGGTCACCAGTGATGGGAATAACAGCGTTAAAAATAATGGCTTCCCTAGCAAAGTTTCTTTTTTCAGTAACATGTAATCAAATGAATTACTCTCTCCCTCGTTACACCGTTTCCGTCACTAAGGCAGCACAGGTGCGTTATTAAAATTAAGTAGCAAGGTGAAGCTGTTATCTGGGTGGAAGCTAAAGGGGGCGTTTGCATCCAAACGCATCACGGCCAATTAGGAAGATGTGACCGCAGGAGTTCCCGTATAAGGAAGGTCTGCTCACCTATCAGACGTCAGTTCATTCATTCCTCGTTTTGTCCTCCAGTCATCCAACTGGAGCCAGTTAGTGTTCCTGATCCGTTCCTACTTCCCTCTGTAACACCAATTCTGCTGGATCATGTCTTGGGCGATCAGGCGATAATAGAACAAACTGTGTATCTTCACCAAACATCATCAGCACTTCAGCGTTTGGGTCTGACCAAAGTTTGCTAATTTAAGTCCTCAGATTTATACCTGTTTTAGTGACATATTTTTAGGATTTTTATTTATAAATATGCTCTGACTAGATTATTAGTAAAAGAAAAGCTTATAAAAACACACAATCATACATCGTTTACAGACAGCTACCACAAAGTTCTTTTCTACGTCATTTGTGAACATTTGCAATCTCCTGTAGAATCACCCCTGTTCTGTTAAACATGTAGAAATAGCTCTATTTTACATTTTAGTCTGTCGGGGTCTTGTTCCATAACCTTGCACTGCAAGATGTATTCTCGCGAGATTTGGAGTTTTCCAAAGTCAGGAGAATCCATCTTGTACCGCTCCAGTTTAAACCGGCCGACCTCCGGCCCAAAACAGACTGATCTAATCGTGTGTCAGCACTGCGCTGTAGGGTGGGAGTTAGTTTTGACGATAGTATCAAGCGCCCGGCGAAGCAAAACAAACATTGTCGGGCTGGTTGACGCTCACGTAGAAGTGGCTATTGAATCAGGTATAGAGGAACTTGAGACTACTACTTCGTTCTTTATGCACATATTCTTCTCGCAAAAACGGCAGAAATCACCCAAAGACATGGTTATTACCGCGAGAGTGAATGAATGAAGCTTGAGCGAGTTGTTGCTGTCCAGGCGCACATGGTATACGTCATTTGAGTTGTCACTGTGATTGGCTAAAGACAAAATATGGTAGCCAGTGCAAGCCGGGCACTACCTTGTGCGACCTCCAATAAGCTCAAAATATTCTACGAGACAGCCCTCCCTCTTTTAGACGGTTTCAGCTGCAGAGAATCCAGATCGAAATGTGTAGACTCGACACGGAGTTCTGGCTGCTTCCAGGTTACTTGTTTCATATTACAGAGTGACGATAGTTTAGATTAGTGTAACGTTTCCTGTTTTTAGGTCCTTCCGTTAAGTGCCAAATAATTTTAGTTATTCTGTTTCATTTTAGTGATTCTAGTCTATTTAGTAGTTTGTAGTTAAGTATTTAAGTCACAGTAATACATAATAAATACTTACATAGAGTATGTAGTGAGTACTATTACTTTTTTCGCAATAGTTACTTTTCCTGGTAGTTAATGTTAGAATCTTGTAACTCAGTTATGAACGCCGTTATCCTTTTGAAGTAATCAGTAAATGTATTTAATTACTTCTCCTACGTGAGATTTCCAGCACCAGAGGTCACACAACTAAAATGAATAAAAGGACATTTTTGTACCTGCAGGTTGCGTTTGCTGGGTGCACGGCGTGTGTGGCTCACGTTGGCATGACTGGGATCCACGTGGCAAACGCAGGCGACTGCCGCGCCGTTCTAGGGGTGCAAAACGAGGACGGATCGTGGAGCGCTCTGCCTCTCTCCCGAGACCACAACTCTCAGAGTCAGGCTGAGGTGGAACGAATTAAGGCCCAGCACCCACCCTCGGAGAGAGACACTGTGATCACAGATGGCAGGCTGCTGGGGGTGAGTTACCGTCTCAGCGCGGTGAAACAAGTCCACCCTTATGGATCACAAACCGGGGTTTGTCTTCTCAACCGTCCAGGTTCTGATGCCTCTGCGTGCGTTTGGTGATGTGAGATTCAAATGGAGCCTTGAGTTGCAGCAGAGCGTTTTAGACAGCTTGGAATCTGGAGTGGACCTAGATGCGCTCAATTTGTATCAGTACACACCTCCCAACTACCTCACGCCACCCTACCTGGATGTGATTCCCGATATAACCTACCACAAACTGAGACCGCAGGACCGCTTCCTGATTCTTGGTACTGATGGGCTTTGGGATGAACTGGGAAACGAGGAGGCGGTCCGACTCGTCGGAGAGCACCTGAGTGGAATTCACTTACAGGTTTTTCCTTAATAACTCAATTATTTCTTTCTACACCTTCCTCATAAAAGCTGTTTGATTGTCTTTTTTTATTTCAGGCTCCAGTTTCTGCGTCTGAGAGGCGGCTGAAATTAGGTCAAATGCATGAGCTCTTGCTGAAACGGCGAGCCCGTGCCTCCCCAGCTCTCGACACCAACGCCGCCTCGCACCTCATCAGGCACGCTCTTGGAACCGGGGAGTACGGAGAGCTGTCCCAGGAGAAGCTGGCCGCGATGCTGGCTTTGCCGGAGGACCTGGCTCGAATGTACAGGGATGATATCACCGCTACCGTGGTGTATTTGAACTATGACCTGGCTAGACCTCGCCACAGTTAGCATGAGTTTTATCCCAAAACATTTATAGCACTTTGCTCAGTTCAGATTACGGCAGGTATTTTTCCTCGCCTAGTATTTTCTGGCCAAACTACATCCTGTTACACAACGTGAAAAGGTGTTACATTATGTGCAGGTGGTACTTAGTATAAACTGTTCTTGTCGCTTTTACAGAGATTGCATATTCATAAATTTACATGAAAATGAAGAAGTGCAGAAATATTTGATGTGAATTACAAAAAGGCACTTTGATCCTTGCCAGTATTGTTTCTCTGTCCTACAGCCATCTGTGCCTTTTGTCCTGCTTACTTTATGTAATTTATAAAAGAAATCCTCAAACCTCTATCATTGATATAAATTATTTTAATTGTCACTTTTCCTTGTGGGAATAAAAAGTACTGAAATGTTTTATAATAATTGATAATCTGGGGTTTTTTGTCATATAAGTTCATGACTTTCGTAAACATGTTTCAGCAAAATAGTTTTATGCACCAACAGCTCAACATGGGAAGTGGGTTGCAACCAGTGGGAGTAGGAGTTTTAAAATGCGCTGCTACTATAGTAGTTGCCGAGTGTCTCTGACAAAACAAGATGAACGGGGCTGTCAATGCCGACTGCTCCAGCGATTTGTGACAGCAGTAGTTAAAATAAAAACACTCATTCTGCTGTCTTTTTGTAAATGTTCCATCTTGTTGTCCAGGTGATGTTTCAGCCAAACAATATTTAACCCGAGGAGATTAAATCATTCTGCCATATCTTCCCCTTCCTTAGGCTGCTCACATTGGCCCCTCATGGTTGTGGGCCCCTGGTGCCCATAATACCCATTAATCTATAGATAATCTGGCTTCGCCATCTTCTGTTAAAATGAGGAGGGAGGAGCTGCAGATGCTTGTTCTCAAGGTGATTTTAATGAAAGAACATGAGAAAAAGACCTGACATATGACATGTCTGTCCTGGGGCCTCATTTATCAAGCTTGCTTACGCACAAAACGGGGTTGGAAAACTGCGTAAGCAACTTTCCACGCAAACTTTGGGATTTATGAAAGAAAACTTAGTGGAAAAATGTGCATAGCTTTAAGTTGACTAAGGACCTTGTTTACGCACATTTTGGACATGGAGAGCACCTGCAGTGCTGCTGAGAAGGATAAAATTATGAAATTCTGCAGCATTATCACTTGTACTGCTTCGTTTTCAAACAGAACAAGACCCCCCACACGCGCGCGTACACACACATACACACACACGCACGCAGCCTGAAGCGCAGAATACGGAATGCAGAATATCAGCAGGGGGACAGTTTGAGACAGAATGTCATGCGTCTGTGACTGTGTGTGTCCTGTCACTGTGATCCAATTAATCATGCACCCTGGCTACTTGTACAGGGGAGATCTCTGTTTGGCTGACTGGTTAGCGTGTGTGACTTTCACCCGGGAGTCTGGGGATTGAATCCCAATTGGACTAAGTTTTTTGTATCCACCACAGATCTCTCTGAAGAATTAACAACATTGACGGCTTCAGCAACGCTGTGCCACTTGTGCATTTTCTCGTATTTGTTTTGCAAAAGCACTTCCTTTCATTTCTCCATCTCACCCAGGTACCTCAATTTCTGCTTCTGTGAAATTGCGCTTCCTTGATCTATGGTCGCCATCGTCATTGGCGGAGCGCTGCAACAGCCGGCTTATGTATATGCATGAGATCGACAAGGCACTTTGCATTGACTATTTATGGCAGTAAGTGGGTGTGGTGAGGGCGGGATGTGACTAAAATGCAGCTGACAAACATTCGCATTAGTCTCTGATTTATGAAGCGGAGATTGCGTGCAGCTGTGCGTACTCCATGTTTGATAGATCACAAACCTACTTGGCGTAAGTACATTTTGTTGCTGAGCTTACGTAGGTTTTAGTAAGGATTCTACACAATGTTTGATAAATGAGACCCCTGGTCCTGTTTTAATGTAGGACTGCGATCTGAACCAGGTCACCGTCTTCAAGCCTTCCACTCTGATGCTTTTCCATACAGCCCTACATGTACTATTAAAATGTGAAGGAGGAGGTAACATAAGAAACATGACAGTGGATTTAAAAATGGGTTTAATTGTTATAAAAGGTTCTAAAACAAGTGCAAACAGATGGTGAGCATTATTAAAATACAAAACAGAAAATTCTCAAACAGGTTAACAATTAAAAGACAACAATTAAAACACCTGGTTAAAACTTTGTTATAAGTTTTACCGAAACTGAACGCGTTTTGAAATCCACAAAGTTGATAAAAGTCTTAAAACCAGAACAGAGTTAACCTTTAAAATCCTAAAACCAGAGATCATTAAGATGATTAGTCAGTCAACTATGTTGACATCAACAAAAGATCCCTTTGGATCAACTCAGAGTTCTACCATTTTCTTTTTAGTAAAAACTCATCAACTCAGAGTTAAAACTTTTAAAGTCAAAACTCATCAATTCAATCAATCAAAGCTTTATTTATAAAGCGCCTTCCGCAACCCTGTCAGGAAGCCCAAGGCGCTGAACATGGTACTGTAGAAAGCTTTGGAGACTCTGTGGTGGATTCTCTCATCTCCATCACCTCCTTAGACTGAGATGGGGAGCAGGGATTTCAGAACATGGCATGTTTCTGCAGGCTGGCACAGAGTAAGATGATGATGGTGACAAATCAGAATGGGTCTGACATCACACATTTATAGGTGTTCTAAAATGGAGTCTGTTGAAAGATGTAGCTTAAAAATAAAATAATGTTTTCTGACTGTTTTCATCAAGTTTTCTCAGATGTTTTTCATTCGGTGTGGATCAACAATCATTGGATTAAGGAGAGAAAGTGCCCTCATGTGTAACTTTAAATAGAAATGATGCTTTTATATTAGAATGCAGCTCACAGGATTTAAAACAGAAACCAGCTCCGTGATGCCTCAGCAGCTCCTCCCTGCACACCGATAAAAACTTGACTCACAGCCAATGATCTCCTCGTTCTAGAGTGAACTTTGAACCATTCATTACCGTCCAACTCAGATGAACTTTGACCCTGCTGCTCTGTGGCACTGTGGCAGCTCATGGACATGATACACACTAGAATGTCTCCTACGTTTTTTTAATTTGACACAAAAGCCTGCAGATGAGTTAAACAACATTCACAGCATCAGGGAAAGGTGCGTAGAGACAATTTAGGAGTGAAATTTCTGTTTCTGATATGTGTTTTATTCTTTCTTTCTTTTACTCAACAGATGAGGCAGAACATGTTCCAAGAGGGACTGTACCAAGTGTTTTTTAAAGAGACACATCCACCCAGACAGGGCACCATTAACGGGGAGCTAAACAACGCCAGGATTCATCGTTGGTTTGGGACTGTGGTCAACACAAGACTTTTGGTCACCGGGGTGAGTCACTGCTTTGATTCTGGTTTTCTTTGACTTATTGTCTCATCCAGTGGTTCTCAATCTGGGGTCCCCACAAGTTCATCTGTGCTGAGCTTGAGAGGTTACAAAGATTGTAAAAATTGCATTTATAAAATCCCAATAACACACCCAATAGTAGAGACAAAATTCTATAAGAGTGTATGTGAGTAAGAGTTGGGGTTGGGGGGGTTGGATTGTCTTGGATACAAACAGGGAGGTCTTCGTGGAAAAAGGTTGGGAACCATTGATCTAATCTGTAGAGTTTCAGCTTTTGGGTTTCCGTCAGGTGGTTCAGGTCTTCGGTGCCTTGGCTTGTATACTCACAACAGTCAGTCATGCATGTGTGAGTTACGACTGTTCTGTCTCCATGATAACTCCAGTTTGGTCAAGCTTGTTTGTAAGTCTGCTTCACACTTTGTTTAATTTTACAGCGAGAAAAGAAAATTCAGCATCGTAACTGTTGGTATTGTTTCAGTATCTGGCTGCTGGGTGTCTGGCAATGGAGGTTCAGAGGAAAGCAAATAAATTAAGGGTAAATATAATAACATACATACACATTAAGGTTTGTTTATTGGCTGCTCATACTGAGTCAGGTTCGGTTGGTTTTTTCCTGGTAAAGGAGGTTTTACCTCTCCACTGCCTCTATGCTCAGTATGGGGGATTGCTGTAAAGTCACGGACACAAGTCAGCGACTCGAAGCAATCTGCTAGGTTCTCTTACATTGGACACTTTTAACTAATTGGCAGGATGAACTGAAGTCAGTGCACTGATAAGTAGGTTCAATTGGAATCTTTACTTTGTAAAGTGCCTTGAGATGACTCTTGTGAACTGGTGCCGTAAAAATAAACTGAATTGAACATTAGGTTTTTATTTATGAGCTCATTTGACATTTCTTACCAACAAACAGATCATCGCTCTGATGGGTCTGAACCTTTTCAGTCTGCTCTTTGGATTTTCTGCTCTTCTAGCAAACAGCCTTGTGCCTGTGACACGTGCAGAACCCAGCTCATACCATCAGGTAACATTTAAGCACCAGAAACAGATTCAACCCTTAAACATTTTTATAACTAAAGCTGGAATACTGTTGCACACACAACCTTCTCTTCTCTAACCCTTCCTGGGACCAGCGGGCTGGCTCGTATGTTGCAAAAGTGAGCTCCATCCTGTTCTCTATCCAGTGTTTTTGGAGTACATTCTACATACTTTTCCTGGCATGGAGAGGGTTGCACCGCTACAGTTCTCCTCATATTCAGGCCTACAGCCACATCTCACAGGTAAACTCAGAAAACTGCACAACTGTCCCTATTGCAACTACTGGTGTCCCTCAGGGATGCGTTCTTGCTCCCACCCTGTTCTTTATTTATAAAAACTGTTTAGGACGGTGACTAAATTCAACCAAAAATACATCAGTATGCTGATGACACAAATATGTCTGTAATAGTGCCTTTTCTACATCAGGTAGTAAAGCTTTTATAAGAAGCATTTCAGTCTGTTAGAATTGGATATTTATATAAAATATCTATGATAAATATTTAAGAGCATGGTTTGTTGCATTATGGTAACATTGTCCACCTGATTTTGTTTTCTTATACACTGGGCTCACTTTGAAACAAATGTAGCCTCACACACTCATCACCCTGCACCCTGAGAGAATATTCCTAATTTTCTACTAAATCAGTGAAGAAAACTTACAGTAGTGTATATTTCAAATATTTTTTATGGCACACTAAGAAGTTTAGAGCTGAGAAAGACTACTGGAGTTGGCCGTTGCCAAGCTGCTGGATTTGAAGTGATTTTAATTATTTTCTTTCCAGGATCCCGAGGACACCAACACACTGGTGGAAGAAGAAGTGATGAATCTGTGAAACTCTGACTAGAAAATCTTTGAAATGGAGTTACTGTTGTTGACAAGAACACTTTCAAGGACTGTTTGTGCAATTCTGACGTAACAATAGTGAAATCAGACTACATTACTTTACTTACTACAGCAACAGGTCTCAGGCCTTTAAATGGTTAACTGCGTTTAAATGACCTCTTCCTTTTTACTTGATCGTAATACTTGTCTTGATGACACTGTTAAATGATATTTGTTTGAATGCTGTTTTTCCTGTTTTTCTTTATTCTTCTTTTTCAATCGTCTTCTGCCTAAAAGGAAATGTGCACCCACACATATGGTACATCAATTCAACCTGCTTGGTCCCAGGAGTCTTGTATTAACTTGATATTGTGTTCTGCGTTACCATGGCAACGTGCTTAGCAACAACATTTAACAACATTCTAGACACAACTGTATACTTTAATATAGAAATGTTATTCAAAGTTTAAATGAGTCGTGACATTGCACATAGCTTTATTAGTGCAGACTCCTGTCATCTGTTACCATGGCAACACAAGGAACTACAAATCACTTTAAAGAGCAAGTCACCCCCAAATAAACAGTTTTTTGCTGATAAACTAAATAAACGAGTGTCTAATCGTGCTGCAGACACGTGTCGTCAATAATGTGGCACTTCAGTGCATCTTAGTTAAAATTTAAATATTCTGCCTAAAACTGTCAGTGTTGTGCCGTTGTCAGGTAAAAACTCTGCACTGTATTTTAATTTAAATCTGCCACCGCTATTGGCTAAGAGGTATGCTATGATGTAAACTGGTACATTATGATGTCACAATGCTGTCGTGAGCCTGTGTGTGTGTGTGTGTGTGTGTATTTGTTAGCAGCGCCGCCTTCTCGATCTGCCATGCAACAGCATTTGTTGCATTTTTCAAACATGAAGTGAGAGTGGAGTTAGACTCTGGTAGGGGTTGACTTGCTCTTTAACCAAGTCTCATAGGAATGAATATAAAAAGCAGAATATTGAGCCATTAACAGACTCCTGTTTTGATCTTTTTGAACTGTTTGTACTTAAAACCAGAAATAAGTTCAATTTGATTGACCGTCAGAAGGTGGGAAAGTGCCCCGCTCCCTCCCAGCTCCCTGATTGGTTGAGAGATGTCAATCATCTTCTGGCTAAATGGAATTACACACCTACGCATGTGAGACATCAAATCGATCGACTTGGGCTTAGGAATCCATCCATCTACATATAAATCCATCCATCCATCCATCCATCCATCCATCCATTCATCCATCCAACAATCCATCTGTTATTTCATTAATCCAACCATTCATCCATCCCATATCAAATCTGAACATATGTTAATCTATCAGTTTCAGATATCAGCAAATATTTCTAAATTCACAGTTCAGCCAATTGTAAAAATGTACCCGTTAAACTATTCTCATTCAAATGCCAGCTGTTTAGCATTTCAAATTTCGAGTTTTTATAAATGTTCAAAGATTAAAAATTTCTGCTGTTTAGCATTTTTTTTATCCATTCTTCACCTATATTCTGAGCTTTGTTACACTTGTTGGTGATTTTTGCTTCTAGATCTTTAAATTCATTCAGCTCATTTTGACAGTTTAGCTTAGTTTCAGCTTCACTTCTGCTATTCAGCAGCTTCAGCAATCCGTTTCTGAATTCGGTTTATGCTACTCATTTCACAGTTCAACTAAATATAAAAATTAAACTGTTAAACTAGTCCTACTCAAACAACAAGTGTTTAGACATTTTTGCTGTCCAGATTTTTAAATAATGTTCAGATTTCAGTTTTCTGCTGTTCAGGATTGTTTTGTCCGTTCTTCACTTTTTGTGCTTTATTTACATTTTGGTGCTTTTTGCTTCTAAATCTTTCAAAACATTCAGCTCATTTTAACAGTTTAGCTTAGTTTCAGCTTCAGCAATTAGTTTCTGAATTCAGCATATGATGCTAATTTCACAGTTCAGCTAAATGTAAAAATTAAACTGTTAAAATAGTCCTACTGAAATAACAAGTGTTTAGACATTTTAGCTGTCCAATTTTTTTAAACAGTGTTCACAGATTTGAGTTTTCTGCTATTTAGGATTAGTTTTCTTGATTCTTCACTTACTTTTTGTGCTTTTTTGGCTTCTTGGTGCTTTTTGCTTTCATATCTTTCACTACATTCAGCTCATTTGACAGTTTAGCTTAGTTTCAGCTTACTTCAGCTATTCAACAACTTCAGCAATCAGTTACCAAATTTAGCATAAACTGCTAATTTCACAGTTCAGCTAAATGTAAAGATTAAACTGTTAAACTTGGCAAACTGAAATAACAGGTGTTTTTAGCTGTCCAGATTTTTATTTAATGCTCACAGATTTTATTATTATCATTATTATTATTATTATTTTGCTATTTAGCATTATTTTTCTCTATTCTTCACTTACTTTTTGTGCTTTATTTGCTTGTTGGTGCTTTTTGCTTCTACATCTTTCAAGACATTCAGCTCATTTTGACAGTTTTGCTTAATTTCAGCTGTTCAGCAGCTTCAGCTTACAGTTTCAGCTATCCAGCATTCAAACAGCATTTGTGCAATAAATGCAATTTTCTAGTTCTACTTATTTTCCTCAGAATGCTTCTTTTTAAATTAGCATTAAGATGGCTTTTATTTTCTTACCCCCGGATGTTGCTTTTAAAGAACACTAGAGGGCAGCAGTGTTACAAATTAGTCATGATGTAGTCCAGATCCCAGTGATTCGATCCCACTGTGCAAAACTAGATTTGGGAATAATTAGCTGAGCATGAGAAATGTGTAATGTGTGACAAACACAGAATGAAAGCTTTATTTCATGACTTTAAACTAATAAGTATTTTTAATTAGTCATTTTTTGTTGCAAAGATCGGTTCAGTCGCATGTCTTGAAAATATTTTTGGTGTGGCCAGGTAGGGGCACAAATTTGGACAAGGGTTACACATGTAAACGGCTCATAACTTAGAAAAAAAATCTATTTGATTAATTATTATTATTGTTTTTTTGTTTTTTTTTACCAAATAACAAAGCATTTTTCTAATTGGCTCTTAGAAAAGAGAGGAGTGTGCACTTTGGATGAAGTAGATGTCATTTCCAGACTAGCACTTTAGTGGATTTTAAACTTTTTGGTAATTTGTAATTATTTAAATATTTTTTTCAAGTAACAAAAATAGGTGAGCTTTAAAACCCAATATCAATGAAAAAAAAGCAAAATATCAATAAAAAAACATCGACATCAAGAAATGAGATGTCTGGCCTGGTTTGTTGTGTTGTTTAAATCCAATAATCTCATTATCTCAGTTTTAAAAATGTTTTGGATAGGGATGTCCTGATACCACTTTTTTCATGTCCGATACGATACCAATATCAGTCATATATGATACCAGCACAAATCATACAAACGTTTACCTATTCCATAGTGTGGAATGTACAAAAGGCTTGATCAATGGATATTACTCAAACAGAAAACAAAAGCCAGCAACAGTAAGCATAAAAAACTGACCAATATTTCCTCATGCAATGTTTTGTGATCCTGCTTCAAATGCACGATGAGGTTGGACGTATTAATCTTTTACATTCTGTTCCACCACGCAAAACTTGTGAATGACAAGTGCTGCACTGACTCAGTCTTTTTAAGAAAAGCCACATGGCCGACATTGTTCCTTGCTGCTTTGCTATTACACACTGTTCTGATCACAAGAACTTTGCATGCTGGATCTGGACGCTGCTGGATAGAAATGCTGGAGTGGAATTTAAAGCGGAACATAGGGCTGATATCGGAGATTTCTGATGCAGTCTCATATAATCCGATACAGTGTTTTTGGGTCGATTTTCTAGATCAGTATCGAAATGGGACATCCCTAGTTTTGGAGCATGAACCAAGCTCAGTTTAATGCTGAAAATACTAAAACATTAAAATAAATACATAAAAACTTCCAAATTTCATTGTACATTTGACATTTTATTGTTTATAAGTTTTAGATCTTTATTCTTTTGATTACATGTTCTAGATGTTTTATTGTCTCAATTTATGGGGTGGTCAGCTGTTTTGTGTGTGTGGGTGGGGTGTGTGTGTGTGTTTAAATTTCTCACGAGGAGGTCATGGGGGTGCGTTATAGTGTACTCAACGTAGCCTACTTTTAGAAAAACACCTTATAAACCAGAAATTATTGTTCACACACATTTAACATGTGTACCATGATGGCCTAAATGATTTGGCTGCAGGTAGAGTGAAGGGTGTGGTTAGTTTAAGGATTTCATGCAGAACAAGCGTGCACACACACACACACACGCGCCAATATGCACTAACAGACTCGTATGTAGAAAAATCAGAGTGCAGCAACTTTCTCACGGCGTGTCTGACTAACAGCTTCCAGCTGTTGCCTGGCTGAGAGAGCAGCTATGGGAACACACGGAGAACAAAGAGGAATACGAGATTAATTCATAAATGTACTTAGAACTGTAATCCTCAGACACTGACTTGATAAACATCACAATAACCAATTCTGCTGCTGCGTTGACGGCTATCTATATGGAATAAAATCCACTCAGAAACGAATTTTATGGAGTCGGTTTAAAGATTTAGCACGATTTATTTTATTTTGTGGTCAGGTGAGTCACAGTTTGTTGTGGGATCTTTATTTCCTTTGACTCAAAAGGAAATCCACTCAGGGGGAAGTGAGTGGAGCCGGGATAAAGACACACGAGTGAGTGTGTTCAGGAGCGGAAGTGAGGGACGACACGTTAGGATTCCATCTGATGAGTTTGACCCTTCATGTGAATGACAAAGCATTCTCAAGCTGCCTAGGAAGTGAGTAAAAGAAGAAAAACACACAAAGGCACCATCTTGAGAACATTCATCAATAATTTATTTTCTTACTCTCAAGAACCACCACGGCTTCTCATCTTGAAAATGCATCATTAATTTCCAACAACACAGTTTTGCAAAATGTAAAGTTACTATACAAATTCTTAATAGAAAAAAGAATAAATTAACTGTGGAATTCAAGATTGTTTTCAATCCACTCCACATTTTTTTTCTACAACGCATTTAATATTTTAGTTACAGCTGGAGGGAACCAAAGTTACATGCTCTACTGTCTGGTTGAGGAGGTGATCTACTATCCGTCCGTTAAAAGAAGCTTCATTTATCCACATCTGGTATTGAATCTATTGGTAAGAATGAAAAAGGTCTAGATTCTACATGATGATGCAGTAACTGGTCATTTCGTAGCACCTGAAAGGGTCGTTGATGGTGGAAAAGGAAAGGAAACAATACTGGTCCGTATAAAATGCAACAATGTTAAAACGATGAATGCAGGTGTTAAAATCTCCACAACAGCCTAACAGTGCTTCTCTGTAAATACAGGAAAAGAATGATATAACAGTTACCTCCCTTATAAAGAAGTCACAAAAAAAGACCTCATGAGTTTGGAGAAGGAAAAGTGTCGTGTAGGACTACAGAGGGATGTCACAGTTGTGCACGATGGGCTCAGAGGTCAGAGATCATAATAAGATCGAGACGGGAGTGATTTCAGTGAGGAAACGCTGGGCACTGTGCTGTCTTTGGAGTCATTTGTCAGAGGATCTGCAAAGCATCCATCAGATTGCGTCGAAAGGAATTTCTATATGATAAACAACCAGCGGTTACTGGTTCCAGTCTTGCATAAGAACTTGTTAAAGCTTACAAATAAAGGATGAAAGACCCAGAAAAGCAAAAATGCAACCAAGACTACACCTTCTTCATGAAAAAATGTCATGTACGGGAAGAAAACGGCATTATGGAGGGCAGGGTGAGATTCATACCATCTTAATCAGGCTGTAAGACCCATTTTTACCCAATTAAAATAAACTGTTAAACAATATAATGCTGTTTTAATGGGACAAATGCAAAATAAAGCAGCTAATTTACATATAAAAAGGTGTGCTTTCTTAACCCTGGTCTGGATTAACAGAAGATTTAATTTTTCTAACCCATTCATGGTTAAATTATCTTTCCTGCCCTGACAGCAATACTTCTAATATCAACCTGACCATGACAAAGAGAAAAAATTATCAGACATTTGATATGAGAAAACAGTAAGTGCAGGTCCAGCCCTCAAATACACTGTAAATGTTGTGCTTTCACACCACAGGATGTTATAAATAAACCCATCTGATGATGGCAACTAAAGCAAACGCGTCTCCTGGCTGCTGTCTCGTAGAATGGCTTTGTACAGTCGGGATTAGGAGCACAAATGCCTGAATTAGGTCAATTACAGTACAAATGCAAAGCACCAAGATGTGTGGGGCTAATCATTTCTGTCACAGCCCCCCTCCCCCCGTCTCGCTCATGAGGTGAGAACACACAGTGCTAGAAAGGGACTGACAGGTCTGGAGCCAAGACTCAGCCTCACACTACATACTCTTCACCACAGTTGCCCAGCGATGGAGCAGCTTTGTCTGCCAACACATTTTACCTGTAATATTTTACTGCCAGGGCTAAAAAAACAATAAAACGTGATGGGATTAATTCAAAATATATATTTTCTTTGTTGAAATCACAGTCTGAAGCAAAATATATCTGACTTTATGTGGTCAGAAAAAACACCCAACGGCCCTGTTTAATCGCTGACGTGGCCAGCAGACAGAGAAATCTCTGCAAGGCTGAAAAAAGAAGCACATATTTATGCCTAATCTGAAAACTCAACACTGACTTCAGCCTGTGATGTTCAAAGGATCCTTCACTGTGGGTGCCACAGAACAGGGAACCTGGGAGATATCTGTTTTAGTTTCACGGTGACCAGTTTGCTGACTTGTACAGTGTTCTTTATTGCTTTAGTCCTCATCTGTAAGCCAGAGAACATTCCAGAGAGCATCCTGGTGCTGCTGCTGCTGAATTCGGCTCAGGAATCATGATGCGACCAGTTAAAAGCATATTATGCAACTTTTTCATATTTTTAAATTGTCTTCTTGAGCCAGTATGTGCTAAAATGACCCTTTACAGGGTTAATGAAATGTTATTCAAACCCCAACTCCCCTCTGTGGGCAGAATATCACACTTGCAACTTCAGAGTGCCGGCCCCTGTTGGACTTAGTAAAGAGGAGCTGACATGCCTGGCACTGGAGTTTGCTTCCAGCACGTTTCCTGCATGTTTTAGATCATGAACACAGCTGATTTGTTTGATTTAGTGATGAATCACTTCTGGAGACACTAAGAGAGGCTGGGGAGACATTTCAGCTGTTAGATTAAGGCGTTAAAAAGACAAACGCACAGCGAGGAGATAAGTTTCACTTTTGGTTTCACTAGGGGACACTAGGGGGTGCTAAAAGCAAGCCTAAACTGCATAGTGTCCCTTTAATCCAGATGTTGACTCAAGAGATGGATTCAATCTCAAATTGTCTCTTTTTAAATTATGATTAAATGAATTAAAAATAAGAATATGAATGTTAAGTATAACATTTTAGACCTAAAGTGAAACTGTTTAAAACCAGTAACTGGAATCCAGCATGAAGTCTCCGGCTGGGTGGCGGTGGATCGGAGCGATAACAGGATGCAATGTGGAACAGATCCTGGACCAGCTGATGTTGGGTTTGCTGACTGGCATGTCTGATTTCTCTTCTGTGCTCGTTTCTCACTTGCTCTTGTCCTCTCGGCCCATTGCTTGAGTGCTCCAGACGGTGACTGAAGAAAAGGACTCAGCCGTCCGTCTCAATCTGTCCTGCAAAATCAGCCCTTACCAAAGCCCAGCGAGTGCGTCCCTGTCTGGCTGAGCTGTGATAGACGGTTGGCGTCCACAACGAGGCGGTAACATTTAAGGAGGGTCATGAGTTTTGGTGGGGACTTTGGGGATGAGGTTGTTGGTTGCTGATGGGTCGTCGTGACGAACACAGAGGAGGCGGAAAGGGGAGGAGGATGGGATGTTTCCAGGCCCTGCAGGACGGTCTCAGACCAGCGTCCCAGGCTTGGCCTTGTCTTTCGCGTACCACTGTACATCAGCCAGCTCCGAACACAAGGGGCTGCTAAGAAAACAGCTGTCACCGAAAGACCTGTGGAGGAATGTAGAGCAGCATTTCCATTAATATCCAAAACGTTAAGATACCCAAAATTCTGCTGAGCTTTTATGTTTAGAATCTTCTTTTAAGGTGCTTTGTTAAGTGTTAAACCTGAGGGGCGAAGTGCAGTGAGAACACAGCCGAGCACGTGCAAAGATCAGATGCAACAACAGCCACAGAAGGACACACACACACACATGCTCACACTTTCACCATCAGCCACCTCTTTCTACTGATTATTCTAGTGCAGCGGTTCCCAAACGTCCAGCTTTAGACTCACACCAGATGATACAGACATGCTTGAAAAGCTAAATAATTCAACCATGCTACAAACAGTTTTGCAATTTTATTTCGATTTTTGGAAATCCTCTCCAGACCCTCTTTGTAGCTCTTCGTGACCCTCGAAGGGGTCTCAACCTCAACTTTGGGAACCACTGTTCTAGTGTACACACACTAATCTGATGTTAATTTAATAATAGATGCATAACAATTAAATTTAAACTTTATTTCCTCCAAACTTCTCATTAAGCTGTCGTGTTTTTTTTTTCTACAACGCTACTGAAGGTACCTCTATGCATCAGAGCTGGGCTGACAGACGTCCTCAGCAGGAGAGCTGTCTCCTGTGTCTCTAAACCAGGAGAGAGGACACACACAGATGGAAAGGAGGGTTAGTAAAGACAGGAGAGAAACGACAATTATTAAGAGATAAGACATTTGATTGGAAGAAAAAAAGGGGGTCCACAGATGGATGAGATAAGATGAAAAGAGAAATATGAGTAAAATATCAAGAACACGCACAGGGAATGCCAAAATCATGTCAACAAAGAGCGGATGGGTTTGGTGATGAAAGACAGTGTTAGACTAATCAAAGCTTGTGGCGAAAGTGAGTTTTGAACAAAGATGTAGAAGCTGATGAGCAAAGATAGAGCCTTATGGTTTCCTGCTGCTGCTGTTTGTGTTTCTTACCCGCTCTTCCAGTTGAGGATGTGCTGGGGGCTGCAGGGAGGTGTGGGCGTGGCCAGGTGCTCGCTGGAGGGCGTCAGACTTCTCTGGCTGTGAGGGGACGCAGCTGAGGGGAGAGGTGAGCGTTAGCTAAAGGCAAAATCATACCAGAGGTGCCTCACACGCGGGGTTAGCGATCTGACCTCGGTGTGACGACAAACCTAAGACCTGAAACGCGAGTCTGTAAGACGGAATAAACGAGGCGTACCTGGTGAGCCCTTGGCGAGTGTCCCTACTCTGCTCCCTCGTCCGTGTCCCAGAGTGCCTTGCTGTGACCCAGTCTCAGAAGATGTAGATCCTGAATTTGAGTGACTCCTCTCCTTGATGCTCCCCGAAGATCTCTGGTACCAACACCGCAGCTCTTCAGACACCGCTGCCCTCCCCCCACCTCCGCCACCATCCCTCCCCAACGATGGAGTCCGTACTATCTGAGACCGCGACGGCGTGAGCCGGCCACTTCCCTCTCCTCCCTCCTCTCCACCCCAGGCCTCCTTGTAGAGTCCCCCGGCCGTGTAGGAGCTGGAGGTCTTGAACTGGGCCTTAACACTGTAGTGGCCCTCCTGGTCGCTCTCCAGGCTGCGCACCACCACAGCGTTGGTGCTGCCTTCAACATACAGAGGGTATTCTTTGATGCGGTACTGGGAGGAGGGCTGGCTCTGACTGTGTAGGTAGACTCCGTGGTGACCGCCTCCCATCCCACCTCCACCTGAGCCTCCAACAGAGCCATTTTTAGCTGCCAGGTTTGGCATGGAGCCGGAGTTGGAGGAACCCAAGTTGCCTGCAGATCTGTGGAGAATAATTAAAATATAAGCCTCCAACTCACTGCAACCCTTTAGCTTTTAGCAGATATAAGTAAAATGCCAAGTGCTCACCTGTGCCTTTGCCGCTGCCTCTGCCTTGCTTTAGAGGGCGAGTCCTCTCCCAGAGTGGAGTAGTTGGGGTTGCTGCCGGGGGGTCCGCCGGGTGGGCAGTAATGCTCCGAGCTGCTTTGGCTGGTGCAGGATGAACAATCATCCAGAGGATCGGAGCCGTTGAAGCCTTGACCCGGGCCGAGGAAGAAGTCCGGACTGCCCAGAGTGTGCGGGTGTGCGTCGGGATCAGACGCCAGCAGTTTGCCCTGAGACTCAAGGCTGGAGCTGCGGTTCCTAAAGTGCTGAGAGAGGCTGTGCAGACGTGTGGGACTGATGTCCACCGACCTGTGGTGTGATGGATGAAAAATGAAAAGAAAAAAAAATTCAGTTCACAGACTCTTCTCTCTTACATGAAGCCGAGTGAACTAGACCCAATTCTTGATTTGCAAATTTTGTTCTAGGGACGCTCCATTGGAACCTCCGCAGCCCCTAGCAGCAATCTGGCTGACCAATCACAGCTCTCTATAGGGGTTTCAAACCGACTGAGCACTGAGATTGGTCCTCAGTGGTTGGCCAATCACAGCACTATTTTGGTTTTGTGGGCCAATCAGGGCCCTCTATTTGTCTGGTGGGCGGGATGATGCGAGGGAGTAGAACAAGATGCCGACAGCATGGCTTTTACATCAATTTTGGACTATTAGGACTTGGGCTTTATTTGAATCAGGAGCAAATAGATTTATTGAAGTTCTTTTTCTTTTTTTAAAAAGGAAGTATTTTCACCTTCTTCAACAGCGGACCGCCTCGTCTACTGACATCTGTTGCAGTGAGTAAGTCACGTTGGTCATTGTCCAGTAGCATGTGGAGATCGTTTGAAAGACAACGGTAGAACCCGCCCCACGACCGAGAACCGTCAATGGAGCATTGCCAGACTACGCCAGGCTACCTTTAATGTACTCTCTTTTAGAAATGATCAGTAAATGAGATTCTTGCCCGACCTGGTGGAATGTACGTAGTGCGGCGTTCTTGTTCTCAGGTCAGGAGTCGACGGCACGCTGGACTGAGCATTCCAGTGAGGCGTGTTCCTGTTGGGACTGCTCTGAAGAGAGTTACTACCCCCTGCTTCAGCACTGCCAGAACTTGGAAAACGCCTGTGACTGATGGAGACATATTCATCAGAATCGCTTGTTTACTAAAGTGTGTACTCGACGCACTTCAGCCTGACTCTACCTGGAGTGAGACGAGCGTTTCTTCACTTTTTCGTACGGCTCATCTAGCGACGACTCGCTCCACATTTTGGGTTTGATGGGAGACTTATCGTAGTCGGAGCGTGAGTTGTGCATGTGTCGCAGGCCGTCCAGCGACTGAGGGGGAGGAGGCCGGCTGTGAGAGGGCGGGCGTGGGGGAAGGCCCTTATGAGGCGATGCTACAGGAGAGAAGGTCGGGGTGCCTGTAACTTGAGGATCATCTGAAACGAGAAAAGCAGATTTATTTATATGAATGCTAAAAACAACAAAAGCAAAAATTCAAACGGGTTGTTTGATGAAAATGTCAAAGATTTACCATCATCTAAAACCAGTGCATCGGATAATGAGCTGTCCTCAGAGCAAATGTTGGCTTCTGAATGAAAGAAAACAGAAATAAGAATTCCAGCTCGTACAGAATCGTAAAGTGTAAAAAACACAGCGATACCCTCAATGATGAGCGATGCCCTCTGCGTCGGTTTCTTGCCCGAGCGGACCCGATACTCGTTGATAGAGTTCTCAATTTCCTGGAGCTTCTTCAGTGCATTCAGATAAGACGTCTTTCTCTGCTTCTTCAGCTTCTTGCTGCTGACGTGAGGGTCGCTAGCAAGGCGCCTGGCCGCCTCGGTGATCTGGGACTGAATGGCAAACTCTCGCTCTAGACGCTCAAGCTCCTCTTCCTGGCAAACGCACAAATATGAATGCAGACGTTGAGTGGAGTTGTTCCTGGATCTGTTTTTAAAACGCTGAAATCATCGAACAATCCAAAAACAACAAGCTCTGGCTCGCAGACATGAAATCACACTCACTCTCCCATGCCTCGCGTTTTGGTTCGAGACACAGAGAGAAAGACTTTCCAGATAAAACACACTGCGGAAACCATTCATCTGTAGCTGTAGCTGTGTACTTTCTCACCACCGGATAGTCTCTATTTGGAAAATGTCTCCACGTAGTAAAGTTGCAACATGAATCCATCCTGTCCTCCACTACAGCTTCCTGGGGCTTTATTAAGAAAGCACGCAGGTATAACAAACACAAACAGATAATCCTGAGGGAGAACAGCAAAACCTAAATAAATTAGAGCTTACTTGTGAACGGCGATGGGGATAACGACGTTTAAAACAACGACGGTACTAACGGAAGTTAGTTTTGTCAGTAACATGTGATCTAATTGATTACGGTCTTCGTTCGTCATAACGTTGTTTCCGTTCCTGATAAGAAAATGTGTGTGTTATTATATTTCAGCAGTGAGGAGTGCTGAAGCTGTCATCAGCTGATCAGGAGCTAAAGGGGTCGGATGCGTACATCCAAGTGTATCAGGGCCAGTGAGGAACGAGGGAGACGTGATCAGGCTGCATAACTGCAGATTTGCTGCTGCAGGTGTGAATCTGCCGGTCTGCAGCCATACCCTTCCTGACATGACCACGGTAAGGAGGGTCCCCTCACCTGTTCACCACTCAGACATCAGATCATTAAGCCCTCGTCACAATCTTCTATCTTCCTAGATAACTGGAAGAACAGTCAGTGTTCCTGATCATTTCTTTAGTCCTGCTGTAACTCTGATTGCATCGGCCTCAGACGTCATGGTTGCTCATGTGTTACTAGAAGTAGCTGTGTGTCTTTACCACCCAGCTTCAGCTCTTCCACATTTGGATCTGACCCAAGCTAGTAAGATTAAGTCTTCATCAGACCTGTTCTACTGTCCTTTTATAAGGATTTTTATTTACAGATATGCTTTTACTAGATGGGCTACACAGTGGTGCAGTGGTTAGAGCTGTTGCCTTGCAGCAAGAAGGTCCTGGGTTCACTTCCTGGCCTGGGGTCTTTCTGCATGGAGTTTGCATGTTCTCCCTGTGCATGCGTGGGTTCTCTCCGGGCGCTCCGGCTTCCTCCCACAGTCCAAAAACATGACTGTTAGGTTAATTGGTTTGTCCAAATTGTCCTTAGGTGTGAGTGTGTGTTTGTGTGTGTGTGTGTGTGTGTGTGTGTGTGTGTGTGTGTGTGTGTGTGTGCGTGATTGTTTGTCTTGTGTGTCTCTGTATTGCCCTGCGATGGACTGGCACTTTAATAATAATAATAATAATAATAATGCATTGAACTTATATAGCGCTTTTCTAGACACCCAAAGACGCTTTCACACACTCTCACATTCACACACTGCTAGTGATGGTAAGCTACTATGTAGCCACAGCCGCCCTGGGGAGGTCTGACAGAGGCGAGGCTGCCATTTGGCGCCGTCGGCCCCTCTGACCACCACTAACACAGGCTAGTTGGGTGAAGTGTCTTGCCCAAGGACACAACAGCACAACAACCTGGCGGGAGTTGGAATCGAACCCATGACCCTCCGATCATGAGGCAACCCGCTCTACCACCTGAGCTACTGCTGCCCCAAGATAGGCACCAGCCCCCCCGCGACCCTACATGGATCAGCGGGTTCAGAGAATGGATGGATGTTGCTAGATTACGAGTAACAGAAATGCTGATAAAACACCCAATAATACAAACAAGTGAAACTGGAAAAACATGAGAATATGGTGCAAAAGTCCATTTATTTCAGTAATTCAGCTTAGAGAGACCCTCTAAAGGCTCAGAAACCCTTTGCAGGTGTTTTCTATTATCATTTATAAATTTAATTTGACTGGGGTCCTGTTTCATATCACAGTGACATTTGAATATTTTAGATCTGTCATGTTTCCTGTTTGTAATTCCCCCTGTATGATGCCCATTCATTTCAGTTATTCATTTTTGAAATTCAACAATTGGACACCCAATTATTATGTTCAAGCATATTTAGTCATTTATATTTTAGTATTGTAGTAATTTATAGTGGAAGAGGAGATCCCATTTTTCTTGAATATTTTTATTAAAAAGTAATACAATATTTTTTTTCCTGGTAATTAGTTACTTTGATAATCTTGTAACTCAGAAACAAACTCAGTTACTACATTTTCCTGTTTAAGCTGCTTTGTTTAAAGTAAGAAGCATCTTTCTGCTAGCAAGGCAGTTTCTGAGATATTCTGCTTTTGGATTATTTTCAGAACACACTCATACACACACGCACGCACGCAAACACGCACACACACACACACACGCACACGCACACGCACGCGCACACGCACGCACGCACACACACACACACACACGCACACACACGCACACACACACACACACACACACACACACACGCACACACACACGCACACACACGCACACACACACACTCAGGAGCAACAATCCTACTATCACCACTTCCTGAGGTGAAAATACCACCAGACTATATTTAGAAGCTCTGCTCTGCTGGAAAATCTTCTTGTGGTACAAAAAGACAGCATGAAGAGAAGGAGTGGAGTTTCTTTTAGACAAAATGTCTTGAAAAGAGTTTTATTTATAGCTTTCTTAGTTTCCTTTCTTAGCGAATGAGTATTTTTATCAGTTTTCTTAACTTTGTTGGTCTTGTAAATTAACATCACTTGTTTTTTTATTTGGCTTGTGTGGATACATCTGAGCGTGTAATTCAGTGTTCGTGCGGAGAAACGGGTTTTTACCTCCCCCTTAGGAGCAATTTTTTGCTCATCCAGTTTGAAGGCGGTGCCAATCTTCCGCCTCACTGTGGGTGGCTCTTCTCCCGGATCCAGAGGATATTCCTTTGGAAGCTTTCCGGTTAGTTCCTGGAGGGAGAAGGGCAATTATATTAGAAAAAAGTAGGCAGATGGGGTCAAAATATTTGCCAATATATTAAAAGTTCTTTCTTACCGCCTCCCTAATGCAGATGCTCTTGAGTTCCTCTAATCTCTGTCTCAGCGTCTCCTCCAGAGCTTCCTGCCTGGCCCTCAGTGCTGCCAACATGTCCTTCTTAGCTGTTTGGGAGCTGTCTGATTCCTGAGAGCCTGCAGGGTGAAGACAACACATCACGTAAGGCCAGGAGTCGAGTCGGGAGCCGGCTGTGAGGCTGATTGGGTCAGGGAAGGGACGAGCTGTGTGTGCACCTGCTGGTTCGGCAGGATGTTTACAGGGAAGCGAGTGGAAGGTTTCGATAAGGGAACTGAGTTTTAGTGCCGCGTTTGTGCGAGCGTGTGAGTGTTTGGAGAAAAGGGCAGTTTAGGACAAAGTCAGTGACGCACGATTCCAAGACCCTGAGAAGGTGCCAGGCTTGTTGTGCCGTATGGCTCGATTAGGACAATGCAGACACACACACACACACACACACACACACACACACACACACACACACACACACACACACACACACACACACACACACACACACACACACACACACACACACACACACACACACACACACACACACACACACACACACACAGAAGACTACCAGAAAGTGAGAGGAAACAAAGACGCTAATCTGACTGGGATAAGCACCAAACAAATTAAAATGAAGCAAAAAAAAAAAAAAAGAAAAAAAGAAATGTTTTGCTGCATTTTGGTCAAACTTTACTTTGAGCTAAATATAGTTATCTGATCTGACTTCAAATAGAAACACAGCAACATTCTCCTACTAAGACATGCAGCTGATGCAGAAAAAGCAGGGTTCTCGAGGGCCGCTATCCAACATGTTTTAGTTGTTTCTCTGCTCATGCACACCTGACTTTAATCAGCAGGTGATCAACAGACTGAACAGTCGATTCAACCATTAACTTAAGTGTGTTGGAGCAGGAAAACAACAAAAACATGCAGGACAGCGGTCCCCGAGGCCCCTGAGTAAAAGGAAACACCCTCCAAACAGCCGACACAGCTGTCATAAAAAGTTCTATTTCTTCAACATTTCATTTCAATAATTAACCAAAATGGAACAACTGTAGCTAAAATCGCCTCATCAAACCAGTCTTTGAAAGACTGCTTCAGTTTTTTGATAAATTCATTGCTCCTGAGCGATCCAGTGGCTTTGCTCCAGCCACGGCAACACCAGGGATTTATTTTAGCTGTTGTTGCTGCAGGTCTAATAAATATAAAAGGAAGAATTTGTGGTTTTAATCATGGAGGCCTGTGACTGAAATGAACCCAAATCATCAGCCCTCCACTCCCATGCCACTTGGACATCCAAACCTGTGAAGACCTGTGTTAAAACAAGGCTGCATGATTTCATGACAACATGCAACTGAAGTGTCATTTTTATAAATTTATCATATATTTTTGTGATATCAACATTTTTCATGCACTAGCAATGTGTATTTAGTGGAATAATGTCCATCTGATTAGCAAGCAGCAAGCCTTTTAAAATCCAACTAACTCGGTGTTTGGTAAACAAACAAAAGAAAAGGTGACAGAAATGAAAAATGCAACAAAATGTGACATGCCCTTTTTATGTTTATCTGAGTTTTTATCTTCATTATTCTTTCAGCTTGTAACTATTCAACGTTGTTGTTACACACTGACACAGAAAGCATTCAGATATAAAGAAGATGTGGATGTGGTTTTCGTCCTGGCCGTGGAACACTGGACCATCTCTATACCCGCAGGGAGTCCTGGAGGGCGCGTGGGAGTTCGCCCAACCAATTCATGAGTGTTTTTGGATTCGGAGAAGGCGTTCCAAGGCTGCCCTTTGTCACAGATTCTGTTCATAACTTTTATGAACAGGATTTCTAGGAGCAGCCAAGGTGTCGAGGGTATCTGGAGGGAATCGGGTCTCTGCTTTTTGCAGATGATGTGGTCCTGTTGGCTTCATCAGAACGTGATCTCCAGCTTTCGCTGGAGCGGATCGCAGCCGAGTGTGAACCAGCTGGGATGAGAATCAGCTCCTCTAAATCAGAGACCATGGTCTTGAGTCGGAAAAGGGTAGAATGCCTTCTCTGGGTCGGGGATGGGGTCCTGCCCCGAGTGCAGGAGTTTAAGTATCTCGGGTTCTTGTTCACGAGTGAGGGAAATACTGACAGGTGGATTGGTGCTGCTTCTACAGTGTTGTAGTGAAGAGAGCTGTGCCAGAAGGAGAAGCTATCGATTTACAGTTGATCTATGCTCCTACCCTCACATACGGTCAAGAGCTTTGGGAAGTGACTCAAAGTGACAAAATTAGTTTTCCCACAAGGGGTCTGGGCTCTCCTTTAGAGATAGGGTGAGAAAATCGGTCATCCGGGAGGGGCTTGGAGTAGAGCCACTGCTCCTCCACCTTAAGGGGAGTCAGTTGAGGTGGCTCGGGCATCTAGTTAGGATGTCTCCTGGATGCCTCCCTGATGAGCTTTTCTGAGCCAGGAGGAGACCTAATGTAAGACCCCGGACTCGCTGGAGGGACTGTGCCTCTTGGGAACGCCTTGGGATTCCCCTGGAGGCACTGGCCGAAGGAGCTGGGGAGAGGGAAGTCTGGGCCTCTCTGCTTAGGCTGCTGCCCCCACGACCTGACTCCGGAAAAACGGAGGAAAATGGATGGATGGATATTTTCCTTCTACCACATCAGTGTACTGTTACACAACAGGAGTAGCCAATTGTTTTTTTCTCTCCATTGAATCTAAATGTCTTTCTAGACCTAAAAAGGTCTCCCCCCCCCCCCCCCCCCCTTTCAGTTCTTATTTTGGTCTGCATTTAAAATGTTCCTGTCACACTCACTGCTTGTTCAACACAGATAAGCATTGTTTTAAAGGCGATGGTGAAATCTGCACACCCACAGCTGCCCTTTCATTCCCCAGCCCACTAAATCTAGAGGAGACGGGGGCCTCCGGCAGATGGATCCATGTGACACAGAGGGTGGGAGCGGTGGTCTGTACACACTGACTGGCTTTGGGTGGGGTGTGTATGAGTGTACAGTGTGTGTGTGTGTGTGTGTGTGTGAGAACATTCAACACAGAGTGAGTGATGTCTTTCCTGCTGCAGCTGTTTCTGTCTCTTCAGAAGCCCTCTTTGCCAACACACACATATAGAAATCACATACAGACCTTTCTTCCTCAGTTTGTTAAGATATTTATTCAATTTTTTATTTCTCACACACTCACACTGACCTGAGGACAGTAGGCTCCCACTGCTGCCACTGATAATCTTCCCCTTGCTGCCCATGTTGGCCAGTTTGGACGTCTTCAACGTTCCCGTTTCTGTGAGATCGATCGCAATCTCACTCAAACTCCTCGCTGCGTGGATTTTTGACTGAAAGACAACAAGTTTGTCAAGCACATCCAACCTGTTTCGGCCGGTTTAAATAAAGCATTTACACATTTTAGTCATCCTAGTAAACACTGACTTTGCTCTGCTTGCGATCCAGGTAGAACTGATGCTGGCTGATTGCCATGGCCCAGATGGACTTGATGAGGGCGGGACAGGCGTACCAGGTGTGCACAGCGATGCCGCTGTGGCCAAACGTCCTTCTCGTTACCGACGCCCTACAGTAGGAGCGGACACAAGGCCTCCTTATATACACCGAAGACAAAACACTTCCCTCGATTCCGATAGCTACTACTGAGAATACATGATGATAGATTCTTGTTTTAGCAAAGCCACGTGCAATTATATACCCATCCTTTAAAAAAAACACGTGTAGCAGTGCAGTCCCTCTAATGACAGCTTCCTTTAAAGAAAACACCACTGCTCCCAGTTTCACCCCGTCTGTCTGTAGAATAACACTCCATAAATATATAGTCATGTTAAATAAACACTAGAGGTCACTTCCTCAGCAAAACGGCTATCACACAGCCATCTATCCTTCTCCACTAATCTATCAAGGGTGAATGAGTGTGTGTGTTAGTGCTTTAGACTATTAATCTGAGCGAGACTCCACTGTGACATCCCCAATGTCCGGCTGCGTTGCCAAGACAAATTTTACAACCTAAACCAAATTAGATTGCAGGTTCTCTCTTCCAGCTCAACAGAGAACAAATGCTGAATTTTAAAATATTCCTGTCTAGCAGAGAGGTCATATGGAGTGTAGAAGACACTGGATCTTGTCTCTAATTGAAGGAAACTGACAATAAATGATATAAAGCAGCAGTTTTTAATTAAAAACGCAGAAATGGACTTTTAACTTAAGTTTGTGATATAAATTTACCTCCTAGGGTCATGAACTTCCACTGAAAACTTCTTCTCTCTGAAGTAAAGGTTCTCCAGCTGACGCCATTGAAACACCTGAAATTTAAGAGAAACAGACGGCCGTCAGGACCGCTCCAAGGGAAAATGTGCTTCTCGTTAACTGCACAACGCCTGATCTCCTTCCAGAATGCTGCGATTTGTTTGACACGAGTAGGCAACAGAACTTCAGGAACAAGAACAAGAGATTGTTGCTAGGAATCCCCCCACCTCCCACCCCTCCAAAAAAGAGACCTAATCTGGAGGTCTGTGGTCAGGTCCAAGCCAAGTGGTCTTTTCACAGTGAATCCCACGACTGGATGACCTCACTTTGGAAAAAGACAGTGAGGGTGGAAGAAGGCTTGAGTTTTTGTTCCACCTTTCTCTCTCTCTCTCTTCCGTCTCCTTCATGAACCATCAGCTTCTCTGTGAAATAAAGCCGCAGCCAGCTGGGCGAGAAAGTTTCCCTGAAGACGCGCTCCACTGCCGGTGTGTGTTCATTCCTCCCAGGCGCAAAGGGAACACGGAGGGTTGAGGTGGTGTGTGTTCACCATCTGGACGCATGTGGATGTGCAGAGAAAAAAAAAGCGTGTAAAGTTCGGTCTCCTTCTCTCCTGGAGCTTTGGCTGGGAGGATTTTGCAGAGAGGGGGAGTTTATCCCCTCCTTGTGACCCCTCCTCCCTTCCTCAGGGACTGTGTGTTCTCCTCCAGGCTGTAGCCAGGAGGTGTGTGTGGAACAACGGTTTGGTGGAGTGTGTGTGGGCTGGTTAAAGTGGGAGTGAGGCTGTCTGTAGCTTTGTTAGTCAGCTTCTTTGCACACAAACACAAACATTCACAAAATCTTGTTAGTCAGCTTCTTTGCACACAAACATTCACAAAATCATTGAAAGTGGAACGAGGGCTATTTTGGAGCACAGGGTGGCCTGCTTCTGTCATGTGCAAACCTTAAGAGATGCAGCAAACTGGACAAAGGCTCCTGAACGACTACATAAAACAATAAAAAGAAGGATGGGACGAGGGAAAAAGGAGCACAAGAACAAATAGAAACAGGATTTGAGTGCGAAAGCACGAGCTCGAGGGGGAAAAGGTCAGCTGCCTTATCAAAACTCGTGCCGTACCGTAAACTTTCAATGGAGTGTGAACCGCTAATGTAGCATGGTGCTAAATTTAGCAGGTGGGGGCAGTTTTCTGAGGGACTGTTTGAGCGTGTGTGGGTGCGTTGGTTACTTTGGTGTAGCGTTCTCCCGGGAGGTTACGTGAAGAATGGAGCTCAGGTCCGTATGGCTATGGAGACGTATTATTCTTTTCTGATTTTGATCCTGGGGCCTCTGAGACAATTGTTCCATCTATGGGCGGCATTCTTGTGCACAATACTACATCCACCAGTTGTCAAATGTTTTTATATGAGCAGCAAAATGCATGTGGGATGCTATATTTACAAGAAACTCTCTCATGACCTCCCGACAGTGCTGGTAGTTTAATCAGTCAGTGAGGAAGTCTGTTAACTCTGTAGTCTCTGCCTAAAGGAGGCGTGGGACACTAACGAGGCATTAGAACAGTGTGTTGTTTCCTAGTAAACCTCAGCATGTGTGTACTGTAGATGTACCTGCATGTGGTAACCAGAGGGGACTCATTTAACATCCCTACATAAATGTGGTCTGCGTTTAATCAACTCTTGTAAAATGCAAACAGATTAAAACCACAACCTCCTTCGTTCTAATGTTAGTCACATTTCACCCATTCCTCTTAGCCGCGCTAGCAACAAAAACCTCACAAAACAATGTGTTTTTAGTCAAAATGACTTTTATTTGCGACAAAAATAATGTAATGTTTCATTTAGGCTTAAAAAACAACTATAAAATATTTGATTATATGGGCATACTGCTAGCCTGGCAAGCCACTGGATATATGTGAAAATACACTCACCGGCCACTTTATTGGGTACATATGTTCTATGCATACATATGTTCTAATGCTCATTACTAATCAGCCAATTACATGGTGGCAATTCAATGCATTTAGGCATGCTGAGATGGTCAAGACGATCCACTGCAGTTCAAACTGAGCTTCAGAATGGGGAAGAAAGGTGATTTAAGTGACTTTGAATGTGGCGTGGTTGTTGGATTCAGACGGGTTTGTCTGAGTATTTCAGAAACTGCTGATCTTCTGGGATTGTCACGCACAACCATCTCTGGGGTTTATAGAAAATGGTCCGAAAAAGGTAAAACTTCCAGTGAGAAGCTGTTCTGTGGATGAAAATGCCTTGTTGATGCCAGAAGTCAGAGGAGAATGGCCAGACTGGTTTGAGCTGATAGAAAGGCAACAGCAACTCAAATAACCACTCGTTATGCTGAAGAGCATCTCTGAACGCACAACATGTGGAACCTTGAGGCAGATGGGCTACAGCAGCAGAAGACCACACTGCTGCTGCTGGTGGTATAATGGTGTGGGGGACATTTTCTTGGCCCACTTTGGGCCCTTTAGTACTAATTGATCATGGTTGCAACACCACAGCCTACTTGTGTATTGTTGGTGACCATGCCCATCCCTTAATGACCACAGTGTATCCATCTTCTGATGACTACTTCCAGTAGGATAATGCACCATGTCATAAAACTCATAAACCATGTCAGACTGGTTTCTTGAGCATGACAATGAGTTCACTGAACTCAAATTACCTCCACAGCCACCTGATCTCAATCCAATAGAGCACCTTTGGGATGTGGTGGAACGGGAGATTCATGGATGTGTAGCAGACAAATCAGCAGCAACTGCTGATGCTGTCAAGTCAATGTGGACCAAAATCTCTGAGGGATGTTTCCAGTACCTTGTTGAATTTATGCCACAAAGGATTAATGCAGTTCTGAAGGCAAAGGGGGATCCAACCCAGTACTAGCAATGTGTACCCAATAAAGTGGCCAGTGTATAGTCCGGCCACAGCCCATTGGTGACTCTTAAGTTGTGGCACGGGATCTTTGGTTGTATTTCAAGCTTTCTCTGCGTGCTATTGGACAACAGACAACATTACATCTTCACCACTATAGATAGCAGTCAATGAGGCGGTCCACCATACTGTCAAAGAAGACGCAAACACATCCTTTTTCTAAACAGACTTAAGTACCTCTATCTGCTCTTGACTCAAAGAAAAGCCCACGTCTAAATAGTCCAAAGACATTTGAGACAATTTGGAAATGCCATTATCAGTCATTATCAGTGAGCTTTAGCCTTCTAAACACAGACGACTGAAGAAGGTATCAAGGATGTCTGACCCTTTTGTGTGATTAATGGCGGTCTGACTCCACCTTCCTGAGTCAGAGTGTGAAACATTTTAACAGAAAGGAGGAAAAGGTTACACTCTGAGTCAGAGGGTATTGTTACTGGACCAGGCAGCAGGCAAAAAAAAAATCCCCAAATTTGCACTTCCTGTCGTTTAAATACTGACGAAACTTTAGATCTTAAGAGGATCTATTCCAGCGACCTACCTTGAATTGTGCTCCGAAGAAAGAATCACCCTCCACCCTTCATTCTCTGTCTGACTGATGTATAAACCTGAGCTCAGCTTTTTATTCTGATAAAAGCTACAAACTTCAGTTAGTTCTATTATTAATAGTCCCAGGCTTTATTTCACATTTATTTACTGGTCCTGATTGTGTGTGTGTGTGTGTGTGTGTGTGTGTGTGTGTGTGTGTGTGTGTGTGTGTGTGTGTGTGTGTGTGTGTGTGTTGCTCTGACAACCGGACACTACTCGATACGTCATATTACATAGAAATACCAATAACTAACTCCATCTATATTTGCTTCTAAAATAATCACACTCTTTTCTGCAGCATCTAATCTTTACATGAACAGTTTAATATGAATAAAAAATAAAAATAAAAACTTGAGTTTGTGACATAGACATAGTTTGGCTTTGTGTGTTTTGGTGGTATTGCATCTGTGAGCTGGACTTAACAAAAGTCAATTGCAGCCTCAAGATTTGGGGAACTTTAATGAGACAACGACGGACGATTTAGTGGTGAGAGTCATTTAGTCAGAAATGCAAACCAAGATGCATGCACACTCACGAAGCCTGAGTGGCAAACAGGAAAGCCTTTAGCAGACAGGAAGCATCCATCAGGATGGTGATTTCAGTGTTCGGTTCACTTCCTGTGTGCGTACACGTGCAACAGAATCAGTGTTGGCATGAGCAAGTGTCTTGTCTGTAGGTATGTAAGAATGCTGTGAGAACCCTTCACTTCCCATGATATGAGGCTGGCTGCAAGACATCTGAGTCAAAAAGAGGACCGGGGGTCAGAGGGAAGGAAACACTGGTGGTCACTTTATCCAGACCATCAGTGGCAGGGAGAAACATCATGTAGGCAGAAATATATTCAGAATAACATAAAAAATGTAAGTAATAAAGATCTCCAGAAAGTTTTTACTGTAAAACACAACATTCAGACTAACTGAATAGAAAAACAGACAGCAGAGACTACAAAAACATGAATTAAAGGACTAGAATTCCTTGAAGGAACAAGATCTGCCTGTTGCCTTGTATCGCAAGATCTTGCTTGATGTGCTAACACCTGGAGTATGCGATGGGAAGAGAAACAAAGAAAACATCAACTGACCTTTCTGGGTTTTACTTTGTCCTGGTAATCATACTGAAAGATGCCTTTATAGCTCAGACCCAACCACCACGGGATCCCCTGCTTGTCCTACAAAACACGACAGCATTCCCAAACGTGTGCTTTCAGAGTCCAGAATGAAGAAAAATGTCTGTAGTGCATGTGTGAGCAAAGAAAGAGCAAAAGCAGAGTAGTAAAACCGTACCTTTACAGCATAGTAATGCACTCCATATGTGGGCAGAGACTCTACAATGCTCATATAACTGTAAGGAGCAGAAATACACACATTTAAAACTCACACTGAAAAAAAGATAACCAGATACACAAAAAACACACTTACTTTATGATAGCCTGCCCTCTGGACTGCCCACTGAGCTTCTTGAAATGCTCTATGACTCGCTCTTCACTGCAAAACAGAACAAAAGGAGAAGAAAATGGGAGCTTATTATGAAGAGAGACTTCAGGTGAGCCTGCATAGAGAATGAATGATCCGCTCCTTACCAGTAGGCCAAAGATGGGTGCTCCTTCAAAGCCTGTGTGGGCAGCGCAGGCAGCTTTTTCAGATCTGACCTGGTTGCATCATCGCTGGGAAAGAAAAGCCACAAGATTCTGTCAGCCAGAATAGTTCATTGTCATTTTACGCAAAAAGGTACAACAAATTTGAATCGGATTTCTACGTGTGCGGTGAAGAAGGACTGCATTTATTTGAGAAAAGAAAAAGTCCTGATGGTCATAAGTGTGCACTATTTTAAGGACTGGGTGTGGTATGTTCACTGAACAGCTGCTGATGAGGAAAAAAGCCTGACGGGAACACAGAAACAAAATCAATTTCCCTCTGGGATTAATAAAGTATTTTTGAATTGAATTGAAATGAAAAAGACAAAAAGGAGGAGGCAAAAGCTTGAAAAACAGATAAGAGGAAATGAGCCATGCAGAGAACTAAAGGGCTTTGGTCCAGGATTCAGTGTTCAGACCTGCAGACACAAGTTCATAATAACCCTACTTAATCCCCCTGCCTCTATGAGGCCTCCGCCAAAGGCCCCAGAAGATTGGGGGAAGTCCTGGGAACGCGACAACCTAAGAGCTAAGGTCCTGGCAATGATCCCATCTGCCCTGCTCGCCTGTTCTGGGATGTGTAAAAACAGCTGTGCATCTGATTTGGGTGATATCTGGTCATGCAGCTAATTCGTCAGGTACATTTGGTTTTACACATTACAATATAGGAGCTCCTCCTTGAACCGTCACCTTATCGTGGTGGAGGAGTTTGAGTGCCCTAATGATCCTAGGAGCTATGCTGTCTGGGGCACTTTGTGCCCCTGGTACGGTCTCCCATGACAAATTGGTCTTAGGTGAAGGGTGAGACAAAGAACGGTTCACAGGATCTTTCATGGAAGTAAATTCAAAGAGTCAGAGTACCCGGCCCGGAGGGTTACCGGTGTCCCACCCTGGAACCAGGCCTGGGGTTGGAGCCCGTGAGCGAGTGAGCACCTGGTGGCCGGGCTTTCGCCCATGGGGCCCAACCCGAACGGGATACATGGGCTCATCCAACTGTGGACCCACCACCCGCAGGAACATGAAGGGTCCGGTGCAATGCGGATCGGGTGGCAGACCAAGGCGGGAGCCTTGGCGGTCCGATCCCCAGACAAGAAAACTGGTTTTTGGGACATGGAACATCACCTCACTGGAGGGGAAGGAGCAGGAGATTGTGGCAGAGGTTGAGCGGTACCGGCTAGATATAGTCGGACCCAACTTGACACATAGCATTGGCTCTGGAACCCAAGTCCTTGAGAGGGGTTGGACACTCTCCTTTGCTGGAGTTGCTCCGGGTGAGAGGCAGAGGGCTGGGGTTGGCTTTTTGTTAGCCCCAAGACTCTCTGCCTGTGTGCTGGGGTTTACCCAGGCCCCCACAATGCAGCTCTGAAATTGAGTCAAACCCGGAAGTGAAATAAATTGCAGTTCCACCCTCATACGCTGGGGGCTGGTGTCAGAAACGAGCAAATCCTCATTGACTCCCATGTTAAAAATACCAATTTCACAGCAGAAATAAACATGTTTACAGCCTGGTACCAAAACATGTTTTTTTGTTTAAATGATCTAGTTTACACTCATGACAACTCTGAGGGGGGGTGAATTTTTTTCTCACTCTTCTGTTTAAGTGTATTAAAAGCCTAAAATTCTGTATAATTAATGAGCCTCAGACCCACGTGACCGCCGTCTCAGACCCACGTGACCACAGAGCTAGCTCCGTGGAAAGGCCTCAGTAGAGCCTCGGCCTGGCTTGGAAACTGTTCTGGGATTTTGAGTCTCTGTGTGTGTGTATTCTTGTTTGGATATTTTTTGTGCCATTGTTGGACAAAATGACTTGCTGTGGCATTAATTGCACTAATAGAGTGTCCAAGGAGTCTCCACTTCATTTTTTTCGGTAAGTAAAATTATATTTATGTATTTTAGGTCACTGCCGAGCTGAGCTTAGATGTTAACATGTACCGTTTAACCATGAAATTTAAATGTAATAGGGTAAAACCCAGTGCATTTAACATAATGCTGCACTTTAGAAAATGGGTTGAAATATAACATGTTGGTGGAGCTGGGTTCTGACTATCGGCTTGTTGAGCTCTTGGGAGACCTCTGTTTTCCACCTTTATCCCCTCCCCGCAGCCCGGTGCATCTCTGTCTGATCGCGGCTTCTGTTAGCTGTGCGGGCTGACAGCTGGTTCTTATGGCAAGCCAGAACTGCCAAAATACGCCACTTCTCCCCGCAGCTCGGCGCATCTCTGTCTGATCGCGGCTTCTGTGTGCTGCGCGGGCTGACGGCTTGTGGAGCTCTGGAATGGAAACCTTTCCCCCCGGTTCTCCCTAGCGGCAGCGCTGCGCATCTCAGATCGCAGCGGCGCTTGTCTGCTGTGCGGCTGCCGGCTTGTGGAGCTCTCGGAGACCTCTGTGTTCCACCCGGTTTTACCCAGCGGTCAGCCCGGCGTATATCTGACTCAGAAGCTCTGGTGTTGTGCACAGTTAACTCCGGTTGTAGCTAGGTTGCTACCTCCGTTAGCTTAGCTCCCACCTCCGCATTAGCTTTGGGTTAGCTTCAGGTTAGCTTGTAGCTAGTTCGACCGGGTGTCGTCAGTCGATCCCAGCCTTACAGCCCCACCGTCAGCCCCACCTCTCTTCCCTTTTATGGAATTGTCTGGGCTTGACGGAACCTGTGACACGGTCAAAATGGCGGTGGTGGCCAACTCTCATTTTATCAGAAAAGCTTGTTATTGGAGTCTATAGAAACCCATTGTCCATATATTTTTGTCGATGGGTTTACCCCGGGGGACGAGAGGGTAGCTTCCCTGCGCCTTCGGGTCGGGGAACTGGCCCTGACTGTTGTTTGTGCTTATGGGCCAAATATCAGTTCAGAGTACCCACCCTTTTTGGAGTCCCTGGGACGAGTGCTAGATAGTGCTCCATCAGGGGACTCCATTGTCCTGCTGGGGGGCTTCAATGCTCACGTGGGCAATGACAGCTTTACCTGGAGGGGTGTGATTGGGAGGAACAGCCCGCCTGATCTGAACTCAAGTGGTGTTTCGTTATTGGACTTCTGTGCAAACCGCAGTTTGGCGATAACGAACACCATTTTCGAACATAAGGATGCCCATCAGTACACTTGGTACCAGGGCAGCCTAGGTCGCAGGTCGATGATAGACTTTGTAGTCGTATCATCTGACCTGCGGCCGTATGTTTTGGACACCCGAGTGAAGAGAGGAGCGGAGCTGTCAACCGATCACCACCTGGTGGTGAGCTGGATCGGATGGCAGGGGAAGATGCCGCGTAGACTGGCAGACCCAAACGCATAGTGAGGGTCTGCTGGGAACGCCTGGCAGAAGAGCCTGTTAAGACGGTCTTCAACTCCTACCTCCGGCAGAGCTTTAACCGCGTCCCAAGAGCTGTGGGGGACATTGACTCCGAGTGGGCCTTGTTCCACTCTGCGATTGTTGAGGCGGCTGTTGCTAGCTGTGGTCACAAGGTGGCCGGTGCCAGTCGTGGTGGCAACCCCCGTACCCGCTGGTGGACACCAGAGGTTCGGGGAGCCGTCAGGTTGAAGAAGGAGGCCTACAGGGCGTGGCTGGTCTGTGGGTCTCCGGAGGCAGCAGACAGGTACCGGATAGCCAAGCGGGGTGCAGCAGTGGCAGTTGCCGAGGCAAAATCTCGGGCGTGGGAGGAGTTTGGTGAGGCCATGGAGAAAGACTATCGATCGGCTCCAAAGAGGTTCTGACAAACTGTCCGGCGCCTCAGGAGAGGAAGGCAGCAACTCGCTCACACTGTTTACAGTGGGGATGGGGAGCTGCTGACGTCCACTGGGGCTATAGTCGGATGGTGGAAGGAATACTTTGAGGAGCTCCTCAATCCCACCTATGCGCATTCCGTTTAGGAACCAGAGCCGGGAGACCTGGGGGTGGACTGTCCAATCTTGGGGGCAGAAGTTGCTGAGGTAGTCAAACAACTACACAGCGGCGGAGCCCCGGGGGCGGATGAGGTTCGTCCTGGGTATCTCAAGGCTATGGATGTTGTAGGGCTGTCATGGTTGACACATCTCTGCAACATTGCGTGGTCATTGGGAGCAGTTCCTGTGGAGTGGCAGACTGGGGTGTTGGTCCCCATCTTTAAGAAGGGTGACCTGAGGGTGTGTTCCAACTATAGAGGGATCACACTCCTCAGCCTCCCTAGAAAGGTCTACTCCAAGGTACTGGAGAGGAGGGTCCGATCGATAGTTGAATCTCAGATTGAGGAGGAGCAATGTGGTTTTCGTCCTGGCTGTGGAACTGTGGACCAGCTCTATACCCTTGCGAGGGTGATGGAGGGGGCATGGGAGTTTGCCCAACCAATCCACATGTGTTTTGTGGATTTGGAGAAGGCTTATGCCCATATCCCCAGGGGCACCCTGTGGGGGATGCTCCAGGAGTATGGGGTGGGTGGCTTTCTGTTAAGGGCCATTCAGTCCCTTTACCAGAGGAGCGTGAGTTTGGAAAAGGGTGGCTTGCCAACTCCGGGTCAGGGGAGAGGTCCTACCTCAAGTGGAGGAGTTTAAGTATCTCGGGGTCTTGTTCACGAGTGAGGGTAGGAGGGATCGGGAGATCGACAGGCGGATTGGTTAAGCATCTGCAGTGATGCGGACACTGAGCCGATCTGTTGTGGTGAAGAGGGAGCTGAGCCAGAAAGCCAGGCTCTCGATTTACCGGTCGATCTACATCCCAATCCTCACCTATGGTCATGAGCTTTGGGTAATGACCGAAAGAACGAGATTGCAGATACAAGTGGCCGAAATGAGTTTCCTCCGTAGGGTGGCCGGGCTCAGCCTTAGAGATAGGGTGAGGAGCTCGGACATTCTGGAGGGACTCGGAGTAGAACCGCTGCTCCTCCGGATCGAAAGGAGCCAGTTGAGGTGGTTTGGGCATCTGGTCAGGATGCCTCCTGGACGCCTCCCTGGGGAGGTGTTTTGGGCATGTCCTGCCGGCAGGAGGTCCCCGGGTCGACCCAGGACACGTTGGAGAGGTTACATTTCCAATCTGGTCCGGGAACGCCTAGGGGTCCTGCCGGAGGAGCTGGTGGAGAAGGCCGGGGAGAGGATGGTCTGGAGCTCCCTAGCTGGGATGCTGCCCCCGCGACCCTGGCCCGGATAAGTGGAGGAAGACGACGACGACATTACAATATATACACTCAGTGTGTTTACATGTGTATCTAAGTGGACCTATGTCTCTCTAAAGTAATAAAGTGAGAGCGTTTACCCTAGTCTACATGTACGTTAGAAAACCAAACTCTCAAATAAAGTTTGTTCCACTCTGGTACAGTAGGTGGCAACATGCACTTTTTTGTGTTGGCATTCTTCCGGACAGTTTATAGCAACACAAATAGTAAACGAACGCTGGTGGGAGGGAAACAGACAGAGTTAAAACAGGATATGCACAACGGCTGAAGGACAACGATGCAGCACAGCTTATCTGGTATGTACTGTACACTTTGGTGGTGTTAAAAGTGCTACTTTGTGACGATTATATCATCAGAAGACATCTTATGTGGTCTTGTCACTTCCAGGCGTTACCGCTGTCAGCTGGACTGGACCGTTACAAGCAGATGCAGTTGATTTCTGACCGTGTTATCTGGGTGCTTCAGCAGAATTAGAACCAGTCTTCAGCAAGATTAACGCGTTTACACGGATTTTAAAAAGCGATGTAAGTCTATTTAGGGCAACAGTTTGGTTTTCTGATGTGGACGTGAACGCACTAATCGACAATAACAAGAAAATATCTTTTTAATTCACTTAACACTGTAAATCTGATTTGCTACAATAAACAGAAGAGAATTCTCCTGACAATTTAAAACGGTACATCCAAACGGCCCAACATAAAACTATAAAGGTAGCGATGAAAAACATAAAGATCTGAAAGTCGTTGACTAAGCAGATGACAGGGCTGAAGGACTTCTATGGAAGGAATCTATGTATGCGTGTGTGGGAGCAAAGGGGTGCGTAAGTAGGGGAGAAGATAAAAGGAATGTCTCCAGAGAGTGTCACATTCCAGCAAGCTCCAGGATGTTGTGTTTATTTACTCCCTTCACAGGCGGAAATGAGGTCAGAGGTGATGACTGCTGTACAACTAAGGAATGAGGGATTGTAAGAATGCTATACAGCCCCGGAACTATTAGGTTAACCCAATTTAAAAAAGAGAAAATATTTTCTATACAATTAATTATGACTAACAAAGTGTTTTCTGCGTTTGGTAGAAATAAATGATGGAATCTGTATATCTAAGGATTTAGGTCTATCTTTGGCCATTACACATATTATTAATATGGAAAAACATACAAAAAGGAAAATTAGTGGTGCAAAGTTGAGCCAGTTTGTCAGAAAACTAAAGGGAAAGAGAAGCATGGATGCATCTCAGTGATAGAGGGGTTATGTAGGAGCAGATCACTGATTCACTTATTTTCTCCCTCCGAGCTTCTCTTTTCTGAATTAGCACAAACTGTCAATCTTTGGTTTTGGAGGATAAATAACAGGAAAATCATCAAGTGAATCTTACTTTGTGACCTGTTAAGTACGAGAATAGACAAACTATTTCAGTCTTCGCACAATAATTACAACTGCTTACCTGCTAAAATCACCTTTAGCCTCCTGTGAAACACACAAAAAGAACAGATTCACAAAAGTGCAAAAAAGCAAGATATTTATAGTGATGTTTGAGGAATGAATAATGACCATAAAGTGTGTCTATGCTCTGTTTGCAGAGGAGGATGAGCGATAAAGCCATCACTGCTAGAACCAGAGGCACATTAAACCCCCATCTAGAGAGAAAGCTTTGAAGGCCTGCAGAGCAGATATCTGATACTGTACATCTGCAACTGCGCACGCACGCACGCACTCACACACACACACACACACACACACACACACACACACACACACACACACACACACACACACACACACACACACACACACACACACACACACACACACACACACACACACACACACACACACACACACACACACACACACACAAGGCCAGTAACATGACCTTACATAATCACGGTTAATGGACTGACCTACTCCGTGACAGCGACAGGAACTAGAAACGGCTAAAGTTGAGAAGTATTTGGGAAGTTGCTAAGTTTCCATGATGTTCTGTTTTCAAATGAGTGCAAACTCTAAGAACTACAATCATACTGTTGAAGTATTTATGATAGTAACACTATAAAGTTAGACAAGGACACTTTTGTCTTACTTGTAGGATAAAGGAGGCCAGTTCAAAAACAACCTCGCTGTCTACCTCAATGAGCTCCTGCAAGAGAGAGAAAAGAAGCAAACAGAAGCCATGAATGACACATTCCTCAGCTGCTGATGAGAAAGCAAAGAACTCCATCACTGAAAAAAGTGGCAAGCTCTCCTTCCCTCGCAAACTTTTCACTTTTTGTTCTAGTCTCTCTAATCAGAGATGAGAGGTAAAGTGAAGGAGTCTGGGGTGAGCATCCGGCTGCTGAATACTTGGTCCATTTTTAGAGTCTTTCTAAACATACTGCTGTTTATTCTGACCTACTTAAAGATAAACTTTGAAAAGATTGACTGCATATAATGTCAAGGCGGTTGGTGTGGTCAGTTTGCAGTGAGCGTTGTTAATGTATACAGGACAAACGGATTAGCCGCCTGTGAGTAGTGGTTGAGGTATGTGAGGAATGCTGCCTTTACAATTCACCTCTTAATTGGTTGGAGGATCAGACAGCTGGAATGAAACACTAGAAGGAGCGAACCCACGCGGCGTGTACCACCCAGCACGGCTACAAAGCACCACAACGTGCTCTTTGGTATTATTTGTACAAAAACATGATTTAAGTGCAATAACCTACTGTGTCTGTTTCGTAAAAGCAAAATGTTCATTAAAATTAATAGGTTTTTTTATAGTTTTTTCCTATATTTGTAGCAAGGTTAGGGTTAGTTATGCGAGTTAGTTACCCTAGTTAGATAGTCTAGTTATGCTGAACCAGTAAGTGTTCTGGTGTGACAGATCAGAAGCTTCCTGACTGAACACTGAGGCCATAATGTCCCGCCAGTTGACACAGTTATCAGGACAGATGCCCATAGAGAGCGTACACAAATTTAACTTGTGTCTTTCTTAACTGATGTAGATTTAAAGTGGACATATTATGACTTTTTTAAAGTTATAATAGTTCTATGGTCAATACCAAACAAGTTCATGAAAGTGGGAAGAAATTGTTCCAGCAGGTTGTCCAGTAATTGAAGAGTTGCAGGATCGATCCCGGCTCCTAGCAGAGAATGCTGCTGTTGTGTCCTTGGGCAAGACCCTTAACCCACATTGCCTAGTGGTGGTGGTCAGAGGGACTGGGGGCATCAGTGCTCGGCAGCCTTGCCTCTGTCAGTGTGCCTCAGCGCAGCTGTGGCTACCTTGTAGCTCATCACCACCAAGGTGTACATTTTTGTGTTCATTGGTGTTGTAAAGGGTGTTTGCCTTAAACACCTCTCACATGAAATGCTTTTCAGTGCCTTCCAGAATGAGCTGTTTCAGGGCTCTGTCACTGGAGCTGGCCACGCCCACTCATGACCTGCTCAGGCTGCTATAAGCCAAGAGGCTTCAATGTCCGGGAGAGGCTTGGAGTAGAGTTTCTGCTCCTCCAACAGCAGCACTCTTTTGCATGTGAGAAGGGGTTCTATTCTACTTTCCCCAGCTGTGACATCACAAATGGGGACTTTTTGAAACAACTTGTTTTAGACACAAAACTCCTAAAAGCAAACACTGACAGAAAACATTTGGATGTGTTTTTTTTTCACGTGTTGAGTTTTCATAGAGGTAGTAGAGACCCACATGGTGGCACAACATCATATTTCCATTTTTAGATCCCTCCCTTTTACAAAAAAAAAAAAACAGATTCCAAAATGGTTTTCCCATTTACCATTTTGTATGGCTTATTCTTTTTTATTGGATTAAATAATTGATTTCAGTAAAATACAAACTTTGTAAGACATTTTACCTTTGGTTTACACACACACACACACACACACACACACACACACACACACACACACACACACACACACACACACACACACACACACACAGGATAAGTAACAACTGTCACAATTTAAAAAAATATATAAAAAAAACTGTGAAAAAATAATTCAACAAGACGTTTTTGCCATTCAACATTTCTCCTCAGGAAACTTTCCGTCAATGTTTATCCTAGAATATACTCTCAATCGCTGCTCACTACATACATGTGCTTCGGCCCTGCCAGATGGCAGTAAATGTGTCAAATTATTCGCTAACTGCTGGAATGTGGAGCAGCATGGAGCGCGATGGGTAACAGCTGATATAAACAGCTCACATTTTCAGCTTCACCAAACCAGAGTGCGGGGTAGGGGTCCAAGCTAATCTCTGGAGGCATCTCTCCATTTAAACCCGAAAATCAGGCTAATGAAGCAATATTCCTCTAAATCTCCACTTTAGAACACCTTCCGACTTATTTTAATAAAGTGATTTAAAAAAACGAGCATCTGTGCAACGCATATGAACACATCCGGGTGACTGAGCAGAAAATAGGATTATTGTAAAGGGTTTACCTTGTATATGATGGACTTGGCGTTAAGAAAGAACAGCTCTATGGTTGCGTTGTCCTTTAGGTAGGATATACTTTCAATGTAGAATCTGGAAGACAAAACAGATTAAGTGTCTAAAACAACAGATGGATTTTATTAGCTACCTGTTTCAGAACTAGAAAATAAAGTTTAATTAACATAGTTAAGCATAAAAGCAGCTGCTTAAATGAGTTCCAGATGCCACCTTGGTGAAATAATAAAATGGGCCACTAGAGGGCATGACATACTAAAGGCTGACCCTGTATGACACCTTCTGATGTCCATTTAAACCACATTGTCCCTATCCTCATGATGGCTGGCGGGGATCCGTTTGCATGTGCACATTCCACAACCTGATTAGGCAAACACACACTCTTCACACGATTGTCTACCCTTGTACATCATCAGTAGCGATTACACACCCACATCCAGCACAAACACACACACACACACACACACACACACACACACACACACACACACACACACACACACACACACACACACACACACACACACACACACACACACACACACATTGAAGCGAGAAGCACAGTAACCCACTTCTTGCAGAGGGAGAGAGCAGGGAACTAACATAATAATGTCAACTAAATTTAGCACATAAATGCACGCAGAGCCAGAAGGGAGCAAGGGCGACGTGCTGGGAGGATACGCAGTTATCAGCTCATCGAGAGGAAACACATCAAAATGAACAGGTGTTTGGAACATGGCCTTTTTTTTTTGGTGATTTCTCACCAAATCTCTCATCTAGATGATTTAATCCTTGTGTGAAAAATCACAGGCAGACGTTTTTATATCTCTGCAAGTGTGTAAAATATAAACACGCTCCTATAAGTGCATATGAATAAATGAGGTGATTTGTATGTGTGAATACACATCGAGTGTATGCTGATCAATATTAGATGATTTAGACCATGTTAACCATTGAGCTGCAATAAAGAACGAGGACCCTCGTCAATATTCAGAGCGAACATTTAACTAAAGTCACAGTGTAAATGAGACATCCCCCCCCCCCCACACACACAGAGTGCCAGCACAGCAGCAAACGTGCACAAGGACACCTACTGAATCAGCAGGAGGTGGGCATGTGCCTAACATTGATCAGGAACACACACGTTGCACAAAGACCACATGACGTCCATGCACCTGCACACACGGAGCCCTGAATAATCCGCCTTTAACAACATATGAGGACTCTGATAATAGATCCGGACCTGACATTTGGGCTGATTGTTTTTCAGTTGAAGTCCAGATTGTGAATGCGATGCAAGTGTGTGTGAAAAATGTGGTCAGGCATGTGTTTGAGAGAGGTCATGCGTAGCGTGACATTTGGAAAGATTGCGGTTAGAGGTTGTGTTGAACTGTTGGGGTATAAAAAATGAGGATACAGCTTTGAAATGACGTCAAAGGTCACAGTCCTACCAAGACAAGCTCAAACACCTATTAGTCTATGTAAACATACCCTACACCTTGCCTAAATCAAACACACACACACACACACACACACACACACACACACACACACACACACACACACACACACACACACACACACTGCTCAGAGAACTGTATTAGGATTTCTCTGACAGCAGACATGGATGACACACCCATCATTTTGATGACAGGTTCATTCATGGCCAAACTGGCCAATAGATGGCGACCAGGCAGCTGCGTCATCAGCAAGAGAAAACCTCAGATAGAGGAAGTCTGCCTCTTAATATCATCAGCACCCTCTGCTGATGATCAGCTCACTGATAACACGTTCAAACGGTCATGTTGCTACATTCAGAAGAGATTTCCAAACCCCCTCCCCCTTCTTGGATGACCGGACAGACGGCAGAGTCCCAATCCCAAAACAAAGTATAAATGAATTAAACTCATGTTTGAGTTCCTCCACAGAACATGAAGAGGAATTATTTCATTAATTCTTTAATCGGCTATTATTATCTCATTATTATCTCTTGTTATACTGTAGTGTAAAGCGCTTTGGAGTCCTCAGACTCTGAAAGGCGCTATACAAGTATGGGTCATTTATCATTATCCTTTCATTAAAAAAAAACAGAATTTTTTTTAAGTTACCTCGTTAATTTGGAAAAACTGAGCTTTTTGTTCATTTATTATTTTTTTCAGATGAACTCCACACGCTTCTGTACACATGGGTAAAAAAAAAACACTTTTTAAAGGAACATCAGATGAACAGCAACTTTTAACTGAGACGACCCCAGCAGCCAAACGTGTGCACTTTAAGGACGTTTGTCTCATCCATCAGGTTATCTCCTGGATATTTTCTGCACTTTAACGTTACATCTGAAAAACTGAACCATCTAACGCATGAAAGTGCAAATGCTAAGAGCTGACATCCACAAAAAGGCCTCTATATATGAAAAGGTTTCTAGTGTCTGTATTCTGGCATCCATGAGAGTATTTGCATAGGATTAGCATGCTGAGCATACTGATGAATTTTAAGAGGCTCATGATTGGCTGAGAGACCCTGTGGCAGGAGTTAAGCATCGAGGTCAAAGCTATTTCATAACTAATCTTATTAATCCATTCCTATTACAGCATGAATGCACTGCATGTGCACACACAAACATAATCAGACTCAATTTTGCTTTCCTTTACATGCAGAGGTTCAAACATCATTACGAAAAATGACTCATGGAAGTGAAAGGAAGTGTGTTAAAGAAAGACTCACCTAACACAGAAGTAGAGGACAATAGGCCCAGACTTCTTAGGGAATTCATGCTCTAATACTCTGCGGTCCAGCTGAAGCCAACTGAAGTGGCTCCTGATGAGGCAAAACAAACAGTCAGAGCTCTTTTTAGAACTAGCTAGCAGAAATACACATGGCAGCGTAGGATGTGACACATTTGGGATAAACACCTTCACAAATGAAATTAAAATGTGTCTTTAAGGCTAATTATTCAATATTCATGATTTGGGGGGGGGGGGGGGGGATAAATTGATGCTGTGTGTTAAAAGTCAAAAATGAAAAGAGTAAAAAGTCCAGACAAGTTTAAAATCAGGTCGTATGTGTGCCCTCTATGAATGCCCTCTACCCCCTCGGTGATGGCAGAATTATTGCAAAAAGTGCTCGTAAAAAACACAAAATTTCATTTTGGAGCATCATATGAAGCCTTCAGGATTACATCTGTGCATAGTTCAACAAAAATGGGCAAAACTGGACGACGCACACATTTTAAAAACATAACTGCATGGATAGCAAACTATTCTGCTCACAGGCATCAAAATAAAAGTGAAAAAATTAAAACTAATGCAAAACAAATTACATTGCGCCTTGCACAGCTTATGATGTATTAGCAAAACTCATGCAACAAAAAATTCTCAAAGAGCTTTATCATTTGAAGTCATCGATGCTAGAGCATCATATTGTGATATTAATAAGAATGACAGCAAGGTCAGTCCCCTGCAGAGTGACCGTTTGTCAGGTTGTAAAGTACATGGTGTGTATTTGTATAGCGCCTTCTTAGGGTTCTACAACCCCCCAAGGCGCTTCACAACACAGTCATCCACCCATTCACACACACACTCATTTGCGGGTGATGATTAGCTACCGTGTAGCCACAGCTGCCCTGGGGTGCACTGACAGAGGCGAGGCTGCAGAGTACTGGTGCCACTGGTTTCTCTGACTACCACCAGGTGGGTTAAGTGTCTTGCCGAAGGACACAACAGCAGCATTCTCTGGCAGGAGCCGGGATCAATCCTACAACCTTCCGATTACTGGACAACCCGCTCTACCTCCTGAGCTACATGCTCAGGAGGGGTGAGTGGGTGTTTGTGGACCAATGAGAGGAAGACAAGGATCGGACTGCAGGCTACGGAACTATCTGGCATCCCTTTAAAGTCTGGATGATCCAAGTATATCCTGGAACATTTAAGTTCCAACATTCGTCTTTGTTGTTTTCCTCTCGTTCAACAAGGGTGTTAGCAGTAGCTCAGGCTAGCGTTGTTGAGCGGTTAGCATTACCACAAACAATTATATAATGCCACTGTTGCAGACGACACATGTTTGTGTTTTTGGCTTTAAACTCTTACACCTTTAAATAAATCACAATGATTGTAAGAAAATTCAAAAGAAATATAAAAAGTTAGAATGTAAGAGTTTCCCTTCATACCTCTCCTCACATTTTCTCCCTCTCTGTGTCCATCTGAGAAAAAAGCTGCAGTGACAGCTCGTCACCCTGGTAACCCTACAGTCTCCTGAGCAACATCCCTCACACTGTCCACCGTCCCTCGCCTGTCCCTCAGTCCCTCATCCACAACCTTTCTGACCGCTGAACAGTCAGAGCTGAGACATCTATTCTATCCAAGTCCATGTAACAAATACACACATCATGAGATTCTTCCTGAGGGAAGATGATTCAGTTTTACTGATCTGACATCGGTACCCATGTGTGTTACAGATGTGGAAATGCCAAAGAGCAGAGTTCAGTCCTGCTTGATATCAAAAGGTGCATTTGATCCAAGGAGACACAAAGGCCAATGTCTGCATGCAAATCGCCAGCATGTTTGCATGACTATCACGCGATGGTGCTTTGACTTTCCCGATCACAAAGCACAACTAATTTGAATGCCACTTCTGCGTTTCAAGCACAGCACACACTCTTTGCTATTGTGGAGAAAAAGCACACAGTATGACATCAGAACATTCCATTACATGATGGCCTGTCTAAATTTGTCCAACCAGACTTATTTATATTTCAAAAAGTAAACAAAAATTCATGTTATGCCATCATTTTTATTTAGTTGCAATTATATTTGCCTGTGACTTACGTTTCATCTGTGTATGCAATTCCAAAGTACTCCTTCTCCTTGAGGTTGAAGTGGGAGGCCACAAGGTCCAGCAAGTCCTTAGCCATCAGTTTGGGCTGCAGAGTGGTAGATCACAGAAGTAAGGTTATGACTCTGTTGATCAAATAAAGCTTGTTTTGTGCATGCAAGTGCAGTGATTTATCCCTTACTGGATTAACTGGAGCAAGTGCATGTGGCAAAGCTTAATGCAAATGTATTATATATCAGCTATTGATTTACAGCAATGACTAAGCAGTTTTCAGAAACACCAGGGAAAGGTGCAAAAGAGCCAGAGGGAGGAGACAAGTGAGAGAGTTAAAAAAGATGGATGGAGTTTGTGGATGTTGCTGACAGTGCACGTACCTCACCCTTGCCTTCCCTTCCCCTCCCTCCATTCACTCTCCTCTCTGACCCGCACCTCCACTGCAGAGTCATGGCTCTGAGCTGAATCACTGGATTGCAGACACAAATATGCAATGGTATCCAAGCTAACTAATCCAGCAAGATATCTTTAAGAGAGAACTTTTGAAGCAAAGCAAATGCCAAGGACTTCTGCCTTGTGCAGCTGGTTGGTCACATCCTGCTTAACAGTATGCCAGGCCCTGAGGTTACCCATGGGTGTGCCTCACTGCCTACTTTTACAAACACACATCTGCATGTACACATGCACCCACAAATAAGTTCCTTGCATCCACTCCCAGCACGCATAAGGAACACATGTGTGCAGGAAAAATGCATAAACTTTAGCTTGAAACAACGTATATGAATGAATCATTCCCTACCTTGTGCTATCTACTCTATGCATGGTTAACTTCAGCACCAGAATCTACTGAGAGCTATTTAGAGAGAAGGTGATGTCATACAGTCCAAGCACACACACAGGCAACACACATGCACACGCATACACACACTTGCACATCCACACTGACCTAGATCTCATAAGCACAACGCCTACAGTCATCCTGCTACACATAAAGACTCTTGAGAGATAAGAAATGAAGCGGGAACTTGGGGGTGAAGCTTAAATAAAAAGACCATTTCTGCCTCATAATTGCTTCAAACAAATCAAGCTAACCAGAAAATGACTGAGGGGCATGGCAGATTTTCTTGGAGCTCCTTTGATCTAATCCCAACATAAATTACTAGGAAACGATAGAAAAATGATGGATCTCACAATGTAACAAGGACAAACCACCAAAATTACCATGGTTAAGTTTTACTTGGTCTTGTTTTTAACAAAGAATAGGAGTTAATATTTATTCAGGAAAAAGTGCTGACTTAGGTCTTGATATGTGTGACTCATCAGAAATTGGTGCTTCCATCCATGGGTAGATCGCTATTTCCCCAGATGTAAGAGGGGAAAATCATAGGATCAACATTAGACCTTTTGAAGTGCTCAGATCATTTCAAGATGTTTAAACGTTAGCTTTAGCAAAGGGCCTGTTTTTACAGTATTAGCAGTAATACATGTTTTGGTTCAGTATGAGAAACAGACAGTGGTGGTCTCTCATTACCGCACAACAGTCAGCTGCTGCCTTGACAACAATAACAATTTAATGTCAACGCCACCTCATGGTAGCAACCAACAAGAAGGGGGGACCGAGCCTGATGGATGAACACATAAGGAAACTGTTGGAAACATGATCTCATAAATAAAATCTAACCATACTGTCAAACCTCACAAATGATGTACTAAAGATGAAAAGAAAGATTTTCCAAGTTTACTGCACCCATTTGAATATCAGGCAGAATGTAGGGCCAACGTCTATTCCATTCAACTGTGAAACTGAGATCTTGTCAAGCTTTTACAACATAATCTTTATTTACTGTTTCTATTAATATTGTCAATATTCATTTCTAAAAATGTCTTCAACCACAGCAGCTGAAAAAATGACTCAAATCCACGTAGTAACAGTGCTAGCAGGGATGTGTATTGGTGAAATTATGGCGATACGATACGTTTTACGATACAGGGGAGAATATACGATACATCACGATGTAGTCACCCAGACAATATTAGCGATTTTAGACTGAATTTATTGTAGGAACATTCAATAAACAGTCCAAACTGATACTAAACATGTTTAAAATGAGTTATCTGAACCATAATAGAGATTTACATTTCAATGGTGGAAACAAAACCGACTGCACATTGCTGCCAACTAGCGGCCGGCGTTTGAATTGCAGCAAAAGAAAAGAAAATACACACATATTTGCATAGAAACTCTTTCAAAAATTAGATACATGTCTTTTGAATATTTATATAATATTGCTGGAAAAAAATCACAAAATATTGCCAAATCAATATTTTGAAATGCTACCACAAAAATACACTAATGAAGAGAAAAAGGAGTGGAGGAAACTCTTCAGACTTACATGATGGGTATGTTTCCTAACTGTCATTAAACTGCAGAAAAAAGACTAGATCTGCATGCCTATAGGGTATAAACTGTAAACAAAACACAAAGAAACAAACAAGGATGGACAATACAAAAACAACAACCAAACTCTTTGTGTGGAATAACATCAAAGTAGATCTTCTATAATCAATTATAATACCATAAAACAGCTAGACAGTACTGACTAGGATTTGTGCCAGTCTGAAGACGTGGACATTGTGGATACATTTCAGGAAAAATGTCCAGCAAAGGATGTGGCTCCATTCCCTTTCCAGTAAAATATCATAAAAAATTTATCCAACCAAGTGTAAGTTTTCCTTTGTGTATTTATTTTTATTTTCTCCCAGTTTAGGTTTCTACATTGACTCAAGAATGGGATGTATGGTGCTGTTCTAAGTTGTGTCTGCTCATTGATGTAATACAAAGTAGGGGTAGACCGATATATCGGTCTGTCAATATATTGGGCAGATATTTGACCATTTTTTCATATCGGCATCGGCCAATATACCTCCTTAGTAAACCCGATTTATAGTCAGGCACATCCCCTGGCAGCCTGGTACTGCTGCAGAATTTAAGTGTATTTTTAAGTTTCTGAATAACTGTCACGGTCTGCCCCTGCCTCCCTGACTGTGTCTCTCTCCTGCCCTTGATTAGTCCTTATTGTTTTCACCTGCCCCTTGTTTACCTGCCCATGTGTTCCTCATTTGCCCTGTGTATTTATACCTCCCTCCTTGTATCAGTCTTTGTCAGATCATTGTGGTTGTTTATCATCGTTGTCTTGTGCTGTTCGTTCCTGTCCCACCATTAAAACCATTTTACTTTATCTGAAGCCTGCGTCTTTACCTCCTGATCTGCTCCACCACACATGGTCCATCAACTCCTACACCCGCAACGTGACAATAATATCTGCTTTAAATAATGCTCTAAAAATTATGTCCAACTACAAATGATGCTGAATATTTATTACTTTGTCAGTTTACTGATTTGTTTGATTACCTTTGGTTAGATGTCTGATTTTAACACTGAGCAGCAGTGCACAAAGTTTAACAGCTGGTTAAATTCAATGTTCCAAAACCGATTAAGCTTCTGAAATTGTGTACATCTACTGATGTTTTCTGCAACATTTCTTCATGAAAATAAGGTGGAAAATGTCTCAATATCCACCATGAAAACTGGCCCACAATATCTGCAGCACAAATCAGCCATTGGCTGACCATGATATTTACATATCGGCAATCGGTATCTGCCCAAAAAAAAAAAACAATATTGGTCGACTTATAATACAAACCTTTAACTATAGTGGAGCAAATAGGTTATGTATTGTCCGCAGCACAAACCCGAGTATGTAATCTGCCATTGATGTTGTTATGCTTGATACTTTTAGGGTCACAGGTTATACTAAAAGTAGAGCTATGACTTTTTTTTTTCTTCAAAAGACTGTTTTGGGTGTCCACACTAAAAGAAAGGGGTGGTGTTTGAAGACTGTTTTCACTCTGGGACCTGTTTTAAGGTGGGTTCCTAAAGCACTGTCCCTGAGAGGATAAAGGTCGAAAACCAATGTGGATGACAGCTGAGTGTTGCTTCCTCTTCTGATTTAAGATACCAGCATTTCCACAAGCATGCTGAAAGCATATTTGTGATATTGCACATACCAGATGAGTAATAACACTATTGAAGATCACCAAATGCGATAGAGACAATGAATGACAGGCGATATAATAAACAAGTGATAAGAAACAATAATAGGCACGCACGCACACACACACACACACACACACACACACACACACACACACACACACACACAGAGAGAGAGAAGACAAGAGACGGTGCACCTCTTTACTAGCTCAGACAGCATTACTTCTAATAGACATTTAGCCTGCGCCTCCTCAGCAACACAGGTAATTAACAGACTAAGAATTACAGGGCAGTGTGTGTAAGAAGGAGACACACAAAAGCCTACACACACAGACAAATGGCAATCGTGCAACTCTTGTTCTCTTGGTTTGCAGCAAGTCATAACCTAACTCTGCAAATGCTGATGCCTGTCCACTCGTGATGAAGAAACAAGAACAAGGATTACCCCCACGTATCTGGCATTACTTTGGTTTGATATTTACAATCTGGTCAATTATTAAACTGTGTTTCTGGTACATACTCCTCTGCCAATGATTCATCCCTTCCTGAACTGACCATCCTTCGAAAAGGAGAGCAGTGAGGTGAATGATACTTCAGGGACTCAGTGGTCTGTCATAGACGTAAATTTCACCATTCTGCTCCAAGGGCGGCCAGTGGAGATTTTTAATTGAAATATACAACAGTTAGAAGTTATTTTGAGTGAAAACATGTTAAGATACCTTTAAGAAAGTCATTTGATTGAGAGGAGGGCTTGAATGCCTTTTAAGTTCAAAGGAAAACATAAAACAACATTGTAAGTCTCTGCGGCCCTCCTAACAGCACACTAACCTAAAGAACATCCGCCAAACAGAGGTGCAAAGGGAACTGGGGAAAGAGGGAAAAGACCAAAGTATTCTGATTTATGTCACAGTTACCTCCACTTTTCCAGCCTTTCCTCACTTCTTGCATTCATTCCCAAATTTGTATCATATTTGCATAAATGTCCTAAACTTGTTTGTAAGAAATTTACTTCTTTATGCTTATTTTCAACATTTTGATCATTGGTGCAGACGAATCTGAGGCACAGACAGATACAGAGGAGGGGAAATGCAGGCAGATTGGTGATAAAAGACGATCTGGGAGAGCGATGAGTCGTAAGTCAGGAGAGAACGAGGCAGTCAGAGGAAGAGGAGCAGAACAAACTACTAATTTGAAAGAAACGATCAGTTCTGGCAGAGTAATCAAATCAGAAAGTCAGCAGACCTATCCTTTGCTCTCCCTCCTGTTTTTCTCCTCTCTGTTCCCATCCCTGAGCAATCATATTGCTTCTTTCACTCAACTTCATTTTTCTACTCTCCGCTTGCTCCTTGTTTCCTGTTTCAGAGCAATTACTTTCTTTTGTCTTGCTTTCTTTCCACAGGAATCAGGTAATGGTCCGGCCAAAGGGAGGTCAGGAGGAGTAAAGGAGCCGTGTAATGAATATGTTTCAGTCTTTTTAGCCAAACTGTGAGAGTAAAAGAGGTGTCATTACCAATTTACAATAAAAATACATATACCCATGTTTAGCCGTCAGAATAGAACAAAGGAGAGCTCCAGAAGACAAATACGAGTTCAAAAGGTCAGGGGACTGAAGTAGTCAGTCAGTGCGTTTACATGCGCATCAGAAAACTGAACTATTGCCCTAAATTGATGTTTTTTTTTAAATGAGAGTAAACGTGTTTGCTGAAAGCAAACTGGTTCTAATCGTGCTGAAACACCCAGATAATGTGGTAGGAACCCGACTTCATCTGCATGTAAACGGATTAGTTGAGCCGATACCGGTTACTTCCAGAAGCGATGAGACTGCAGAAGTGATCTTCTGATAATATCCTCGCCACAAAGTAACACGTTTAATCATAGACATCATATACGTAGATGCAACGTGGACTAGGGCTGCCTATTGGAACTTGGAGGTACAGGAGCATGGCGCCATCTTGGATGGGTCCCCAATAGCTTACTAGAATGCATTTACCCAACAAAAAAAACATTATTATTATGTTTTTTACCAAAATCAGACACATGGTATAGCACGATAATTCAAATATAAACATAATTAAACTAAATAAATTAAAATATATAATACAGGTAGGCTAGAAAAGTCAATAGTAATGCCACGTGATCTGTTTGCAATAGTGGGCCGGTTGTTGCAACTATAGGCTGCTCACAAAACGGGCATATTTGCCCAACCTGCGTTGACTCCAGCATTGTCCATTCCCTCAGGCATTGTGCATATCCTGTTTTATCTTGGTCTGCTTCACTCTCACCAGTGTTTGTTTACTTTCTGTGTTGCTATAAGCTAATCGAAAGAAAGAGGACACAAAAGGGTGCACGTCGCCACTGTACCAGAATGGAACAAACTTCACTTGAGAGTTCAGTTTTCTAACAGACATGTAAACAAGGATAAAGGCTCCCAGTTTATTACATTAGATCAACCAGGATCGACTCAGAAGTAAACGCAAGTGATGGACTCATTTGGATACTGTCTTTGCTTTAGCAGCAGAAACGTCTGCTCCGAGGATTGAAGGTTCAACTTTATTGACCGTTAAGCAGAGATACAACTTACTAATAAAACGCCCAATACTACAGGCCTGAATCAGGAAGCACAGCTTTGACGGGAACATCTGCAGAGATCAGGTAAGCATCAAAAAAGTGCAGCGTCACCTGCTGCTGACCAGATTTCCCTTTAGTCAGCAAAAATTAAGTCCCTTAAGACAGCAAGCTTTTTTTCCCCTTTTTTGTGTAGGCAGAAGAACGAGGGACTCACCTGAACAAGGAGCTCCAGCTTCCTGTCGTCCAGGAGGTGGACCTGACATCGCCTCCCTTCTGTCATCTGAAGAGACAAAAAATACAAAGGGTGTTCTTATTAACAGAGCTGTTTAGAAATGCAACTTATATTGAAATGATTTCTTTTTTGTTTATATCTAAAACTGGTCAATATGAGCCATATGAGTCAGAATACCATGTTGAGCCTAGGGGCTGCACGACTTAATGTTTTTTAAGTTGACTCGATTTTCATTACTTGACAGTTGACGTTAAAAAAATTGATGACGTCATACACCTGAAGTGGCGCGGGTGGGTGGGGTGGGGGTGGGGGGGTCGCTGGAGTTTTTGACAATTAAAATTGCGCCCACATTTTCAAAGTTAAACAAATCTCTTTTAACAGCGGTAGTTTCTGCATCTATACTGCTCCACTTCAGCTCTCTCCTCCCTCACCATGCACAGTGTGCCTACAGCCTCTCAGAGTTCCTGCTGCTCTAAACATTAAAATAATTATTTCACTTTCTGTTCCTCACTTCTGATTACCTTCAGTGGTGTCTGTTTGTTGCAACCACCAGGTACAAAAACTAACTTGTTTTTATTTGACTATTTTTCTGTCCTGCCTGTTTATTATCTTCCTGCATCTCCTCTCAATCCTAAAGAAAAACTGCTACCTGGCTTCATATACATTCACCTTATGAGTTACCTATGAACTGCAGTTCTAAAAGATCTACCGACTGCAAAAACAGCAGTGTGCGCTGCTCGCCGACCGCATCAGTGAGTTGAAGTTATTGGAGGACAAAACAGGTGATGCGCCCCGTTCCACAGCAGCGAAACGCATCAGGCACAAATAAAAGACAGAAAACATCAAAGGAAATGAGCCGACATGAACGATCGCGTGTTAAATTTGTTTTTGAGGTAGCGAAAACTAATTTGATTGTTACTGTGGCCGTGCTCAGGACGCAGATGTCTGGAGCGCGTCAACGATCAGAGCTTTGCATGTGCACGCTGGTTAAGATTAGGATGGGGGTGAGGGGAAGGTTAAATTACAAGAGGGTAAAGGTCACAATTTGGTTAAATGTCCGTTTTACGGCGGGCGTCAGTACCGACGCTCTGGCACAACGCGTTGCCTCCCGATGCGCAGGGGCTCGTCACCTGCTGTCTTTTCCGAAGACTGCATCTTGTCGCTCATTATCACGTGACATCGACAAGTCGCTGAAGGCATAAAAAGTCACTACAGAGCGGTGAAGTCGACTAGTCGACTAGTTCATACAACCCCTAGTTGAGCCACGCATTAACCTTGGACTTTTGCATGAATGTCATTGATGTCTTCACAAGGTTAACTGAATTACAACGAGCCAACAAAGAACACGTCCTGCTTTCTTTCTAGCATTCCTCCTCAAGGAGGAAATCCACTACCCATCGGCACAGTAGCAACCAGGGTCCTAAAGCCACTGAGAAAAGGTTTGCTGAAGTTAGCGGCAGAAAACAAAACACCTGTCGGCCAAGTTCAGGTGTAAACAGTGACGCAGGTGCAGCGATGAAACAGCCAACTGTGGGAAACAAATATTTCACACGTGACACAAAGCCAGCTTTGCAAAGCTGCTAGAAAAGTTCTCACTGTGTAATGAACAACAAATAAAGCCAGAACGGAGAGACAAAGCTGCTTTGGACTTTAGGTCAGCCATCAAGGCACAAGCAAACAAACTCTGCTAAAGGGCTGCTCATCACAACGTATGTCTCTCTGAATGCATCCTGCAGTTTTCAGCACATGTGGAGTTTCTCCAGATTTTAACAGGAAGCGGGGACCCTACGGACCACAAACACCCCACACACCCCTCACTCCTCCCACACTTCCTTCACATCTGGGAAATGGGAGAAATCAAGAGAGGAGGATAGTGCATGAAGAAGAAGAGAGAGAGAGAGAAAAAGACTATCAAAAATTAAAGTGATAATGTCACAGTAACCAAATGAAAAAAAGCCAACACACACAACTGGTTTGCTTTCACTGTGAAGTCACCTGAGACTTCTGCAATTTAGTATGGGCATGCCAAAGTTACTGTAAAAGTTAGACAATAAAAACACTTTGCAGCTTTCTCACCAGTCATGCCAGCTTGCATAAAGGTGGCACACTGAAAGAGAGAGTTTGCAAAAAGATGAAGATATCAGAAAGAAGAGAGGGGGAGAACTGACATGGGCATGCTTCAACTCTCATCCCAGTGTGAATCTCCCTAAATGACATGTGTGTGTGGCATCTACCAACTATGCAGGGTTTGGTTTACACGCCCACTCTTCACTGATCTCCTGTGGTTTGAAGGTTTCGATCAGGTGCACCTGTGCACACAGTGGCTAACAGATACACCTTCATGTTTCCGTCTGGTTTTAATGCTAATCTACACTCCTGTCTTACATTTTCTAATGGACAAACTGAATTAGACAAATGATTTTTAAGTTTTCCAGATGACTAAAATCCATCTGAGCTAAACCTCATAACCTGAGTGGGAAAAATGCAACATCCAAAGTACAAATAACCAGCATGTTGTTTGTAGAAAACTGCAAACTGCAATGTAGACACACATGCACGTGCACTCTCAATGGCAGTCAGCTTCAAGCCCCTGGGATTACTGCAAACCTTAATGTCAAGGTAACAAATCACTGCCCTGAGGCTTAAATTAGGCAGTCCAATCTGCCAGAAACAGATGCTTATTGGTTTCAGAAATTAAATTCACTTTGCGGTATTGGGCACGTGATCATGGCATTCAGCGTTTTTCCAAAACCCAAAATGCAATAAAGTCTGTATGAACTGGCAGCTGCAATTAAACAGGAAAATTAGCAATATGTCAATTCAATTTATGTGCATTTATGAACCTGTTAGTTCACATTAATAGAATTAGACACAACTATCCCAGAGAAGTGCTGTCTATAGTGAAGTTTCATTTACTTTAGAGCTAAAAGTCATTGTGTTCTAGTTTGTGATTCATACTGAAAAAATTGTATGTCTTACATACTACTTGTCCACTTTTGAACTAGCTGACATAGAAAATCTTAAATTAGGTTAAACTTGAACACTAGCCTAAAACACCGTTACCAATATCTGTATTCAATGTGTTTCATAATTATTTCATTGCAGCTGACAGCAGCTTTACAGGCAGGCACTTTGTGTCAAAAGATGCTTGGTCAGAATTTGCGACAGCACACAGATTACCTTGCAAGCACACGCTAACTGAGAGGCTCAGAGGCGCAGGCACCAAAAAGGAAAAGAAAGGTTAAAAAACAGGAATTTTAATCCCAAAAAGAAACGAGTCGTGCTCTTGCCACAAAATCATCAAAAATCACGCGTTTTCCTGTCCGGCCTGAGGGAGGAGGCGCATCAGCATCCATGTTTGTGACCATTAGTTTAGGCGTCGCAGCCGGGTCCTCCTGTCATTACTGCCTCACATCCGCCATTCCTGCCATAAATGAGATCATTAGGATCTTCTCACGGATTCATAACTGGACTCTCTCTCTCTCTCTTTTATCCTGGCTTCGGAAAACAGTGAACCTCACGCCGCCGCTGGTCCCGGTTGACCAGCCCCCCTCCCTCCGCTGCCCTGCCTCCCCTGTTCCCCTCCTCCTAGTATTCTCTTTACCGGCGCCGCGCACGGGACCGTACCATCGCTCAGCTGTAAAAGGGGGGGGGGGGGCTACCGGAAGAAGCGTGTCTGGTCGCGAATTTTAAAAAAAAGGAAGAAAAAAAGACAGTTTTGAAACTGCTGCTTGTCACCGGAGTTGCTTCGACAACACGGGAATAATAGAGGCGAGCTGCGGGGGCGGGGAGAGGAGGAGACGAGGGGGGTTTCTGCAGCGGATCCTGACCATGAGAAACTGCAGACCTCTCCCTCTCTCTCTCTCTCTTGTGTGTGTGTGTGTGTGTGTGTGTGTGTGTGTGTGTGTGTGTGTGTGTGTGTGTGTGTGTGTGTGTGTGTGTGTGTGAGAGAGAGAGAGAGGGACGGCGCGCGCGCTTAAACCCAAACAGACATCTGAGTCTGCATAACGTACAAACAGTCCTTACATCTAGTGATAAATAACACTGAGCTATAATCCCACGCTCCCAGTTTATGAAATGCACCGCTCTCGTGACTTTAAACCATGTGCATTTTACTAGTATCCAACTGCACTGGTTTCAGTGGTGCAGAGTGGTGCATCCTGTCTGCATACAAACAGGTTTAGATTGGAGTTCTGGCCTTCAGCCCACTGCAGCCGTTGGACTGACCACACTTTTCTCCCCTCTGCTTTTTTGTTTATTTTTTCTTCTATGACCTAAATTGGGAGTTTGTGTTCTTTTCCACAGCTGGGCTGCAGCCGTTGAACCAGAATAGTTCAAAAGATTGTCTCATAGATATGTGTAGGACAGAAGGCTTCCCAACTACCATCAAACATTGACGATATCTTGACTAAACTCTTTAATTTATGTAAGGTCTCAGGTTTTCTTTTCTATAAGCAAGAGGCCGCATGTAAAACATGCATTTGCTGATTTGTTTGGCTTTCCAAGCTAATTTGTTTGAGCCAAATGCAGTTGCACTGGTCTTCAGATTTGGATTTAATTGTCACCAGACATGTTCTTGACATTAGGCAATAAAATTAATGTTCTTGGCTAGAACAATGTTCCTGCCTTGCCTCCAGAGAGTGTTCCACAACCCCAAAATTCAGCTTAGTTTGCGAAAAACAGTGGGTCACATGAGAAATGAGGAGGTGTATCCTTTCCTCTTTTGCTGGATTCTTCTGTTTCTGGATATTTTTGGCCAGTTCCAGACACCGGAAACTGCCCTGTCCAAGTTAAACATCTCCAGATGACTCTTTCTTGGGCTTTTAAATATATACACCAGTCTCTCGTTTTTTATTCTCCAGTCAAAGGCACATCTCAGTTTATTGGAAGCTTCCTCAGTTTGCTGTCACAAGGAGAGGGAGAGCAAACTGAACAAAGCAGAGACTGGAGAAATGGGGTGGTCATAACAGAAATGGAGTTAAATAAAAAAGATTCTGAACACATAAACCTCATAAGTTTAAGATGTAATTAACTTTTTCCCCCCAGAT